AGCTTATTTACGAGCTCACGTACAAGCTTACATGTGAGCTCATGTACGAGCTCACGTACGAGCTCACGTACAAGCTCACGTACGAGCTCACGTACGGCCTCGCGTATAGCATCACGTGCAGAGAGACGTAAAGGTGAATGCCCAGAGGAAGCTCCGCGTTGCTCCGAGCCAATTAGAAGGTGGTGAAGCGCCAAGAGGGGGGGGGGGGTGTGCGTGGAGTGAAAAAGGGGGTGTGCGCGGAGTGATTGCCAATATCCCTCCCCATATAATATACATGTTTTACGCGGCCAGAAGCAAACCCCCCTCAAAAATGCCTCATAACTAATTTGATAGGTAGCTTTACTCTAGCAAATAGCTAATAGCAATCAGTTGTCCGCAAGCCTCATCAATAAAACTCCTCATCCGCCCACCTAAACCCCAATCCCCTTGCCAAAATAACCACAACCCTCACAACCACAATCAGCGCTCGCCATCTCCTCCCCACAATACTCTTCCTCAACACCGCCTGCTCCGCATGCACCCGCTCCACAATCTGCATAATACTCCGCCTCCTCTCACTCAACCGCCTAATCAGCTGCGGATTCGCCTTCCTCTCCTCCATCCTCCTCTCCACCGCCTCCGCCTCCCTCTTCCTCTCCCTCAACACACCCAACCTCTCCTTCTCCCTCTCCCTCTCCCCTCTCGCTTCCCTCTCCTCCACACTCCACAACCCCGGATCCTCCAAATCCCGCCTCCCCTCCCGCCCAAACCGCACCATATACCCCGCCAACTCCCGCTTCTCAACCATGACCCGATTAATCCCCACCCAGTCCCTCACATCTCCCCGCGCCCGGTGCGCCCGCAGCCACGCCGCCATCCGCGGCACCCAGATCGTGTCGCGCAGGGTATCCCATATCGCCGCGACGTCCGCGGCGCTAAGCTGCGCGTAGCGCAAGCGCCGGAAGATGCGCGTGTCCAGCGCCCGCGCTTCGGGGAGCCCGAAGAGCTTCGCGGTTTCCACGAGGCGGATTGCGGGGACGAGACCTGCGGGCGGGAGCAGGGGTGGGGCGTCTTCGACGATGCTGAGGGCTTTGGCGCGGAGGTGCTCGAGGACGAGGCGCAGGGAGGGGCGGTCGGTGGAGTGGGGCGGGAGGCAGAGGGACTCAGGGGAGGACGGGGAGGACGGGGGTGTGAGGTAGCGGGTTAGGGAGGGGCAGTAGTACAGGATGAGTTTTGGTTGGGCGCGGAAGAGGAGGTGGGGGCCGGCGTAGATGTCGAGGAGGGGGCTGCGGATTAGGATGCGGCGTTCTTCGAGGGTGAGGGCGAAGCCGGGGAGGTTGGTGGTGAGGCGGGTGAGGAGGTCGCGGCGGGTGGAGTTGGTGTAGTTTTGGGCGTTGGAGTGCCAGGCGTGCTCCATGGTGTGGTAGGTAGGTATGGCACGGTATGAGCGAGAGTGGGGGGGAGGTGAGCTAGAAGGCTGCCTAGATGATGCTGCTTAGGTATGTGACGTACAAAAGAAAAGGCCTTACGGGACATGCCGTAAGCTATGAGCACGCCCTATCGTTCGAGAGGTCGAATTCCAAGAGGAGTTGGGTGTTGGGTACCTTTTTGGTGGGAACAAAGAAGTGTTGCGGGGCTCATCGACGGTTCGAGACACACATGAGAGATGAAAGAAATAATTTGAGAACAATGGATTGGCTATGCTACGCTATAGCTGCAGCAACACTAGCGAGAGTATGGAAAACTCAGAGCCCGTCTAGGCATTCCCAAGAACCTTCTTCACGGTCTCCTCAATATCCTCCTTCTCCAAGCCGAGCCTGTCGTTCCAAAGACCGACAGTTGTATAGTCACCCAGACGCTTCTCTGACACTATTGACACCTTGATTTGGTCAAAAACGCCAAAGTGGTTACCGGCTTGAATCTTCTTGGCGGCTTCTGCGAGTAACTCGTTGGAATCCACGCTTGTCACCGTGAGCTTGTCCCCAGTGAACTTCTCGATTAGCGCAACGATTTCAGCCTGGGAAGTCCTGAATGAGGAAATGTAGACGTATTGGTTCTTGGTCTCAGCTTCGTGCTGTAGGATTGACACAACAGCCTTGCCGATGGTCGCCAGGTTGGTAGCTGTGAAGGGTGCAGTACCGTGGTCGATGACTTCGGCAGTCTTTTCCTTCAGGTTGGGACCGAGGAAGCCAACCTTAAGTCCCTAAATGTGGTGTCAGCCTCTTGATTTCGGGAGTGCTCAGCAAATGGAACAAAGGCACTAACCCAGTCAAAGAACGGTCCCGTAACCAGAGCAGTCCAGGAAATCTCCTTTTCCCTGTTCTTGAGATAGTCGACAACGGCCTTCTTGCCCTCGAACGCTGGAACGATTGCTCTGACATCGGCGCTTGCAGTGTCGCTGCCGAACTCGGTAGGGATGAATCTCTTGACGCCGGCGGCGATAGCGGCATCAATGATTTTGGGTTGGACTGCACCAGCTGCGGTCGCCAAGACGGAAATCACGGCATCCTGTCCTTTCAAGGCTGAGGCCAATGCGGAGGCATCGGTGTAGTCGACCTTGATCACTTTGACTTCTGAAGGGAATGTAGATGTTGATTCCTTGCGGGAGAGGACTGTGACGTTCAATGGCGAAGCAATGAGTTGCTCGAGAATGGCCGGTCCAAGATTACCACCAGCCTGATCAATGGAGTTAGTTATGTTCTAAAAGTGTCGTGACCTTGATAAGGCTGTGAGAGTGGTAGGAGAAGACAGAAGAAAGACTACCCACCCCAACGAGGATAACGTTCTTGATCGAAGACATGTTTGAAGTTCTGTAGAAAAGGCACTGTTTGTTGTAGGATATAGAACTATTGATGTGAACGAAGATGAGACACTGAATTTACTGGGAACTCCCCCCGCCTTATATGATTCTAGAGTACAGGGATGGGTCCTTTACGCCATTCGTCTACGCTTCTGTCGTGCTACCTCTGTCGTGATTCCGCCGTATCCTTAGAAATCGAGCCATGCCCACACCTTAGCTAGCTAACTCGATCTAGGAGGTATGGTAGGGAATTAGAAGCGTCTAGAGAGATATTCCAGCTATTCACGCAGGCAAGCACGGTGAGGGCGTTTCATCAACACTGCAATTGGCCCAGCAAAAGCGGAACACGGAGGACGAATATGCAATCCACGTATGCCGGACGAAAAGTATCGCAGACTATCGACGGAGGTCAGACGGAGAGTTGGCAATAGGTGGTGTGGTGGTAGGAAGTGCAGACAGAGCAACACTTTGCGGTCGGGGTTCCGGAGAAGAAGATCGAAGTCCGGGTTGCCAACTTTGTAAGCTACCCTATCACCGATTAGGTGATTAGTGTTTAGGACTGCACCTGCGCGGAATAACACCGCGGATGACCATCGCCAATTTACTCAGAACTAATCTTCTCCATGAACATCATCATAGCACCAGTGCTTCCAATCATCTACCTAGTCACAGTACTCTTTACTCCCTTTCCGCTCCTCCTCCCAACTCCTCTCCGCTAGCCCCATGCTAACCTCTACCTTCTACGAGTCCTTCGCAGGACATCCTTCGGCTTCAGGATACTCGTCAACCTCCGCGTGCTATTTCTACCACCATGTAGTCTCTCTTTAACATGCTTCTACCGGTAGTAGCAAATGAGCGACAACCAGAGTGTACATACCTGGTAGCGTTCTGATTCTTGTCACGTCGCATGAGCGACCTCATTCTGTTCCCAGCTGTTGCAGTCGCTATGTCGCGCTGAACGCTCCCAGAACGTGGCATGAATACTTCAACTTGTGCCGTTTCTATCAGGCACAACATTTTCTGCACCATGGGCATACCCGTAGTGGCTCATGAACCAGATATTGGTGCGGTTACAGCGTGCTGAACGCCTCAAACTTCCGGCATTCAAGCCAATTGTTTCTCTGCTCTACCTTTATGCCGACGGTCACCACAAGTCCTCCTCTCCGACTCCGAGGCCGTGTCCGATCTTTTCTGCGCCTATGTAGATGGCTCAGTGGCTTGCGGATATGGGCTGCGGAGGGCCCTCGTGCCACTGTGGCTTCTCCACGTGTTGACCCCCGAATCTAGTCCCCGATCTTAAGTACCGAGACGCCACCTCATCAGTAGAACTCTCAACGGCATCTAGACTCTAGCTTCCCAGAAGTCATCACCAATCGGAAAACTCCGTGGGGCGGCGAGTCAGCTCGCTTTTAGTACGACGACCAAACTCCTGGGACAACAACAAAGACTGTCACAGCCTAGATCGCGACCAAGGCAAGTGTGCTCGCGACAGCTGCAAGCAAACTCGGAGAAGGGGCTATGTTGACAAAGGATTGTAATGGCCTCTGTCTGCGTTCAGTGGTAACAATTTGAATACTTCCCCAGGTTCGACATCTCAAGTCCTAAGATCGGAATGTATCTTCATTCTCCTTCATACTTACATACATGGCCGACGTCGCAATGAGTTTGACTCTCCTCGTGTCAGATGTATCCTCTCGCTTCCGTCCCAACACCATGGGTCGTAGTCCCTCTTCGTTTTCAACTATATCGAAGATGAACCAGGCTTCCACGTCGGTTGACTCACTAGTGCTTCTAGAGTCAAACCAGGAGGATGTTTCCGTGACTCGTCTGCGCAAAGAAATCATATACGACTTCGAAAACCCAAAACTGCTGTCGGAGAGCTCCTCAAGAAACTCGCGTGATCTTTCAGGTTGCGTCGAACGTCGATTCGTGGACAAGATAGGAATGGTGATACCTGGAGTGTCTGATCGGGAACCTTGCAACATTCAACGAGCGCACTATGTTACAATGTGGAGCCTCGGTTCACCCATCGAGTATAGCACATCCGAAGCTGATCATGGAATCACATTTGACGACCACAGGAAACTACACTTGTCACTGGAAAGCTTCCTATACCGCACACCCAAGGAAACTCGCGATACGACCGAAAAGGCATTCTTTAAAATTATATCGGCGCTAAATTCACTATTATCGGATATCACCACATGGTGGCGAGCTCGAGGCATCCCAGCGACACTCTGTTTGACCTCGGTGGGAATGTTTGCGCCAGACCGACTCAAGGAATCGTACATACAGATCTTGCATACGCCACTTCATCGAGATTTTGATTTCGACGGTCTCGAGAAGCACCATCTAGCCCAAGAAGATGGCCTGCCTTTCTATGCCCCATACTGGGCAATACCGCAACACTCGACACTCTCTCTTCCCTGGCCTCTGCGACCATTACCACCTCACAAGGAAGACCTTGCTCTACGATTCCCAGAGCGCTATGGAGCCGACCCATACTACCGATCGGCGATAAAGCAAACGTTCTTGGCGAGACGGACGCCGTGACTTATAAGCAATACATCGTCGCTAAACAAGGAGATGCCGATGCGAAGAGGCATATGGAATACGTCCAACAAAACGGCTACACGGCCAATAAGCTACCCACCGATACTCCAAGCAGCTTTTCAACAACGTTGCAGTCAAAACTCAACAGAAAGGTCTACGAGCACAATAGTGCTCTGGAAGCACGCCGAAACGTGGAAATCGGATCGCGGCTACGTATGGTCTGCTTCGCTTTTACAGATCCTATCTGGCCTCCCCACAACTAAGAGATGAAGGATCTAGGGCTCACGGCAGAAGTGTACCATGATACGCTGCACCACATCGAGAGCATCAGACATGATGCAAAGTCAAAGCGGGCGTTCTTTGGAAAGAAGAAGCCCATGGAAGACGCCGTGCCTGCGGTACTCGACTATCTCAAAGTCGTAAACCTGCTCCGACACCAACAAGGGTCCAAGGTCATATGGACTATTGAAGGAATTCCGGCAGGAAAGGGACCTTACGAGATCAGTCTCTGGGATCAAAGCGATCCATTGGAGCTGTTAGTGCAGCTAGAGAAGCATGGAGTCATCAAGAAGAAGAGGTTCTTCGATGACTTGGAGGTTGGAGAGGGACTATGAAGCGAACCTTGCATTTGAGACGCAGGATTATTGGATAGCGGAGTTGCTGACTTCGAACGCGGGCCTGAGCGTCGAGACACATAATTTTCTGGACTTGGAAGCTCTTTTGAGCCTTTGCAGTCCCATAGCCTGCAGACCGAATCATCAGGCGAAGAATGAGTAGCCGATGTATATAGCGAATGAATAAAATTTTCCAATACTCTAAATGCTTCTCTTTCGTCCACTAGCGTGCGATCATTTCCTAGTGCCTTAGCAACTAAGGCTCCCAAATCCTTCATGCCCCGCGTTACTGATGCTGGCCTCTATCATTCTCAAGCACCGGTTCTTGACATTAAAGCAACAACTTTGGGCCGCTTCTCATCCCACTCGTCCCAGACAATCGAGTACATAGCAGTGTGCCTCCCCGGAAGTTCTCCTTTCGTGCCATTTCTCTTTTCAAGTGCGTCCACAGGAAGCGCCACCTGACCGCCCGGAAACACGCGCTGCCATCTTGCGACGCCCTCAAATTCGAATCCCATCCGCAGCGCAGCTCTCCTCGAGGCGGCGTTTTCCGTGTGTGTTTTCCACTCCACGCGTCGCAATCCTAGGCCCCCAAGGGAAGGGGAATCGAGCGTGTATAAAAGCAAAAGCCCAATTGCATTTGTCGCTACATGTGTTCGTTGAAAGGCCGGGAAAATAATAATACCCACCTCTGTAGCCGCGTTTACTAGGCTGGTAGCAGACAAAGCTACGGTGCCAGCGTAGTTACTGTCAGGATTCTCCTCTTCAGAAGCATTGGTCTTGTCATAGATTGCGTATAGGCATTCCTCGGGCGGTGAGCCTATATGCTTGTCGTAGAACTCTATGAATTCTTCTTTGGTGTTTATTGTTGGGAAAGCAATGTATGTGAGGAGATTTGAGCTGGTTTTGATCTCTTCTACGAAACGTGCTGCGTGGATAGTTGGCTACCGTGCCGAGAAGCAGAGTTAGATTGATGTATTCTTCGACATTGTCTTTGATGAGACTACACATACGTCAAATGGCTCGAGAGCAACGAGATCGTTCTCCAGGCGTCGCTGTTCATAGTGGAAGGCTCCTTTGGACATGATGTCTAGGGCATGTGTCCGAAGTATTGGCACGTCAGATGTGACTGTATAGATGTGACTGTATAGATGTGACTGTATAGAAATGAGTGTGTGTAATTGAGGAACGGGGTCGAATATGTGAAGTCTTTTAGTCCACGTTGTCCCAGCACGGTGGGGTTTTCATCACACTGGGGGAGGCTGTATGTATCCGCGAAAAAGGCCGACATCTGCATGGCATCACTACAGTGTTGATTCAACTACAGCGCAAGCCCAATACTATGGCTTTTTGATTTACTTCAGCTTGGTAGTAAATCTTTGAACTTAGAATCAAGTACTTGCAAAAGTATTTCCGAAGAATCGGGCGAATATAAGTCTGATGTTATGTTGCGTGCCTTAGATCGGCCCGATTTTCGAATACTCTACGTACACAGTGGAGAGAGGTTACATTCACAGATGCGTAGTTCGGTAACTACATATGGAAGTATTCTCACGTCCTGGATACGAGACACTGAGGTGTTCATGCAGGTCCTGATCGACGCGTGGCCCCCCTTCCAAGGGTCCAAGCCACCCGTCGCCACACTATACCTTCTCGGGCCTCCCTGTCCCCTCTCCGTTTCACGTTGAATCCTCGCGCATCCTCATCTCGATGACGATTGAAATCTTGTCACCCTGTCTCTGACGCCATCCAGGCTGTGCAAGGGCTGGCGCACACTCTTTTCCTCTCCTTGACCTTTCATTGTTCCCTTTGTCCTCTACAACTCCATATTCTGTCACGCTTAGGCACGCTGGCATCCGAGACTGCGCGACCTCCATACCGAGAGGGGCGAGTGGCCTACTGCGCCTCCTGATTTATTTGTACGCAACTACAGAGCGCCGCATATCGAAATCATAAGAAGCGCACCCTCACTGGATGGGCTTTCGTAGGAACACTTCGTGCAAACACACAGCATGGCGACTCTCATTTGGCAACGCGACGTTGCCGACGTCAAGGCCACCTTCACTTCATGGGACAAGTGCATGGCCAAAACATACTGCAAGTTCGTAGCCCCGTTTCCAAGGCAAAACTTCGCATGAACTAACCACTTTGCAACAGATGGCCGGTCATTGCAGCTATAATCGTAGTCGCCCTCGTCCTTATCTCTGTCCTCATCTGTCTTGGCAGGTGTATATGCTGTGGAGCGGAGTGCGCCTGCTGCTGCTTTCGGTGCTGTGGAGGATGCTGTGGCGGGGGTGGTCGAAAAGGACACAAGAAGATGAATTCTGCCTCTGCGCCGCCGCCATTGCCTGGAGGATACCAGCCAGCGTTCCCTTCTACGCCCGTGAACTCGCAGTATCGAGCACACAACACGCCCGCCTTCGAAAAACCACAATTCGCTACTTTTGAGAGCTCGAGCAAACCGGTCAACGAAGATGCTCTACCTCCCATGCCGAGCTGGAGTGATGCGACGAGCAGGAAGGTCGAGGAGGAGATTGTCCCCGAGAAACCAGGCGATGTTGAACTACACAATCTGGAACATAAAGCAGGTGCTTCGGATTCTATGCTAGCTGGAGCTGCTGGTACGCCTCTACGGTCTCCGGGGAGATCGCCTGTCCCTCAGTCGCCCTACCACGCTGAATCGGCTTACTCTCCACCCTCCCAGCAGTATGGTGGATTTGCTGGCCGACCTTCGCAACCCGGTCTTAGGAGTCAGGACTCGTTCCGTTCTGGGCAGCAAAATGGTGTTGTGGATCAGTACGGCAATCAGCAACCAGGATACGGAAACAGACTCAACTCTCCCGCACCAGGTGCTCCCGCTTACGACCCGATTCATCAATATGAGCGTGATTCTCCGAGACTGGGTGGTCAAGGTCAGGAATACGGACGGGGTTCTCCACGACCAGGCGGACAGAACAATGAATTCGGGCGCAATTCTCCACGGCCCGCTGGACAGAACAATGAGTTTGGACGGAGCTCCCCGAGACCAGTAATGGGTGGAGCAGCGAACTTCAATAACGGACCATCACCCACACAGAATCGTGGATACGGTCCTCCATCTCTCGCCATTGGTCGAGTCAATAGCCCTCTGGCGCCCAACCAGGTGTATGATGCACCACAACTCGCGCCTGGCCGAGTCAACAGCCCACTAGCAACACACCAAGCATACGACGCACCACGAGTAGCTCCTGGCAGAGTCAATAGTCCAATGGTAACCCATCAAGGATATGATGCGCCACAGGCAATACCTGCCCGAGTAAACAGTCCCTACCAACCATACGACGCACCACAAGCAGTATCACTGTACCACCACGACCAAAACAACTACACCGCACCCGAGCCTTACCATGAGCTGGACACCAGCTATACAGCTCCAAAGCCTTACGCCGAGTTAGCCGCTAACTACACAGCTCCAAAGCCGTACGCGGAGCTAGCTACAGGCTACAATGCCCCTCCACAAGCCCCTTCAGAGTTATCACAAGGATATGCCCCGTCAGGATCCACTCGTTTCGAAGCCCCAAGCGAGTACCAAAACAACTACCAGCAGCCCCAAGAACTAGATTCTGGGAGCTGGCCGATGCAGCCACAACAACAACAGCAGCATAACGGACATGGCGGTCGGAACTATTAAGTAACGTATCGATCGTGATTGCTTCTTTTTTCTCCCTGGGTCGTTTTGGGAGCTTTCTTTGTGCAAATTTTCTTGGTCTTTATTCCCCTTGATTTTGCATAGCGCGGCGTTGCGACTTTTTGGGTTTCTCAGGTTCCATGGTGGTCTAGGTGATTCTCAAGGGATTCCTGCATATATCCAACGCTTGTAGTAGTTCGCTCACTTGTAAGAGTTTGGATGGACGCGAGTAGGTAGCGTGATAGTCATAGCTGCATAGCAGTGTCTTTTCGATCCGAGCTCTGTTGCACCGTTATTTTCCTGCTTCGTTCATGTCTCTGCAGTGTTTCTGAGGTCTTTTGAAAGGATCCAGCTCAACTTTTCTTCTAAATCAGGTCTTCTCACTTTCTCCAAGGTCAGAGCAGACCAGCCACTATTCTTGTTTCGGAACGTATTCGGCACCGCTTTCTCCTGGGTATGTAGTAAGCTAAGCCCGCTAAACCGAATTTGGAACGTATTCGTCTAGAGATGACCCATTTCGAATGCATCTATTTCCAATTCTTCAACTGGAAGACTTGACATTATGAATTCATCGCGCTTTCGGGGATTCGACGTAAGACTTAAGCCGAGCTGACAAACATCACGCGGTGAGTTCTATTGTGTTTGGATCCGAGACAAGCCAAATCGAAGCAAGAGTGATGTATGTATATAAGAGTGCTGAGAAGGTGTACACTTAGACTTATTCATTTCAACGAACTATCACTCTTCGCAGCTATATCCAGTTTCACAAAACCTCAACTATTTCCAAACAACCACTCCCCAGCCCACCACCATGAGCCCCCCAACCATCGCCATCGCCGGCTTCACGGGCAAAATGGCCCGCCTCATCACCGCCTCCCTCCTCTCCACCCACCCGCACGCCCTTATCCACGGCATCGCCCGCTCCCCCGAGAAAGTCCCCGCCGCCATCAAAACCCACAAAAACGTCACCACCTTCGCCGCCTCCGCCACCGACCCCGCCGCCCTCCGCACCGCCCTCCGCGGCGCCTCCGTCTGCATCTGCTGCTACCTCGGCGACGCCGCCCTCATGCTCGACGGCCAGAAGCAGCTCATCGACGCGTGCATCGCGGAGCGCGTGCCGCGTTACATCGCGTCGGACTGGTCGCTGGACTTCCGCCCGCTGGCGCTCGGCGAGCACCCGGCGAAGGACCCGATGAAGCACGTGCAGGCGTACCTCGAAGAGAAGGAGCGGGAGGGGAAGATCAAGGGCGTGCATGTGCTGAATGGGGCGTTTATGGAGGTTGTTTGGGCGCGCTTCACAGGGTTTGTGGATGTGGAGCGGGACGCGTTTTTTGCGTGGGGCACGGGGGATGAGAAGATCGAGGTGGCGGCGATGGGGGATGTGGCGGCGTGGACGGCGGGGGTGGCGGTGGATGGGGGGGCGAGTGGGTTTTTGAATTGTGAGTTTTTGGAGACTGGGGATTGGTGATGGATGGATTTGGCTGACTTGCGATATTTTGTAGTTTTGGGGGATAGGAAGTCGGTGAAAGAGTTGGCGAAGCTGTATGAGGATGTCTATGGCGTGACGCCTACGATTGAGAATAAGGGCACGCTTGAGGAGCTTGAGGTTGCTAAAAAGGCGGCGTTCGAGGCAGATCCGGGCAATTATAATGTGTGGAGGGGGTTGTTTTATCAGCTTGTTATGCTCAGTGGTAAGACTAACTTGGGTCCGTTGGATAATAAGCGCTATCCGATGGTTGAGCCGAAGAATGTGGAGGCTTTCTTAAAAGAGCATACAAAAGAGTCGGTCGGGAAGAGCATCTTCTTCTTCTGAGTATATAAAGTTTCTGGACGCAACGGCCTCGTGCATTTGTACTATGGATTGCTTCTTTAAATCCTTTGGTATGATCAATAATCGAGTTGTTGTTCTCTAGTAAACGGCCCAGTCCTGCCAGAAGGCATCTAGTTTTCAAGTCTATAACCACAAGCGCTAGCCGGAAACTCTAGCAGGTTCTGAACTCCAGGCTCTGAAAACTGGTCCAGATATGTGCAAACTTTGGTGCACTGCTGCTTCGCCGATCGAGTGATCCACCAAAAATTAATCCGCAGAATCAAGGCGCACCAGTAAGCAAGAATGAGTAAAGCCTTGGGATCGCTCTCCTCCAGTAGATTCAGAAATTCGGGAGATAGCTTTCCAACCCATACCATATACCATCCCACCATGTCGCGATGCGGCTCTGTAGCAGAGAGTCGACCCAGCCGTTGGATTGGATGCTGATAGGGGTTGTCTGTTGAAGAAGAATCGGCTTGAACATCACACAGTTCTTTTAGTGCAATCAGATTTTGGTACACGTCCGAATCGGTTTGAGAGTCGTTACTCATGTCCACATCAGCTTCCCATTCTCTAGCCTCGAGAAATATCGGCGCCCATATGCTATCCTTGAGATGGGTTTGGATAGCGGGATCGTCTTGAAGGATTCTGGTTCCCTGTAATGCTCGTAGCCAAGTGAAATCACCATGACTAAAGGGATCTTTCGTAGCTGGCTCTGCTGACCCAGCTGTGACATCCCCGTGGCTCTCCAAATGTAGCTGGTCCGATGGCCTGGAAAGATTCCAAAACGTCATTGGTCCAAGAAGAAACCAAGTTCCGAATAACTGATCAGCATTATCCGCTCCAACATGAGTCGAAATCTGGTTCGAATACAACGCTAAGGATCTGTTATAATGGATAGTTGATGCAATCTCGTACTTCAAGTTTCCAGGCTGGAGGTAGTTGAGATGACATGCCGCAAAAGCCAGTATGCCATGTAGCAAACAAGGCGCACCTAGACCGAGATTAAAGCCATGCTTTTGCATAGTATTCTGCACCTCTGTAGTTCCGATCCAAGGGTAATCTGCGTCGAACCAGTGGTCTAGAAGCTCCACCGCATGGATTCGTTTGTACTTTGGATTGGCGAGCTGGTCGCAAGGCATACTGCTCTCTTTCATGAAGTCTAGTAGTTTCGTCCTGGCGAGTTCCCGGGAGATCGAGTGCTCAAGTCTTGGTGATGGTGTCTCTAGTTGCTCATTTGGTGGTTCCGCTTGAGGGTACTCGCAGCTGATCTTTCTGTGGGCGCACTGTGCGCAAACTGGTTTGGATTCATCGCACTAAACTATGAGCCTCGTAATGCACTGACATGTATTGGAGCATAAGGTACCTTTATTCTTTTCTGTTTACAGCTCTTGCATCCGTTCCTAGACTTCGTATGTGGTATTCGTGTGCTTGATCTTACAGCCGGTGGGGCATCTCGTACTCCATTCGGAGATTCGGCGACCCATGTACGGTCAAGCTGCTTATTCATAGATGTTTAGTTCTCGCACAGCTATCAAGTATAGAAGGATTATAAAGGCAAGAGAGAGACAGAAAACGATGAAGGACTGTGATAGAAATGGAGGCTTCCATGAGGAGGCTATATCAGCTTGCTGCGTAAATATGAACAGCACAGCTAAGAACACCCGAGTAGGATGAGCAGGGGCTAAGCAGTGGGTGCGCGAGTTGGAGAGAAAGACAATAAAGCGCTCAGGGCAGCTTAGATTAGAATAATAATCCTCGGCTCAGGGTAGTCTAAAGCAGCGCCTATTCAGGCACTAAGGCGAGAACGGAAATAGTGTTTTTTTCATGATCATAACTATGAAGGTACAACATGGACTCCCTGTACTACAGGTCACGTCAACGTTTGTGTTGCTTGATCTTGCATACATAAGCTGACCGCAGCACCTCAGCCGTTCTCACGCACCGCCACACTTCACGTAAGTAGGGAAGTCTTTAAGTGATAAACCATCCCGGAGCCTTCCTTTCGAAAGTTGTTGGATTCTCAGTATTTCATCTTTGGTCTGTAATCTTAATAGCAGTAAGGCAGGCGTGTGTCCCCCCTGCCTATATACAATCTCACATCATTTCCTGGTTAGCTTCTCACGTAGGAGCTGCTTGCGTAGCGGCCTTCGAAGAACCCGACGGGCCCGAATATAATCTTCGACTCGAGTTCAATATCGCTCTCAATACCATCCTAAAAAAGACCTCGCTGTCGTCCTCTATCTGCTATCGAAGTCAACATTCTCACTATCACCCTAATCTCCTCTCCCACCATGTCTCCACCCCCTACCATCGTAAGGCCCCCCTCCCTTTCCCCTCCGCTTCCATCCCCCACTAATCCCTCAGTTCAACCCAAATCAATGCCCGGAATGCCCGTTCTTTTCAAACTCTCAGACCGAACGCTCAGCCCACATGGATGCCACATCACACAACGGCTGCTCGAGCTGCAGCGTGTTCCTTGTGATCGGGGGCCTGGCGAATCACATGTGGAACAAGCACTTTGACGAGCCGTGGAACGATCATGCGGTTGAGTGGACGGATAAAGTCAGGTTGCAAAAGAAGGAGGAAAGGGAGAAGGATGAAAAGGAGAAGGGGGAAAGGGAGAAGAAGGAGGGAGACAAGGCAGGGAATAAAAGCCACAGTTCTTCGTTGTGATTAACGTGGTGGGGGGAGTTTAAGAGAGTTCTGGGGGTTCGAAGTGGGTTGATGTGGTAAGTAGAGAAAGGGGGTGTTAGGGTGGAGAAAGATGAGAGGTCTGTTGGTCTATAGTTTCGAGCTCGCATATGAGTCAGTGATATACCGTATCCAGTTCACGTTCGCGCTTTGGTATTTCCTGGATGCTTTTTCGAGCATCATCATTGCCCCGAAGCCGTGGGGGAGGCCGGGGTAGACTTGGACGGTCACTTGGACGCTTTTGATATCGTTAGAGAGATATATGGTAAATAGTGCGGCACTGCTCACCCTGTTGCTTGCAATGCATCAGCGTACGCTAGCGCTTCGTCCCTTAGTGGATCGAGGCCTGCAACTTGGATCACTTCTCCACGTTAGAATGTTGCATCGTATGAGAAGATTGGTAATGGAGCACTCACGAGCCGGCGGTAGCCCTTCTAACGACTTTGCCAGCAGCGGGCTGGCATACTCCTCCCTCGTTGGCTCTGGCGTATATTGATCTAGCCCCATGGTCAGCATTCATCGCCTCTCGCTCACAAAACAGAATATTAGAATCTTTACTCCAAAAGTACTGCATCCGCATCATGGAAAGACCGCTCGCATCTTTGTTTTGCTCCCAGCTGCCTAGCTCATACTTGTCTGCTGGATAGAAGTCGGGGTGGCACGTGACGGGAATATTGAGGATCTGGCCTATGATTCCGGTGACTTTCTCGTTGCGGGCTTTAAGCGCCATTACTGCGGCCTGTGATAGTGATGAGTTGGTGTTGAGGTTGAAAAGAGGAGGGAAGAACTAACGAGGTTCCCGCCAGCACTGCTTCCGCCGACTATGATGCGCTCTGGGTTTATGCCGAGCTCTTTTGCGTTGCCTTTGCACTGAGGGTATAGTCAGCGTTACCTCACAATAGATGTAAGACACAATTTACCCATAGAAGGACATCGAAGCTATCGTTGACCGCATACGGATACTTGAACTCTGGAGCCCTGTTCCACACATCAGCTCCAATCTCATCTCATCTTCCAAGCATAGAGCCACTTACATCCGGTAATCTACACTCACAACGACCGCCCCATTATCCCTGGCCACATAACGATTCATGATCTCCTCAATCCCATGACTCCCCACAACCCACCCGCCTCCATGCATGACATAGAACAGCACCACATCACCAGCATCCACGTTGGCCTTAGCCTTAGACGCATAGACCTTGATCCCAATCTCCGTCCCATCTCTAACCGGTACCGTCCGCTCCGTGATTTGGAACTCCTCAGCCTTAGGAACAAAGTCTGGAAACGGGAATGGCATCTTCAGCATAGCGCGGGTTTGTTTGAGAGGCCGGTTCCATAGCTTTACCAAGAAAGCGTCGGACATGGGTTTGAAGGGGACGAATTCGGGGTCCATTGCGGAGAGGTGGCCGTATTTCTTTCCTGGTGCCATGGTGGACATGGGTTTGGTTGGAAGTTGAGAAACGAGTCTATGAGTGAAGTGAGAGATGTGTCGAGGAAACTATAGATGTAGAGAAGACAAACAGGCTCAACACTTTTATGTATGAGACGTTTGGCAAAGAAAGAGGCGCTATGTCCCACTTGAGCCCACCTGACGTGCTTTGCTTCTTTTGGACTGCGCTCTTCTGAAGACCTACTTGAAAGTGCTAAGTGAGAGCGAGTCCCCGCGCTTCGGGTTCTCGGTTTATCAAGTCAATCCCGGGGTTTCGCTAGTGATTTTGTAGGTAAGGTAGGTGACACAAGTGGCTAGGTACCTCCGATGAGCTAGTCTTCGGGATGGCGTTCAGCGTGCCTCTTATCGCGGGGAGGTGCTGTCCAGCCGAGACTGGGACTGATGTCGCGCGTGAAACGTTGAGGATACGATTTCCTCGGCCTGAGATGCAATTAGTTGGTCTTGGTCATTGAGCTGAAAAACAAGAGGATAGTAGCCTCGATTGGTTGTTGTAAGAGTTGGTGTAAATCCGGTACGAGGACTTCGAAATCCGTACAAATCGCTTACGGATTTCGAAGTCCATTGTAGCTGATCGGCAAACTCATGAACCTCACAGTTAACGAGATAGGGTTAGCAATTCCTTGAAGTTGTAGTCGCCTTGGATGCGAATAATCTATATGTATGTTTCAATTTCAATCCAATCAATAGCGGATAACCTCCCCCTTTTAGTTCCTCCCCAGACCAGTCGCTTTATCTCGTACAAGTCTGAGTTTCCATCCACCTTGCATGCACTGTACTGTACACTTGCTTGACTCCTCTTGGGATGGCCAAGTTTATACAATAAGAGTACAAGGTGAAGTGGCATATCCAATCATAAAGGGGTCAGATGCCGAATCGTAAAGCCGTTCCATAGTGCCAAAGAAAGTTAAAAGAGACAAGCAAACCTCCCATTAGGTCCAATTTCGTCAAGGCGAGCCAATGAAAAATGAGATCTTCGAATGTGAGCCCCTCGGAGGCCCTCAAACTGGGTATAATCGTAGAGGCCAGGTAATGAAAGACTGCCCTGCTCCAAATTGGGTCGTCCTCTCTCTTCGCAACCCAAACGTACGAACCAACTCCTCCCGCACGGTATCATCTCATCCATTGCCTCACATAAACGCCTGCGCCATCTTCACCATGCTCCCCAATCCCCCCATGCCGCTCGCGATAGACCCCAGTCCACCCAATCCACCCATCCCACCACCCATCTCGTCACGTCCATACCCCTCACTACCATAGTATCCCCCCCCTCCTCTGCTCTGGTGCGCACCGCTTCCCTTCAGAAAGTCCGGTAGCTGGATCCCAAACTGCTTCGCTGTCTTGTGTAACACGCCGCCTGAGATCAGCGGCATGGCGACCATGAAGAAGACTTTGTAGGGGTGGCGGCGCGCGTAGTCGTAAAGCCGCCGTAAAAGTCGCTTGAACTTGTGTAGCATAGATTGGATGTAACCGTCACGCGGGCGGCGCTTGTAGGAGGAGGTGGAGCCGCGGTGGGTAGAGTATGATGAGCCAGCGGAAGAGCGGGCATAGCCAGGGCGGCTGTGGGAGCGAGAGGAGGTGCCTGTGAACCAGCCCATGATGGCTTTTGTATGTGTTGTATTCACTTTAGAGATGGAGCCGTTGCAAATTCGCAGTCAATCAGCTATCCGGAGCTGAAAAGCTGAGCTGAAGTCGCGGTGGCTGGGTTTGAAGGATGACAGGACCAAGTGAGGGGTTCCAGATGTCAATCAAGCACTGGCCTCGTTGAAGGATGCGATAGTCGTGCTCGTCAATCTTGGAGTATGCGAGCTCGTGGGGAGAGTTCGGATCGCTGATGGGCTTATGTAGCTTACTGACCGCTTCTTGGTGGTTGGAGAACCCTAGCCGCGTTAATGCAGGTGATGCCGCTCCCAGCCACCGCCAAGGGTATCGTTCAGGGCGATCAGTAGTACGTGGCGATTGGTTGGGCAGCAGGGAGGATTCTGGCCCAAAGTGAGGCGCTTTGATAGCGAATGGGGTGCAACTTACTGCTTGAGCGGTGAGAGTCGAGTTGGATAGAATTTTGGTGTTGAATGTAGAATATCGTGGCGCAGCAGACGCCACATAGAGAGTGTGGCGCAAATTCCCGCTAGGGGCAGAGACGTCATTGACGAAACTTGACCTTGAACAGCCCTGTGGCCCAACCTATCTGTCCTTTTGTCTTAAACAAACACAACTCATACAGCTCCCTTTGCAACATCTAACCCACTACTCTCTACGCAAGACCCTAATCCTCCCTCTATATCCACAATGTCCAGTAAGTCTAGCCCCCAACTCCCTACACGCAAGGCTAACACTCTCCAGCCCCACCAGTGGACTACTGTAAGCTACACCCCTCTACAGAGTAAATACAAAATCTCACAAACCCCCAGATGCGTCTCTGGAAGTCGACCCCAAAGCAACCCAGCAACAGATTCGGGATGCCTACAAGAAGTACGTCCCGCATCGCTCAAGCTCCAACGTTAGTCCACTTCTAATACATACATCCCCCACAGAGCCGCCCTCCGCTACCACCCCGACCGCGTCCCCTCCGACTCCCCCGAGCGCACCGCCCGCACCAAGAAGTTCCAGCAAATAAACGACGCCTACTACACCCTCAGCGACCCCACGCGCCGCCGCGACTACGACGCGGCCCGCACCTACCACGACTTCGGCGCACCCCCATCCGCCTCCCCAGACTACGACGAAGAGGTCCCGCGGCCCTCTGGCGGCGGTGGCGGTGGGTTTCCGTGGTCCGCCTTCGGTTTCGGCAGCGGTAGTGGCACCCAGCCGTCTGCGGAGGAGCACAACCGCTTTTCTCAGGAGCAGTTTGGCGGGGTGTTTGAGGAGATGCTGCGGGAGGAGGGTATGGCGGAGGGGGAAAGGGCGGCGCCGACGGGGAAGTTCTGGAGTGTGGTTGGGGGACTGAGTGGAGGGGCGATGGGGTTTATTGTTGCGAACTTCCCGGGGGCGCTGGCTGGGGCGGTTGCTGGGAATAGGTTGGGGGCGGTGAGGGATGCGAGGGGGAAGAGTGTGTATGCGGTGTTTAATGAGCTGCCGCAGGCGGATAAGGCGAGGTTGTTGAGTGATCTTGCCGCGAAGGTGTTTGCGCATGCGGTGGGGTCGTAGAGTGAACGCTTGAAGAAAGGGGAGGGGATGGGAGTCGGGAGTTAGGGGCGTGAAAGATACAACTGGGCAGGGAACGAGGGTAATGATATCCAACCTTTTCATTTTCTTTGGTTACAGCGCGGTTTAACATGGGCAATTCGTCAATGCTAAAAACCATGCTCTAGAGACCCCAAACAGTGACAAAATGTGAGGCCTAAGACACGCAATGTCCCCTTGGTGTAGTCATTAAAGTTAACAAAAGTGACGAATCTAACCGCATGATAGCTTATATCAGAGACCCGCCGTACACGTTCCGTACCCTATGCGTATTCCCAAATCTAACGCAATCGCGAGCCCCGATATCAGGTAGCTTTAATAGCTTCCAGGATAACCGACCAACAACTTGTGAAGCATTTCCGTGAACGTCAAGGGTCCATTTGTGAAAGAGTAACGAATCTAACCGTGTGAACTTTTTTTTCGTAGAAGCGCCGTGCACGCGGTGTAGCCTCTCGGTGGTTCGAACTTGTCCCTGGACCTAGGGCTTCAAATTGGGCGACATCTAGGAAGTGAATGTGGAGTGATGAAGAATACGTGGAATGAGTTTGTGGACGCTAGCGGCGCTTTTGTAAAAAGAAGTAACGGATTGAACCGCACGAAGATTTTTTAGCAGAGACGACGTGCACACAGCGTGAGCTACGATTGGATGTGCGTCATCTCCAATCCGCTGCCTTGAAATATGGGCCAGAATCGGAAGGGCAATTCTAAGACTGTGATGAAAAGGTGAAGTCACTCAGTGGACGATAGGGGGAAAAGTGTTGGAAGAAGTAACGAAATCAACCGCGTGATAGGAAATTACGTAGACACCAGGTAGACGCGGCGTGCACAATGGGTATTCGTGTTTTGACCGTAGCTCAAGGCGTTTATATTGGACAGTGGCTAGAGTCGGCCTGATTCTCTTGTTGCCAGCTCAGAAGGACCTCAAAGTCTTCATACCATCTCCAGCCCCGATTCCTTCTCCTTCTTGATTTGTTCCAGATCCACGATGATGATGCCTTTACCTTTCATCTTACCACTCTCCGCCAACTCGAATAGTTTCGGCAATTCTTTCAGTCCAGTAAACGCGTTCGTGTTGGCGGAAATCTTATGCTTGCCAACCAACTCGAGCATATCGCGCGCCTCCTGCACAGAGCAGATAAGGGAGCCTTTTACTCTGATATCCCGGAAAACCAATTCTTGAAAGGGAATCGAGAACTCGGTAGGCTATTCGAATGGTTAGCATACTCCATAGGGCCATAGTAAACCTCAACTCACCTGGGCGATCTGAATGACCGTCCCATGCATCCTCGTAATCGCACAACTCAATGCTGCCGCCCCCTTCGCATCACTCAAAACCACGGTCGCCCCCACTCCCTCACTCCCCGTAATCTTCTTCACCTCCTCAACAACCTTCTCATTCCCAATCCTAGCATCCACCACCGCATCCACGCCCGCCTTCTTCGTAAGCTCAATCCCCACATCCCTCGCCTCAATCCCCACAGTCTTCACACCCAGCGCTTTCGCAAACTGAACCGCCAAATGCCCCAGTCCACCACCACTCCCCACAATCCCAATCCACTCCCCCGGCTTCAGCTCCGCTTTCGCCTGCAGAATCCCACGATACGCCGTACACCCCGCACACGCCAGCGGCGCCGCCGTCTCAAAGCTCAGATTATCCGGCAACTTCACCGCCGTGCGCGCATCTACCCGCACATACTCAGCGAAGTTCCCGTCTCGCGTGATGCCCAGGTGGCCGCCGTGCTGCGTGCAGTACTGGGAGTAGTTCTCGGGCCCTTTGCAGTCGACGCATTGGCCGCAGAGGGAGTAGAGCAGGTTGCACATGATGCGGTCGCCGGGCGCGAAGTCTTTGACGGCAGAGCCGACGGCGGCGACGGTGCCGCTGCCTTCGTGGGAGCCGGTGGTGGGGAGGGGCGAGTTCATTATGCCTTCGAGGGCCATGAAGTCGGTGTGGCAGAGGGAGGCGACAGCGGTGCGGATGAGGAGGTCGTGGGGGGCGAGGGAGGAGGGGACGGGGATGGTGTTGAGTTTGTAGGGTTTGTGGAACTTGGGGGTGTTTAGTGGATGTGCTCGTCGAGGAAGATTGAATGCATACTTCTACTATTTGGGCTGCGAGCATGGTTTCTGGGATGTTCTGGGGGGCCATTGTGCCGTCTGAGGTTATGATGACCTAGATAGGCCTTGGTGTCTAAAACTTAGGAAGAGCTACAAAGGTATGAGGAGAGTAGTGTGGTATTTAAGTAGGGGTTGAGACTAGGGCAGAGTAACATTGCGGAGTACCGGAGTCTAGCTTCACAGCTTCATGGTTTAAATCTAAGCTCACGCAGACGTCATGCAAAAGCTAATTGGTTCCACTTTCTTTGATGGCGAGAGATGCATCGATGACGGAGATAGAATGGAAATAAGGAGATAAATCCAGAGTACTCATTTCCACCATGAGATATTACCTAACGGAGAAACTCTCTTGAGATACATTAGAAGGCATCCATGAAGCAATTGCATTGATTCTACAAAAGTTCATTGACGATGTCTCTTAAGGGTCTTGAGATGTCGTCGGAGTTACCTAAGCTGAGGTCAGTAGTAGGCCTTGACCAATCAAACGAGACACAGGGCCAGCATGGACCCACGTGCAACGTCTCACGCTCCTCGGCCCAAATTTCTTCAACATCTCCCGTATACATTTTAGTCTTGCCTTTCCTTCTAGGTATTGAAGCGTTCCAAGCGTCATCAAAATGAGTACCACCAAGATCTCTCAGGAGCTGAGCCGGAAGCATCCGCTCCAACGACTCGAGTCTCCTTCTACGGGCATATCTGCATTGATTCATGTATGCCGACTGCTCGATATCTTTAGTGTACGGGAAGGACCTTCCATGCTGATGAGATCTAGGTCGTTGGACTTGCCAGTTTCTCTTATTCGTACAAATAGTGAGTATTTAGTGTATAGATATTGTGCGAAGCTCTGCTGATGTCATGTGTAGTCTTTTCGACTTTCCAAATTTTATGTAGGTGTTCTCAATTGCACATTTCATATAAAAATACGCCTTGTAGCAAAAAAAGGGGAGGTCATCAGAAAGATCAGCTCCCTACATAGAGACTCCCGACCACTTTAACCATCAAGATCTTTCTCCTACTTTTTTCGGCCCCATCCCACTTCCTCCCACCCTCCCCACCCCTCTTAAACCCTCCCTAACACCCCCCAGCTCCGAATCCTACGGCTGGCACTTCCAATTCCTCACCATCATCGGCCTCACCGTCGCCACCACCTCCTTCATCTTCGGCCTCCTCGCCGACCTCACCTCCTCCCGCCGCCTCTTCTCCGTCAAAAACACCCTCGCCGCCACCGCCGCCCCCCTGGAAGTGCTAATCAGCATCCTCTACTGGACGCTGCGCTTCGTATGCCCCTTTCCCATTTCCTCTTCTCACCCATCCACCCACTAACGACCCCCCAGACCGACCCCTCCCTCGTAATGCCCGACTGGGCTCCCCCCCTGACCCTCCCCGCCGACATCAGTTTCCACGCCCTCCCCTCCCTCCTCCTGGTCCTCGACCTCCTCCTCCTCTCGCCACCCCGCACGGTCGGGCTCTCCACTCTCCTCACCAGCACGTTCCTCGCCTTCGCGTACTGGTTCTGGGTCGAGCTGTGCTACTCGCACAACGGGTTCTACCCGTACCCGCTGTTCGACGCGCTGAGCACGCCGCAGCGGGTGGGGCTGTTTGCGTTCAGCGGGGCGCTGATGGCGGCGAGTGCGGTGGGGTTGGGGGCGGTTTATGGGTGGGTGAATGGGGTGGAGGGAGGGAAGAGGGCCACGTGATTGATTCGCGGTTGGTGATGGCGCGTGATCTCGGTTAAATCCGGTCGTTCGTTGGGCGATTGAGTCCGAGATCGGGAGGGGGCCGATAGGTTTGTTGGGAAGCACGTAGGGATCGGGGTGGTTTGGCGGTCAAGCGAGCATTTCTACCGTCGCGGGTGGAGGAGGTCAGGAGGGTAGTCGTGGGCTGAAAAAGGTGAGGGGGGGCCGGAAGTGGCCCCGAGATCCCCCAGCGCCCTGAGGATGGAATGCCAGAGGTAGAGCAGAGGTAGCGCCGAGAAAGCGAGAGAGATTCAGAGGTAATATAGATGGGTATCATATTCCACGTAGCTGAGTCTATATCGCACAACTCCACAAAGCGAACGCTTCAAAAAATCAAGTAGGTATCTTCGGAAATCGTAACAAACAAGCAATTCCCATTCTGTTCTACAAGTATCATCGCGATGGCCCTGCCTTCCACGCAACGATGCTCGGAAAACAATGGTATTACACACAGGACCCACTTCCATTACAGAGAACACATTACCGCTCCCATCCCCAGTACGGTACGTTCATAATAGCATAGCTGATGTTGAGGAAAGGTAGTAACCGATGACAGAAATGATGGGTAGACAGAACACCACTCCATCAGAGCCCTACCATAAGCGCGTATATCATGATTCCAAAAGACGTGGAGCGATTCAACAGCTTTAGCGACAGACGGAAAAGGAAAACGCAACAATTCAACTGCTGTAGCGACTGACAAAAAAGCAAAGCCATTCAAACTGTTGAAACGACCGAGAAGAAACGCAAAATAGAGTAAGTCGAATAGACGTGGCCAGCAATGGGTCTAATGCGGACACGGGGATGGCGGGGCCGTTAAGGTCCGCTCGTCGTCGACTTCTTCGTCCTGTGGGTGGTAGGCGTTGAAGTAGTTGCTCATTTGGTTGCTGTTGTAGAACAAGCCTTGCGGATCGTGTCCGGAAGGGGCGTGGTGGAAGTGAGGTTGAGGGAATGGAAGGCCGCCACCATAGAACGCCGGTTGGTGATGTAGTGTGTCCACGTTTTCCTTGTTGTCGTACTGGAAAGCATTGGCAAGCGGCTTGAACGAGAAGGCAGGAGATGGTGCTGGTGGTGTGTAGTGGAACTCGGAGGTGAGGTAGTTGAACCCCGCTGGGTGTGCGAAGGTTACCTCCTGATCATGGAAGACGTCGAACCCGCTTTTCTTCTTCTGGCCAAAGTCGCCGTACTCAAAGTCAAGATGTGAGCTTGCACCATCGTAGTTGTTGCGAATGGCGCCTGGAAATGTGCCTTGGCGAGTATGCTGCCGAGTGCGTCGAGGACGGTTGGTGTCCATTTCAGCGAGAACCGGGCGGGGAATGAAGGTCCGCTTTGGAGAGTCCTCAAGCTTGATGGGACTACTCTCTTCGAAGCTTGAGCCAGAGATTCTTCGTTGCTTCTTGAAGGTACCTTGGGGTGTGAAGATGATTTCCGTAGGCTCAACCTCCTTGGAGTTGATCTCAAGTTGCTCCAGCACAGAGCTGTCCTTCTTCTGGTTTCTCTTCCGTCTCATCTCTGGGGTGGCGGAGTCAAAGATGTCCATACCTGGCCAATACACACCCTTCAGCTTTGTGCACTCGCTGATCGTGCTCTCCTCTGTGGTGACGGTTGTGGTATCATCATCCACGATAGCAGACTCGTTAAGCCCATAGTAGTAGGCACGTCGGCCAACAGGCTCTGAGATGCTGTCATCATCGTCGTAGTCAGGGCTTGCATAGCGTCGGGATAGCGAGCGGGACGGCGGCCAGAGTTGCATTCGGGGAGCGAATGACCGGTGACGGCTAGCCTGGTCGAGCATGGGAGGAGGAGTGGGGGTGTGATCTTCAATCTTGATGGTATTCTCGGACAGGCGAGGGTCGAGGGAATTGAGTCCAGAGCGTGGCCGATTCGAGCGCTGTGGTGCAGCTGGAGCGGTCGACGTAGAGGTAGACGAGGCTCGATCTGCAGCAACGGGAACGCAGTCAGGCATCAGGCCACCCTAAAGGCAAAGAGGGACTTACTAGATGGGCGGGCTCGGGTGCGTTTCTTATCCTTCTGGCTCATGCGGTCTGACATGAGGTGCTCGACGTTCCACTCTGAGTACCACCGGTCGTAGGCCTCAATCAGGCGGCGAGACGCGTCTTCGGAGCTGGAACGGACCTTGACTTTGTAGTAGTGAGAGAGATGGCCTTTGCTGGCTATGTGGGTGAGGAGGTGCGAGACATCGCTGAAGTTTGGTTTCTTCGGGCAGATATTGCAGTGTAAGGGAATGGTGCCGGCGACAGGCATGCTGGCGAGGCAATTGGGAGTGGGATATGGAGGTAGTGGGCAAGCAAGATCAGAGCGGTGCAAAGGAGAGTGCTTGTGTGCAGAGAGAGTGTATGGTGGAGAAAGGAGCGGGCTGGTTGTTGTCGAGAAGGAAGAAAGACGGAGGCTCGGAGCGAGAAGTGATGAGGGGCACTCCAGGGTGGATGGCTACTGACGCTGCATTGGGCTTGTTTGTGTGAAAGTGAAGAAGGAAGAACAGGTCAGCGAGGAAAGATTGATTATGTAGCCATCGAGGGGAGTGGGCACGCCACGTGTGGACGCAACCGTGACCGCTCAACGGCTTCGCTCTGTCCCGGCTTTGTATCCCGCGTCTCATGAGCAGGAGACGGGAGGTATTAGATAGCGGGAGGGCTTCTAGCTCTAATCTACAGCGACATCGGCCGGCGAGGCTGGAGTCGCGGTCTACAGTCCCAGATCATCCATCATCCATTTGTGTAACTATCGGCAAGACGGCCTAGTTGGGCGGATACCTTCAGTCCGTGATACCGGAAGTCGCCCCGAAGCACGCGTTGGGTAGTCTCCAGCATCGTCTCATTATGGCGTCTCTGCACCGTTTAAAGCACGCTGGAGCACTATGGACAGCGGCGAGCATTCAATGTCCATACGCCTAAGCTGTGGGTTTGGTCTACGTGCGCGAGCATGTTCCACCTCGGCTAGATTGCTAAGACGCCATTAAAGCACGTTCAGCGCTGGCAAAGACGTGTACACAGACTTCTGAAGAGACACTGGACAGTCCTCTAAATAGTCCCTATTTCACTTCCCCACCAGACGTTGCGTTATCGACAACGGCATACAGCTGCACCAGCATCAGCGCGACTTCAGGGGTCTACTTTCTCCGTGCTTCAACGACGATGACTTACTAGATGGGATCTATCTCGGCCAGGCCTGGAAACTTGAGGAGGCTCAACCCGGCGATTCCAAAGTGGGTATGGAACACATCAACCATGTCCCCGGGTCTATCCGCCAGCCCGCCCAGTTCAGGGTCCTGCAACAGTTAGGCGGAGTTTGGTATCTGGTCAGTTGATCACCTACCTGAGTGCTCAGGATGAAGGCGGTCAGTTTGCCTTGGTCAATCCAGTGAAGTCTGTCAATCATGGCAAGGCTGCTAGCAACCCACCAGCTGTAGCATACATCTTCTTTCTTCTCCGGCCTACCGTTCAGCCCGCCATTCTTCAGCTGCCTCTCGCTCAGCCATCCCCCCAGCTTGTCTCGATCTACCAGATCAAGGCGGCCGGCGATGGACAGAGCACCGATACAGGTGAAAATTTGGCCGGCATGAGACTCAGCACCAGGACCCGTGCCATAGCCGCCGTCAAAGTTAGCGCAGGCTTGCACATGTTCAACGGCCTTGTCTACATCAACCAGGTCCATGTGACCCAGGAGAGACAAGGCGTTGAGAGCACCGTAGAGGAAGCGCGTGTCGTACTCGGCCCATTCGTCGCCGGCAAAAGTGCCAGTATCGGGGTTCTGCAAGTCGGCAATGACTGCAGTGGTCAGCAACACTAAAGGGCGATCAACGGGCGGCTCTTACATTGCGCAATCTTCCGCCTGCCACCCTCGACACGCGCTTCCAGGTCGCCAAAGGCATCCAGCGTGGCGAGGATTTGGACGGCGCTCACCGTGTAGAGCATGTGCGCGTCGTGGCCTGGGGCGGCCCCGAAGCCACCGCTGTCATGCAGGCACGACAGGACAAAGTCGACGACTTCGTTGCGCGGGAGGGCGTCGGGATGGCCGAGGAGGTGCAGGGCCGTCAAGCCCCAATACAGGCCGTTGAGCCGCAGGTGCTCCGTCAGCCAGTACTCCAGCTCGTCTTTGCGCTGTCGCCAGGTCAGCCACAAGCCTCAGGGCGCGGACAGCAGCTGCGTAGGGCGTGAAAAGAACAGCTGCGGGAGGCGTGGGTAAGAGCAGTGCTGTGTACCTTGTCGAGGCTCTGAATATAGCGGACGTGCTTGTCGACGAAGAGCTGCAGCTCCTGGGGCAATGCACTGTCGGAGCCGCCCCCACGGCCGGGGCCAGAGACGAGCGACATTTAGAATATGTTGGAAGCGGGCGTTGGTGGTGGTGCATAGACGCCTGGAGATTTGAGGTTTTGTAGCCTAGCAGAACGATGGACGCGCGGGCCTTCGGCGGGCGTGAGAGGAGCTGCGCAAGGCTGACTATGCGTCTGTTGGCGGCCAGAAATACATACGGAGCAGGAGTAGCCCCGGTGACGTTGGATGCGGAAAATAGGGGAAATCCGGGGCACAGAGCAGTCGCACAGCACGACCAGTGGCTTTGCGGCAGCCCTAACGGATTCCACGGTCGGAGGCACAGTGAAGGAGGGAAGAAACGGGCAGGAGGGCCCCGTCAGTGCCTAGCGGGCGGCAGAATAGCGACGGCCAAGCGCTGGCACGAAGCCCCAGGGTCGAGTGAATAGGTACAGGGACCATGCTCAACGGTCTGGCAGCAAGATCCCCCTAAGCCTGCCCCATCCTGCGCTCGAGAGTCTTCCACACCGCGAGACCCTCTCCCCGCATTCTTCACCCAGCAATTCACCCTGTCCTCGCAGCCTCTCGTCCCGTCCCTGCCCAGCACAGCAACCGCCCTGAGTCCCCAAACGAGCCGCACGCCCACGACGCCTCCGGGATCCCGGCCGCCCATCATTCAGTCTATTGCCGCCGCACTGCACATGTCCTGCACCAGCAGTATGGGCTCGCGCTGACCCTGAACGGGCCCCGCTGCACACTCCCAGCACTCCCACTCCGCTGTGCCTGACAGCCTCCGTCTTCCCTCCCACAGGCCTCAACTCCGGGCGCCCGCCAGGAGACGCATCGCCATATCGCCATCCTTCACCGCCATATATCCCACCCGAGCACGAGCAGCCCGGGACTTCGTTGCAGTTACAGGGGCTTGGTCTCAGCATTGCACCCACTGCTGTGGGCGGGAGCCGCCTTTGTCCCCCGACCGAAACCAGGCGGGTCTCTGTTGTCCAAGAAGCGCTGGTATGTTTCTTTCTGTGCAGAAAAAGCTTGCCTTTCCTCTTTGTTCCAGCCCGGCCTCGGTGCGAGACGACATGCGGTGCCACAGCACCTGGCATCTGCATAGATCCTTTCATGCCAGGCAACGAAGCTGATTGATCCGTAGAAGCCACCTACCCATTGAGCACTCCGCCATCCCCAAGAATCCCAGTCCCAAGCCCCTCTCGCCCGTGAAGGCGCCGAACTCACGAAATCCTGCGGAGAGTGCCGTCGTACACGCTCCCGTGTTCAAATCGCGGCGGGTTCCTGCGTTTCTGCAACACTCCCTTCTGCGCTTGGGGATACAGGCTCCTTTGCGTGCCATATACGTTGTTGGACTACCACGGAATACGACGGGAAAGCTCTATTCCAGCAGGGTTGCCACGGTTTGTGCCACCATGACCTTAGGCCTTCCCCAAGCCCAACCGTGCCTGACCGACATTCCCATGAACCGCTGCTGATCAGAATGTCCACACAGAGTCCTCGAGTCGCCCGGAGCTTCGATAGATACTGGCTTGACGACTGTCCGCTGCATTTGCAACCCTCAGTAGTATTCTCAGCGGCTCGACCGCCGCCGCGGCGATCTGGCTACTTTCTTGGGAACACCTTTGCTCTTTACGGCCGGCCCCCTCCGTTGCTGAATACACGCTCCCAGGTATGTACGTTTGGTTCTAGCCTCTTTGGCGTCGTTGAGAATATGGTGAAATTGGTCAAGGTAGGGTGATGGTGTGTTGTGGTGGTCTTAAAGATGATACTGGTCCTGGGTGAATGGTAGTCTGAACAATGTGGCTGACTCTGCTCACCAGACTTTTGATACTTGGGAACGGCCGCAAAGAACAATCCGCAAGATGCCGAAATCATCATCCCTTTCCATAACGACGTTGCCTGCCAGGACGAACAAACACAAAGAGGGGAAACTTGCCCAAGCGCTGAGCCCACGGAGTCCCCAATCGCCTCCGCTATCAGGGTCCAGGTATGACGCCGACGCGCTCAACAGCGACGCGCTTCATGAGCCGGATCAATCGACGCCGATAGCTCCGTTCAGGCCGCCAGATTCGCCAACTTCACCTCGACACCGCAAAGAGACCTCACGCACCTTCTTCGCCAACATCAAAGCGTCGAAATCATCGCCTCGCATCACGTCGTCGTCGTCGCCGCGCCTAGGAACTGCGGATGGTTCTTTGCGACAAGTTACTGATTCTAAATCTTCAGCAAGCCAGGTCTACCCCTCGGGGCACACTCAGAGTTCGAGTCCGGAGCTCAGCAGTCGGTCGCAGGACAGCTCGAGTCAGCGGAACGGTGAGCTACCAATTCACCCTCATGAAGCTTCGGTTCTGACTGGCATAGGCGCATCATCCGCTGCGGACGGATCAGACGACCGTAGCAATAGCGGGTCCATCAAGTCGACAAGCGTCCCGTACCTCAACGGCGAGATGGCGTTCGGCAAGCGTAGCAACAAAAAGGACGGTAGCGCCGACAAGAACGGTGACGGCAACAAGAACAGTGACGTCAACAAGAACAGTAACGCCAACAAGAACAGCACCAACAAGAATAGCAGTAGCAAGAACAAGTTCGGAGGCATCTTGGGTCGTTCAAGGTCAATCAAAGTGGATGAGTCTAGCTCTCCACGCGAAGCACCACGCTCGAAACTCAAAGCTAACGTTCCTAGGCGCCTCGCTGAAACTAACACTACTGCATATGACGGTTCCGGAGACACCGGCAACGTGAGGACCGCGCCCTTGGAGGGCCAGAGATCATGGCGACAGAACATCAACATCGGCGGCATGCGCACTCACTCTGAAGATCGTCATAAGGGAGGTCACTCAGAAGACGCTCGAGCTACAAACGCCGGGGAACAGCATCTATCCTCGTCCTACAACGAACCGCGAGGTGGCTCCTTCATGACGGCCATCAAAACATCTTCAACCAAGGCTGCAGACGGATTCGGCAAGGGTGCCCGGGCTGTGTTTGATAAACTCCACCGGAGTGGTAGTAGCAACGAAAAGGATGCTCCTACCACTGAGTACGAGATCCATGTGATCAACCGACCATTGATCGAGCAGACCCTCATGACACGCATCTCCAAGCGTCTCGAGAACTCGAAGGACAAGACCGAGTTCTGGATGCCTGCTCTGCCATGGCGATGCATTGAGTGAGTAGACTTTCTATGTTCAATGAGCCAGCTCTAACGTGTACATGTAGTTACCTCAACATGAAGGGCTGCGAGGAAGAGGGTTTGTACCGCGTTCCCGGCAGTGGCAGGGAAATCAAGTACTGGGAGCAGCGATTTGACAAAGAGCTCGATATCAACCTCTTCGATGAGCCCGAGCTATACGATATCAACATCATCGGCTCGATGTTCAAGAACTGGCTCCGCAACATCCCGGATGAGATATTCCCCAAAGCCATTCAGGCGAGAATCCAGCAGGAATGTCAGGGCGCCAAGAGCACACCCCAGATGCTCAAGGACGAGCTTTCGAAACTTCCGCCGTACCACTACTACCTCCTGTTCGCGATCACGTGCCATATATCCCTGCTCCATTCCTGTTCCGAGCAAAACAAGATGGATTACCGCAACCTCTGCATCTGCTTCCAGCCATGCATGAAGATCGAGGCTTTCTGCTTCCAGTTCCTGGTACTCGATTGGCGCAACTGTTGGCAGGGATGCTGGACGGAGAAAGAGTACTTAGCGGCGGAACTGAAGGCGCTCGAGAAGATCGAGGCCCGGTCGCACCCTTCATACTTGGACGTCGAGGCCCAGTCGCAGGCTTCCTCCTACGGTGTTCAGGCCCGCTCGCACCCTTCATCTTTGGACGTCGAGGCTCAGTCGCAGGCTTCCTCGTACGGTGCCCAGTCTCAGGCTTCTTCCTACGGTGCCCAGTCCCAGGCACAGCCGCAGGCTTCCTCGTACGGTACCCAGCCCCAGGCCCAGTCCAGGGCTCATGCTCCATCCTTCGGTGCTCGCACTACTAGCTTGACTGGTTCTACGGCTGCGCCAAGCTTTGAGGATCGCTCGGGGGCCATGTCCTCTTCGGCTAGCAGCAAGCAATCCATGACGGGCATGCCGGACAGACGTCGCGGCACTCCGGTGGCTGCAAAGCGAAGTTTCGACGACGACGGTTCTACCCCCACCCAGGCCGGCTACACCCGTCTCGCCGCTCCGCACCACGACAGGTTGGAGATTCAGCCAACTTCTCCCTTCTCACTCGGCTTCCCTAAGTGAGCGGATTCACACGACGCTCAACTCACCTAATGCCAAACTCGGGTGTAAATGAGAGGACCTATACCACTTTTGATTCACTCAGCGTGTCTTTCTGACATTCCTGTTGGATTCAAGTTCGATTGCGACAGACGATACGGACTTTATTCAACACATGGTGTCTTTCTGGGATTCCGGTGTCTGTTTCTTCCCTTTTTTTGTTGCATTCTGCGGCCAGGTTTTGGGTCATTTTGCTGCCGCCACGACACAAAAATGCGATACCCAGCTTCGATACCATTTGGTCTGGCGTCCGCAACGATTCCCGTTTGGCTCTGTGGTTGCGGCTTTTGGGATGCTTGAATGCCCGAATAGCACGGCGATCTCTCGGCTTATTGTATTGCATGACTTGTAAGATATCATGGAAGAAGGTGGATTCATTGGAAAGGAGGAGACTTGCGAATTTGCGGACTGGCTTTGGGAAAGGAGGGATGGGGTATGCCCCTCCGCTCCGTAATGCGATGGCATGGCTTCCATAGATCACCGCTAAGTGATGAGATAGTTGCATGAAGAAAGTGATTTCGGACCCGTCCTAACTCTTCAGTTCTAATATTCTGATGCATTCGAAATTCACCTTGCATGTACAGCTCCTGGCCAATTACGCCTCTGCCCACCAGGCTTGGCATGGGCATACCTCCAGCTTTGTAGGAGGTTAGTACAAAGGTAGCGTAGGCAGGGCAGCCTGACTCGGGATATCTGCTGGAGGAAACCCGTCACGCGCACGACGGAGCGGATACCGATTGCAGCAATGGTGCCTGAATATCGCATTCGTAACAATCCTGTTGTGGACCTCACCCTCACCGCCTTAGCTGGCACGGTGAAAATACCTACCCCTGCGTATGACGTTGCGGCGTCTCTGCTGCTAGCCCCGCGCCGCTTCCGCGCTGCCAGGTGCTCTCAGTCGAGCTGTGTTTCTGGCCCGTTTGCGCCTGCTCTCTAGAACCTCATCGGTCCACCTGCTCGAATGGCTGCGGCTCTTTCCACGCCCGCATCTAACGTCTAAGTGCTCTCTGTTGCTGCCATTCTTCTCTCCTCATACCTCTCCCCCCTCAATCCTCAACCTTTTCAGCGTTATCCTTACAGCCCTATCAAAACGCGAAGCGCGAGCTTTTGTTGCACATCACCCTACCGCTTTTATCCCAGCTCTCAGTTCTCAGCCATCCCAAGCGAAAATGACTACAGTCGCGCAGCCCTCCTCCCAGGAAGTGTACCTGCTGCCATTGACCGACAGCGGTGCACCAGATGTCCCTGGCACCTACATCTACCTCCCCCCACCGAAAGAGCAGAGTCCCTACGTTGTACGATTCCTGGTCGAGGGAACCAGTTCGATATGTCGGAAAGGCAGTCTCTGGGTGAACATTCCTGCCAAAGGAGAGCCTTTCAAGAGGGACAAGTATCATGAGTACAAGTACGCGAGTCCCGAAAGAGTGCAATGCCTTCGTTACTGACTTCTGAGTAGATTAACGCCAGACTTCAATCGGTGCACCGAGATCGACATTCCCATCCACACCGCTGGAGCCTATGCATTCTATACGACCTACTCGCCGCTACCGGCCTTCTCTACCTCCTCGGTCGACCCTCCGAAGCCTACTCGAACGGCTACCTACTACATCGATGTCTGCCCAAAACTCACAGTCAAAAAGTCCTTCATGCCAATTGATTCCCTAATTGTCTTTTCTGTCATTTCCAAGTTCATGGGCAAATACCCCGACAATTGGGACAAACATCTGCATGGCATCAGCCAGAGGGGGTACAACATGGTCCATTTCACGCCGCTAATGATGAGAGGAGATTCCAACTCGCCCTACAGTATATACGACCAGCATCATTTCGACAAGACGTCCTTCCCGAATGGTGAGAAAGATGTTGCCCGAATGGTCAAGAAGATGGAAGAGGAGTACAATATGCTTGCCATGACAGATGTCGTGTGGAACCATACAGCCAACAACAGCAAATGGCTTGAGTATCACCCAGAGGCTGGGTACACCGTAGAGACCGCTCCATGGCTCAAGCCAGCCCTGGTCCTCGATACCGCTCTGCTCAAGTACAGCAAGGATCTGCGATCTTTGGGCCAGCCAATCGACATCAAATCTATTGACGACCTTTTGAAGATCATGGAGGGTGTCAAGACTCATGTGCTCGGCGCTTGTCGGTTGTGGGAATTCTATGTTCTAGATGTGGAGCGCGATACTAAAGCCACAGTACAAGCCTGGTCAGAAGGCCAAGCAACCTTTCCCGATAATTCGTTTAGCGGTCTCGGTGATCGAGGCCTCGATGAAGTCAAAGATTGGCCGCTCAAGAAGAAGGCGGACTGGTGCATTGAGAACGGTTTGCTCGGAGGCGACAGATTTGGAGAAAGATTTCGGCGACGGATAGATCCAGCGACTGGTGCTGGGCTCCTCTCTGCGCTCTTTGGCCGTTTTGACACCACGACAACCGATACGCCTGATAAGCGAGCAGCACACGGTACGATATACCGGATTCTCGAGGAGATCAACCTCCAATACTACCGGGAATATGACGCGGATACGGCCGAGATCATGGAACAGCTTTTCAACCGCATCAAGTACTGTCGACTTGATGACAACGGCCCTAAAATGGGCCCAATTACTGACAAGAGCCCCTTGATTGAGTCATATTTTACGCGATTGCCTCTTAATGACGTTACCAAGAAGCACAACCCTGAAGCACTGGCCCTGGTCAACAACGGTTGGGTCTGGGCGGCGGATGCCATGAAAGACAATGCTGGTTGGAAGTCCCGAGCTTACCTCCGACGAGAAGTCATCGTTTGGGGCGACTGCGTTAAGCTTCGCTATGGAGATGGCCCTCATGATAACCCATTTTTGTGGGACTTCATCGCCAAATACACCAGGCTCATGGCGAAGTACTTCCACGGTTTCCGCATCGACAATTGCCATTCCACTCCGATACACTTGGCCGAATACATGCTTGACCAGGCGAGACAGGTCAATCCCAATCTTTTCGTCGCTGCGGAACTCTTTTCTGGCTCCGAAGAGATGGACTACAAATTTGTTATGCGGCTCGGGCTTTGTGCATTGATTCGAGAGGGCATGCAAGCATGGAGCACGCAGGAGCTTAGCCGCTTGGTTCATCGTCACGGTGGGAGGCCCGTCGGTAGCTTTGAAGTCGACGAGGTCATGAACGCAGAAAACACCGAAAAAGCAATAGAGAATGGAGTGCCGGCCGAGTTGGCCGCGACCCACGAAGTGATCCACAAGATCAAACAGAGCCCTGTCCACGCACTTTTTATGGACTGTACGCACGACAACGAAACGCCTGCTCAAAAGCGGGATGCTAGAGACACACTATCTAGCGCTGCTTTGGTCGCAATGTGCGCGTGCGCAACTGGTAGTGTCATGGGATTCGACGAGGTCTACCCGAAGCTCATCGAGTTGGTGCACGAGAAACGACTCTACTCTTCTGCCTACTCTACCGGAGCGCCTGTAAAGGGCGAAGCTGGTGAAGGCGGTATTGGTGGAATCAAGAAGATCCTCAACGAGATTCATGTCTTGATGGGCAAAGAAGAATACGACGAAACATTTATCCATCATGACCACGAATACATCACAGTGCATCGAGTCCACCCTAAGTCGAGAAAGGGATACTTCCTCATTGCGCACACGGCTTTCCCCGGATATGGCAACGGCAACGGCGGATTCCCTACGACCAACCTTCCTGGCACGCAGGCTAAGTTGATTGGAGCCTGGAACCTGGAAGTGGATACTAGTGATTCGGTGAAGCTAGCGGCTATTGAAGACACGACAACGTTGCGCGGACTGCCCAGTCATACTAAGAACTTGGAAGGTGTCAAGGTTGAATCCTCGGGTAACTCAACGAACATCACCATACCCGATTTCTTTCCGCCTGGCAGCATAGCTCTTTTCGAGACCTCAGTCCCAAGCGCAGAGCACGCAGAGGGTCTTGACAAGTTCGTTACTAGGGGTGCCGCTGCAGCTTTCGAAGGTTGCGATCTCTCTGATCTAAACTTCATCTTGTACAGATGCGATCCAGAAGAGAAAGATGCAAGCGATGGGAAAGATGGAACATACAACATTCCCGGCCATGGCAATCTGGTTTATGCAGGGCTACAAGGCTGGTGGAGCGTTCTGCAAGACATCGTCAATGACAACAATCTCGGTCATCCAGTCTGCCAGCACCTTCGAGAAGGTCAATGGGCATTGGATTATTGCGTCAACCGCTTGGAGAAGGCATCTTCCAAGAGGTTATACCATCGTATCAAGCCGGTAGCCATCTGGCTTAAGGAAAGATTTGACGCTATCCGCAAGATTCCGAGTTTCCTTCTCCCCCGATACTTCGCAATGGTCATTCAAACTGCGTATAATGCCGCCTACGACCGGTCCATTGAGCTCATGGGCGATAATGTTCAGCAAGGGCAGCCGTTCTTGAAGAGCCTTGCTCTTGTTAGCATTCAGGTCACTGGTTACATGAACAATACTTCTTTGTGGCCAGAAAAGAAGGTTGCGAGCATGGCAGCAGGTCTCCCGCATTTCTCGTACGACTGGGCCCGATGCTGGGGCCGCGACATATGTATCTCGGCACGAGGCCTTTACATGGGCACCGGGCGCTTTGCCGACGCAAAGGAACACATCCTGGCATTTGCCAGTGTCCTCAAGCATGGCATGATCCCCAACCTTCTCAGCAGTGGGAAGCTTCCCAGATACAACTCCCGGGATTCAATCTGGTGGTTCCTGCAGAACGTTCAAGATTACACCAAGATTGTTCCAGATGGCATAACCCTCCTTCAAGAGAAGACGAAAAGGCGATTCCTTCCCTATGACGACACATGGTTCCCCGATACGGATAAAAGGGCGTACTCGAAGTCCTCTACTATCGAAGACGTGATTCAAGAGGCTTTACAACGACATGCGTCGGGCATGGACTTCCGAGAGTATAACGCCGGACCAGATCTGGACAGTCAGATGAAATCGGAAGGGTTCAACATAAAGATCTGGACTGACTGGGAAACCGGCATGATCTTTGGCGGCAATCAATTCAACTGCGGCACATGGATGGACAAGATGGGCGAGAGCGTAAGAGCCGGCAGCAAGGGTGTTCCTGGTACCCCAAGAGACGGTGCAGCAGTCGAAATTACGGGCATGCTGTACAGCACCCTAGCCTGGGTCGATCAACTACGCCAAGAAGGAAAGTACAAGTACGACGGAGTCAGCATCGACGGCGGCGACAAAATCGTCTCCTTCAAAGATTGGGCTGCCAAGATCAAAGCAAACTTCGAAAAGAATTACTACATCCCTCTCGACGCGTCCAAGGATTCCGAATACGATGTCAACACTTCCATTATCAATCGCCGTGGCATCTATAAAGATCTCTACCGGTCTGGAAAAGAGTACGAGGACTACCAGCTCCGCCCTAATTTCCCTGTCGCCATGAGCGTCGCGCCCGACCTCTTTGACCCCGAGCACGCTCTTCACGCCCTCTCCATGGCCGACAAGGTCCTCCTAGGGCCCCAAGGAATGGCGACCCTCGACCCCTCTGACCTCAACTACCGCGGCTACTACAACAACGCCGAGGATTCCGACAACTTCCACACCGCAAAGGGCCGCAACTATCACCAGGGCCCCGAGTGGGTGTGGCCCACGGGCTTCTTCCTCCGCGCGCTGCTGAAGTTTGACCTCATGCGCCGCGAGACGCCGGCGGAGCGGGTGGAGAGCTACCAGCAAGTCACGAAGAGGTTGGCCGGGTGCATGAAGGCGATCAAGGAGAGTCCGTGGGCGGGGTTGACGGAGCTGACGAATAAGGATGGGGCGTTCTGTGGGGATTCGGTGAGTGATAACCCTCCTGCTTCTAATCTTGATATGACGCTAATGTTCGATGAAAGTGCCCAACTCAGTCTTGGTCTGCGAGCTGCATCATCGACCTCTTCCAAGACGCGCGCGAGTATGAGATTAAAGAGGCGGATCAGTAGATATGGGGCCTTGGTGGGGATGGTGTAGCGCGTTTCTTCTTTCTTCGATTGTATACACCTTTTTTGTTAGAGCTTGGAGGGGCGGTGGGTGATGGGTACGCTGGGCATGATGAAGACGAACGAAAAGATTAGAGTAGATTGATGACCTAAGACCGAACGCATTCCTAAATTCGCACAGACCTTTTTGTTTCCAAAGACGTTGAACTATGGAGAAGACCATGATGGTTGTTTTGCTTGAGCTATTATGTTCTATTTGAACCTACTAGAATTACACCACCGCATCCGATACTCCAATCCCAATATACTAAAACCCCGGAAAGTAATTTCTAGAACCCCATTACCCCTCAACCATACCCTGACTTACCCTATCTCTTACACAACAAAAGTACAACCATCCCCCGCTCACCCAAGCAACGTCCTCAAATCCTCCACACCCCCCACGCGCCTCTTCCCCTTCCTCTTCCTCCCGCCCACCTCCCCATCCTCATCCCGCTCATTAAACACCACGCCCACCAGCTTCCTCTTCTTCTCCTGAATCAGCAACACCTTCTCCTCGACACTCTTCTCAATCACAATCCGAAACACCGTGCACTCGCGCTTCTGGCCGAGCCGGTGCACGCGATCGACCGCCTGGTCCTCAATCGCCGGCGCCCACCAGCTATCCGCGAGGATGACGCTATTCGCGGCCACGAGGTTCAGCCCGACGGAGGCCACGGCGAGCGACGCCAGCATGACGGTGCACTGCGGGTCCGTCTCGAGGGCGTCGAGCGCGCGGTCGCGGTCTGCGGCGCGCATGGTGCCGTCGATGCGCGCGGTGCCGAAGCCGGCGGCGGCGAGGTGCGGGGTGAGGAGGTCGAGGAAGGAGGTCCACTGGCTGAAGACGATGGTCTTGTTGCCCTTGGCGGGATCCTTTTGCTGGGCGCGGAGGATGGCGAGGATGGCGTCGACTTTGCTGCTGGAGGGGGGCGCGTCGTCGGTGAGGGAGAGCTCGGGTTGAGGCGCTGGGGGTGGTGCCTCTTTCATGGGTTTGACGGTGGTGGAGGCGAGGGCGTCGAGCTCGGCGCGGCACATGGGGCATTTGTGCTGCGTGTCGATGACGCGCTCGATGCAGGGGGTGCAGAAGACGTGGGCGCATTTGGTGATGACGGGTTCTTTGAAGGAGTCGAGGCAGACGGGGCAGTCTTCTTGTGAGTCGATGCTGAGCTGGAGGAGCTGTTGGAGGGCGAGGTTGTTCTCTGGGGTCAGGTCGACGAAGCCGTTAGCGTCGAGCGCGGCCATGATGCCGCCGAGGCGGTCGGTGCCGACGAGCTTGTAGTGGTTGCAGACCTGGCGCATGCGGAGGATGATCTCGAGGACGCCGCGGTAGGAGTTTGTGCCAGAGGGGACCTTGTTGGTGGTGTTCATCTGAAGTTCTTGCACCCACATGTCTAGTCGGCCCTTGGCGTCTTCGGCGAGGACGTCGTAGATCTCCTGTTCGTGCGAGGAGAATTTGATGCGGTGGATGTATTCGGAGAGTTCGGGGAGTTTTAGGTCGATGAAGGACATGTCCTTCCTCCGCCGAAGACACAAATCTCCCATGAGGTACTTGAGAAGCTTGACGGCTGCTTCGTCGCCCTTACCAACGGGTCTGATGATGGTGTTGTTGAAGATGTCCATGGAATTCATAACTGATAGGTCGACGAATTTGGCAAGAGAATACAGATCCTTCAAATTGTTGACGATCGGGGTTCCTATAGCAGCCGTTAGCCTCAACAAGCACAGTTGATAGCATCAAGTAGCATGAAATTACCTGTGAGGGCCCATTTCGATTGGGCCTTGATATGCCAGGCTGCTTGCGTTCGCTTCGCGACTGGATTTCTGATATGATGCCCTTCATCCAACACAACTCGGCGCCAGTTGATGGAGAATACACTGTAATGATTAGCCAAACCATTCTGCTAAATGTTCAGAAGACCATACCCATCTTTTCGTACAGCCTCCTTTGGCTTAGCTGGTTTCCACCACTCCGAAGACACCGTGTCATAAGTAGAAATGACAATGTCGTAATTGTCGATTTCTTGCGGGTTGAGGGGCTTCTTGAGGGTGCTGTGGTAGAACATGATTCGTAGGGCATGCTCCTTCTCAATGTGTTTTGCCATCTAGTCCCTTGTTAGGAGGTTCTTGAAGAGATCATGTGCAACCCGAAAACCTACCTGGGAACTCCAATTGCTCATGACGCTGACAGGCGCAAGTATCAAAGTTACTCCACTGACATCCGCATTTTTGCGACCAAGCGCCTTGTCGGCCAGGATGAGAGAGATGACTGAAATAGTCTTTCCAAGACCCATGTCATCGGCGAGGACTCCGCCACTCGCGAGTCGGGGTGACTCTCTGGTGGTGTAATTTGTGGCAATATGAGTAAACAGGCTCGAATCCCTGCTACTCCGTTGCCAGAATTGGACAATCTCCTTTGAGTCCACTGCCGGCAGCTTGGGGCTCTCCTTGTCAAGCATCCATTGAAGACCTTGAAGCTGGAACGGATGAAGCTTCGTGAGCAGACCTTTCGGTTGGTCGGCCTTTGGCATGTTGGCCAGTTTCTCTTCGCTGATCCCAAACTGATCAACCATGTCTTCATAGTTACGGGGATTGAATTGCTCGCTGTCCATGATGATATTGTCCAGTGTTTTGGGGGGTTCGGGAATTGGCAAACCGTCTGCAGAACCTTGTCAGAGTTAGCATGTTGAATTTAAGGAAATTCGTCTACAAGGTGAACGTACCAGCAGCATACTCTCCCGAAGAGCTGACTTGTAGGCTGCTGCTGCCAAGCCCAACAGAGACACCTGCACTTCTTGCTGCCTTCTTCGCGAGCCCGATCGCCTTTTTCCTCTCTTGATCTAGCTTCTCCTGCTGCTTTATGCGTTCTTTCTGCGCCTTCTCCGCCAACCTCACCCTACTGACCATATGGCCAATCGGCAGTCTATCCGCCTGCATCTTGGCTTTCAATTGATCCCTCATCCTCGGATCATCCGTCCCATACAGCCTCAGCTCAATCGGACAATCGTATTCGCCCTTTGGTCCCGAAATAGAAGCCTCAATCAGCAAGCTCTTATCATCCATATACTTGGCTAGCTTCGCGGCAACTTGCTTCGGTATATGTCCGATCTGATTCCCCTGTACGTTGCGCACCTGAATCGCGTTCCTGTCGTACTGGTTTTGAGGTTCCCGCTTCAGCACGACCATCTCGCCGAACGTCGCGAGGCCATTGTAGTAGCGGCATCCGACGACCTTGGACGGAAAGATCCCGTAGATCTCGAAACTAAAGGAGGACGAATTGTAGGCCTGCGTGGCCTCCGGCGCATCGTCCAAGCCGTCATCTGTATCAAATTCATCGTCGAGATCAATGGCCTGCGCCTGGGAAGAGCCATTTGGACCTCTGTGTGCTATCGGCACGCCGTACGCGGCATATAAGGGGTCCAACCCACGCGTGTCCGTCATTCTCGCATGCTTTGGAGGGCGCGACAGCGACGGGGGCTGCGAATAAGGCTGCGATAGCCCGAACGAAGACGTGTATGGCTGGGAAGATGGTAGAGTAGACGCCTGCGAGCTGTGACGGTACACGTTCGACAAGGATCGCGACGAGGGTTGCGACGAGATTATCTGGACGTCATCGTCGTCTTGCGCTGGGCGTTTCCGATTATGAGGTGCCATGGTGACGGTCGCGATATTTCGCGTATGGACGAAGGGGTGGTCAACAAAGGTCCGCTCTGTCGCGAAAGATAACGAACAAAAGAGGGTGGTCAGCAAAGGTGTGCAATACGGCAGCTGTGCTGCGATGAATAACGAGCAAATAGGTGGAGTTGAAGGAGGAACGGGAGCGCGTTGGGTGTCGGAGAATTAATACGGCCCAAGCGTGTAGATCATTGTCCGTGCGGCCGGAACACACTGCAACACGCTAAGACACGAGATCCTGTGACATGCACGCTCCTTTCAGACGCCTTGGTGAACGCAGTTTTGTATATCGGATTTCCTTCTTCCTGATACATCTGAATGAGCTCGAAAAATCCACAACTGTCAACCACTTCATCGCCAAGCAATATCCCTGCCTACAGTATAAGGGAGAATAAGCAAAGCTATGTATATACAAATCATCAAGATATACGAGTACTGTTCAAGATCCCAACCCAGCTCAGTATTGGCTCTGGTCGTACGTGCGCCCTTTCCTGCCACCGCCCACGGCCTCTATCCGGCAACTCTTGGCAGCCGCGAGGACAAAAATAAGTGTTGAGCGCTGCGCACCCCCCTCTATCCCGACCACGCTTCGCAATTTGCTCTCCGAAATCTCTTCAAATATACTACATGACCGTGCAAATCACGTCCCGGTGTCGGATCTTTGATGGGAGGCGTGGTTGTTGAGCTATCCGTGAAAAGGCAGAATTCCGAGGCGAGGTTCGAAAGTTCGATTTCTGAGCCAAACCCTCGATCTGGCAAGTCTTGGCACGGACGGCAGACGGGAGGGTCCCAAAAAGTGTCGAGCGCTGCATACCCGCTCTTGCCCCACGACGGCGGCGTATTTCTTCTCCAAGACTTCTTCAAAAATACTAATCGATCGGGCGAGTCGCCTCCCGTTCTCGGATTCGTGATAGGAGGTGTGGTTATTGAATTAGTTGAGAAAAGGTAGTGAGAGCTTCGAAATCGCGGATTTTGAGTCTCGGACATTCGGAGGGGTGATTATCCGCTGGGAAATAAGTAAATCCGGACCCTGTGCCGCTCCACGCCTAAACCACATGTTCCCTATCGTTGCCATTTACTTCAATACCTAATCATTAGAGTGCCGGTCTAACAGCTCATGTTCTTCTCCCGCTCCCTTAGACGGCTCCTTCGAGGAGGCGCTGGCTGAGGTATGACGATCGCGGACTGGACAACGGGCTAGGGATAACTTGCAGTCAGAACCAGCCTTGGACTTCGAGCCATGCCGGCTCCATGATACGATTGCAGAGGACTTACCATTCGCATCTTCGCCTTCGGCATCCTCCACTTCTTCTGGATTATGTCCACTCATCTTCTTAACAATCCGATACAAGACATCAAGAAGCTGCCCTAATCCAAGAACGAAAGGGACAAGTTGGGAGACCGAATCAATCCTGTTGACGCCTTTGACTTTATTCCATTTGATCGTAAGCTCGGCGGGTAGGATCGTGAAAATACTGGCGAAGGCGTAGTACATGATGGCTCCCAAGAGTTGCCGGAATGGGTGCTTGCTACTCCATGCTGCTTGGAGCTCTGCGCTGGCCTCTCCTGCTTCATTGAATTCCTTTCTCGCGCTCACGATCAAGGCGAAGACTGCACGATGTTAGACTTTGATAATGCAAGCTCACACACAAAAGAAGAGGAGAAAGAAACTTACAAAGGGTGTATCCCAAAATCATCAAGATACTGAATGCCTCCGAGAGCTTCCGGAACCAATGCCACAGGCTAACTTTTGCAAAGAAGAACGCATACTCATCTGGACATTCCGTCCGCGGTAAGACATCTAACCCATGGAAGAAAAACCAGAGCTGGTAAATCGCTAGGGGGAAGTAAAGCAGCATTGACTTCGCAAGCGCAAAGATATCGATCGCAATTGCGCTTGGGGGAGTTGCCGTGCCCATCAACTGTAGGCCGAGCACCCACAGAATGGTGTTGACTTCGACGCCGAAAACCTGCTGTTTGGCGGTTTGCATAGCCAGGACGATGAAGGTAGAGGCGCCTAGAGCTGCGCTCGCGATGCGGAAGAAGCGCCGGTTGCGAGAGGCAGGGAGACATTGCGCAACGAGCGTCGCTGCGAAGAGCTGGAAATAAAGGCCAAGACGGACGCCGAGACCGTAGAGATCGGCGTTGCCTTGGTAGCCGCATTGTGGAGCTCGTGGAAGGATGGTGCTGTGGTATTCCATCCTTTGATGCGTTTGCGGGCAGGATGGCCAGTGGACATGGTAGTGTCTCCATTATATGGAAGTTCCAGCGCGAGGATCAGTGTCGCCGACCATCCTGGCGGATTGCCTTGGCTATAGTCTTTTGAGCCCTGTCAGGGCCTCGCCATTCCTTGTCGCGTCGTGGTTCAATATATTGGTTCTGTGGCTTGTGTGGTCTAGATGTGAGTTGCTTCTGCAAGGCTGAGTTCAGCTCGCTAGCCAAGGCGCAGATCACATACTTTGACCCTCTTCATTCGCCAGGGCCTACTCTTGGCAACTCAATTTCCTTGATTTCAACGTCCTATTAGTTGGGGCCAAGCTGCTGAAGAGGGTTGGGGGTAGCGAGATACTGTGATGTGGCGGACAGATGAAACAAAAAGCATAAAAGCTGAAAAACGGTCTGTGGATATATGGTGCAGCCTTGCAGACCTCGGGTAGCTTTTGAACGCTACTGCTGTCGAACGCTGTGCCCTCGAATCCTAATTCCACCGTTTCACAAACATCGTAACAATAGTTGTCGGACCAAACTCTATCCATTAGCATATATTTGCCGCATTGCGAGCAATCTACCACATTCCTAATGGTAAACCCGACCCAACCGTGCTCCTTCACAGGCAACGCAGATCTCTACGGCATCGGCATCCGCATCGGTCTCTACCTACAATGGGTCACCACGCTTACGACAACGCTCTACGAGCCAAAAGATGAGGAAATTCTCCGCGTCATCAATCTCCTTATCCAGTCGGCGGTATTCATGGGATTGATACTCCTGACAAGCCGGAACCAGATCGAACCCGTTGAACCCGTCATCTCCATCTGGCTCATTTTTGGCGCCCTTTCTAGCCTAAGCGGCAGCGGGATGAACCCACTAGGCCACTTCTCTGGACTGTATAGAGTGGCGTTGTATACGGCTGTTGCTGGATATGCCTGCTGGTTCTGGTTCACTGGGCTTGATGGGACGCTTCAGGGCCAGCAGTGCGAAACTGTCGCGTTCTTCGGTCGAGTGTCCATCGCTGGTCGATTCCGGACGTTTAACAAGATCGCTTCAGCATTCGGAGTGTGCATTTGTGCGGTGTTCGTGGTTTTGACTGCAAGAGCGTTCTTCAGGCGTTACAAAGGTGTCCCTGAAGCGTCCAAACCTAAGCGGCAGAAAGTGTCGGTGGAGCTATTCATTGTGTCGACGGCTATCATCATCATCTCGGTAGTCGCGGTGGAGTATCTTTTGCAGGCGAACGGGATAACAGGAATCAACCAGACGTTATCAGTCGGACAGCTGATTCCGCTTCTTGTTGGCGCGTTTAGTTTTGCGGAGATCGTGTTCAGCGTCGTGAGAAAGAGATTATTTCGGAACGCGAGATGCTGGGTTCTTTTCGGGCGTCATCTTAGCTGAGCGTAATGTGAGAGAAGGATGAATTCAAAGAGAGTCACGTGGCACCTCGATTATTCGTTTGAAGAAAGAGCAAGCGAGAGGTATCCAACGGAGATGGAACGAGGAGGCAGACGTGAGGAAATGCCGCTTAGCTAGGCTAGCAGCATTTCATCAAGGCTTCCCGGAATCCACTCTTTGCTCTTCGCAACAGTGACCGCAGGAGCCTCTTCATCTACCAGTCGGGAGGCCGTCGAGGAAGGTTTGACACATGGGTCGATCTGTACATTTGGATGATCTGTCTCGATAGATTTGATAATAGCATCGACGGACCGAGGTTCCGTACAGTCGTAGAGATATGGAATGGCTGCAACGTAATTTCCGTAGTAGGGTAAATTGTAACTCTGTATGAGAGACCGGACAACCTCTTTTGCATTCTCGCCGCCTGTGCAATTCGGTAGGTAATTGCTGATTGGCGTACGGGAAAGCTTCTGCTTGAATTTCCTTATGTTGCCAAATATAACCATTATATGGGGCGGCCCCATAGCTGGGTTACTATGCTCACGTAGCCGGTCCCACAATCGTTCTTTGATTTGCTCGTAGTCTTCAAAGCGGCTAAGGTCTATGAAGATCATAGCGGTTGTGTAGCGTACCAAGTTGGATGCCTCAAGTGGAACGAAATTCAATTGGGACGTTTCAAGAGCAACGAAGAACGGGCACTCAAGTATCACTCCGTTATGGTGCCAGGTTTCCAAGGAGGTTGGAACGTAACCATCTGCTGATATTCTTTGGATTTCCTGAAAGAAGCTATTATCCCTTTGGTCAGCTAATGAAATCATAAAATCGTAATGGCAAGGAATATACGCACTATATGATTCGGTCGTGAGTAATAGTCTTTGGCATCCGAGGAACAAGTGTCACGAAATTCTCAACGGCACATAATGCACTAATTGCCGTGGCAACTTCAGATGAAATCTCGGCATCGTCTGGCCCAATTTTCCGCATTTCTTGCCTTAGCCTTTCAACAAGTCCATCAAGTTTCTTGTCTTGCTCTGTAGTCGGGGTTCTAGAACGGATATCTATCATAACTTTTATACACTTCAGAATCTGCCTCCTCACAACGTCTCGTGACTCTACGAGAATCTTTTGGGGAAATGTCATATAGTTGCAATAGTTATGGTGTGTCTGCGTATAGAACCTGTCCTGAACGAGGTTGACATGGGGCTTTTCGCTTAGTAAGATCCTGTATTTGGTGTTCGGTACAGGAGAGGCAGATTCTGGGTCCTCGTCTACTGCCCTGCCTCGTCCTTTGCTGACCTTCGATAGTCTTGAAAGCATCAACGTTTGTCTAAGGCTATCTCTCACAGAGCTACGTATTGCTCGGCTGTATGGTCTTGATAAGAAGAGTTCGCGGTCGAACTGGAAGATCATTGAGATTTTGGAAAGATTGTCTGTACATCGACTATAAAGTGATGATGAATCGCAGAGAACATAGAGCGACGAGGAATCGTCCCGAACTTGCTTGAACATTTTCCGGGTAGTAGGTTTTGCCAGAAGAGCTTTTTGCTCCCTTGATGTGTTACTATGAGAGATTTTAGCCTTCGGATCGTTCAAGCTTAAGCCTGGGATATTCGAAATGGAATTTGTGGTCTCACCAATTGCACGCCGAAAGCAGCAGCGTCAAGGCATTTGTCTGTCGCTCTACCATCTTTTGCAAGCTGTCCATGGTCTTGTTCCCGAATACGACTTTGATTTTGCTCCCGAAATCTAGGTTGTGAGCTGCCGTTACTTGAAGCTCCGAGATAGACTTGTCAATCTTCGCAACCAGCATTTTGCAACAGGCCATTGACAAGTCCAGATCCATGACCAATTGATGATGCGGTTCGCCGGTTTTCGAATCTATCCATGTCTGAATCTCTCGCAATGCAGCTCTGAGAGCAGTGAGTTGAGCGGCCAAATTGAGAAGCATGAAGTCTGCATCCTTCCATCTTTCGTGGATCTCACGCAAGGCTGAGATACTCTTTCCGAGCACGTCGATGATCCCGACTACAGCGCCGGTTGTTCCGATGATCGTGAACGGATCCGCCATTGGGAGAGTCTTCAGGTTTGAACGTGACCTATCTCAAGGTTGGGGTTTCGAATCGAGCACCAAAAAGGGTGCCTAGGCGGTCGAAGGGCTGCGGAATGGCGATATCTTAGACATCGTCATAGGCAAAAGTAATGGGATGCGGTCTGCGTTCATTGGCTGACATGACGGGCGTTGGGCGTATTCATGCATCCCCCGGAAAGGCTGAAGGAAGCCTACCTTCTGCGTAGCGGGTAGCCTCGTGAGGAAGTATCGTTATCAGAAGTAAGCCTTGTTGCCTGAGGTCGTCTCGGAAGTTGCTGTCAACGTTGAAGCGTGAAGTCTGCTGAATCTGAACCGTGCTGGAAATCAAATAAATCACGTGATTAGTCCTACATAGTGCCTTCTACCATCTCAAATAAGAGGGAGGGATATTTGCATTATCTAATTAACTCTGTACCTATATTCTAGTTTTCCACTTGTGGATAGTTTGGTGCATATACTTATATTTATGGAGCTTTGGTGCTTGAGAGATCACGCTCTTACAAAGGGCGCGGCCAAGTGCATATTCCGGTTACGTAAGCATCTCACCCAAATCTTAAAAGTTGCTTCGCACCACCCAGTATCGGTTAATAAATTTGTTTTCTTCGATAATCATCACTAAGAGACACAGACAGATACATCTACCCACTTGAATCGTAATCGATGGTTATAGTTGTTGTGGTATAGCTCCTCCATTGTACCAAAAACTGGTGGTTTTGATGTTCCTCGCCTCGGAATATGCACTTGGCCACGCCCCTTATAGCTCGAGGCATTGACCACTCCACTGCGCAAACAATCCTTTCCTTACTCTTCGACGTGTTTACTCGAATGTCCTTTGTTTCGCTCGACTGCCATCATGGAATGCCGACTGACCAAACTTCCCACAGAGCTTCAGCTTCTCATCATCGAGAAACTCCAGGAGCCGGGCGAGGATAGCCGGCAGCTCGTCATCAACCTTAGCAACACCTGCTCCAGTTTCCGGTCACTTCTGGCCCCGAAGCTGTTCCATAGCATCACTCTTCATAACACCGAGGGAAGCGCAGCCTTAGCTCTAGCAGCAGCAAACAATCACATTGCTCAACATGTCAAACGGTTGGACTTCAAAGCAACTCTCTTTGGGACGCGAATCAGCCCGTATTCATATTTCGCCACCAGAGTTCTTATCCCCAAGGCAGTACGAAGCATTCTAGGCAACCTCAACCTGTTCCCTAAGCTCGATACGCTTAGTATTCAATTCGATGCGCAGAGCTTCCCTGGGATTCTCTGGGACATTTTGGGCGACGAGGAGCCAATCGAAGATGCACTCAAACTAGAAAAAGAGCAGCCGTGGAGGCGTTTGATGGCCGAAACATACAAATTACTTTGTGGAAATAAATCACATAGCATCAAAACACTCCTTCTCCAAGACTTAATTCCCTTGGGAGTGTCCACTTTCACCAACTCAGACTTTCACAAGTTCCTGAGCACTTTGGAGCATTTCCGCATCACTTTGCTCGGGGGAATGGCGGGACATGACGGGAATTTTTCGAGTATACATAATTCAGGGTACAAAAGCTTTGTTAGCCGGCTTCCCGTCTTTTTCCTTGATCATCTTGACTCAGTCAAGACGCTCAGCATCGCCGGCACTAGAAATGGTATGCTAGGTCTGAATCCGAGCACCTGCTCGGCTGAATTACCGCTAGCGAATCTCCGAATACCAAACCTTGAGTCGTTCTCCCTGGAATGGACGTTCATCTACGATGAGCTTATTCAGTTCCTTACTGCGCACGCAAAAACTCTAAAACTCATATCATTACACAACTGCTATGGACATTCTCAGGATTCTATCAGATGTGTAAGATGGCATGAAGTATTCGACAAGCTCGCCGATGTTGGACCCATAAGCCTGAAACGAGTTGATATCACAATTCCAACGGCGAAACAAATTGTCTACTATAGCCAGTCGTATGAGGCAAAGATACAAGAAGTTCAACAACTTCAGCAGAAAGAGCCCGAACGGCTCATCTTTGCGTATGGCTTTCTATCGTATGGAATACTTGTTGACGCTACCTCGGATAATACCGAGGCTTTCATCAATGGCGACGATGAAAAGGCGTACGCACGACTGGCGGCGATCGTCAAAGCCAACAGAATATCAAGTCCCACGTCTAAAAAGCGTATCTGAGGATGCCGCTCAACGCAGAAATTGCATCCCTAGTCTTGGTTCGAGGACGCCGGTAGAGGAAAAGAGGTAGATCAAGGAGGAGATGGAGAGGCATTGTGTTGATTGACTAACTAATTGCTTGTATTGATATCGAGGCAATCTTTCGAAAAAACTGGAGCCATGTTACATATGCTTTTGTACGTCAAATCGGATAGAGGAAGTCGACGTTGGAAGCTCGCTCTCTCGACCTTGTCTAATTCGTCAGGAAGAAAAGAAGATGGAGTAATATGCGCACTATCACTTGAGACCGAATTCACCTCGAAGGACCCCAATTCCGCCTCTGTCTCTTCCATTCTCGCCCCTCCATCTTCAGTCGCTCATTCCTTTGCGCGCTCGTATCCCTAATTCGTCCCAACACACTATTCGTGGACGGATCAGGGAGATTTAGATCAGGTCTCGCACGACGACTAGTTGGAGGAGGAGGCGGCCGAAAGTTGGGGTGCTGTTGAAAGTGAAGATGTGGCGGTGTTCTTGGACGCTGTCCAGCCCATTCAGGTTCTTCGTTCTGAGGCCTTGCAGAGTACGTACTCCGGAGCTCTGGACGATACTGCGAACTGGCGGGACTGCCCACCCGTCTTTGCTCGAGGGAATTTCTGTATCGCGACCGAAAATCTCCGAGACGCCTTGGAGGCCTGCTGTAGCTGTCATCATCGAAAGATGAGGGCGTGAAGGAGGATCGTCGGCTGCTAGATCTTGATGGCGGAGTGGAGGGAGTAGTAGAGCGCATGGAAGAGACTGAAGATGATTGTGGAATGTGTCTTTGTAGAAATGGTGGCCAGGGCTCTTGCTTTACAGGGTACGGGTTGTCAACACGCAATGGCAGCTGCTGTTCGTACGGATTTAGTAGGGGCTGAGTGTCTTGAAATGGGGCTGTTGGGGGCTGGTACGCCGGAGCCCGGTGACTATTGTTGGGCACTTGGTTCTGAGGAGTCTGTCGAGAGTCCAATACGTGCGGCATCTGGAAGTCCCCGGGAAAAGGTGGTAAGAGAAATGGTGGAATCTGAGGATCAGGTTGACTTCCAGAGCAGGCGGGGCTATTTGGGCCTGGGGAAGTGTGCACGCCAGAGGTATAGGAAGCCGGAGGTGGAACTGTCAAGCTTTCTTGTGGCTGGTAATTGTGCGGAAATGGTGGTAGTAGTGGTAGGGGAGGCTGGTAGGTATTCATTGGTGGCCAGCAAGGGCGAGAGTTCCATGAGAGCTGTTGAAGGCCACTTTGAGGGCCTTCACGAGGAGAGGGAAGATGTCCGCCGTTGTAGTCTTGAGGGTACGGTGGATAATTCTGAGGTGTGTTCTGGCTTCCCCCCGAGCGTCGACCATAACTTTGCGAGTATGGGGTACGGCGGCCAGGATGCTCGACCATTATGAATGCAGGTAAATCGATCTTAAGAATGAATGTGTTGTAAGTATCGTTGGGAGACTTCTGGCATAGGGTTTTTGAAATCGGGCACCAACCCGGTCCTATTGGTTGCTTTCGCTTGGGCTGCGTTGCGTTGCCACGCACCCATCCTCCTTCCTATCCGTCTTCGTGCAGTAGCGTCAGGGGCTTCCGTTATATTTTCGTGGAGTGATATAGTTAGCTTGAAACATCTAAGATGGCGTCGAGTCGTGGTTGATTTGTCGCTAGTAATATAAATGGAGACGCCTCTTTCTACTTTAGAACTTCAAAATACCACTCGTCACTTAGGCCAGTCTTCCCATGGACAACTCTTAAGTCCATCCTCCTTTCCTAAAGCGTTATCAATTTATACTTATCACTCTTGGACGCAAGTGTACATAAAAGAGCTCACTATATGTCTTCAACCGGGACATACTTCTGAAAGATAGAATGTACTGAATTTCGAAAACCGATGATCAATATGTTTCAATCTCACAGGACACTAATCACACTGTCTGAAGTGCCTTAAGCACCATGAAACCTTTAGTTAAGATGTTAATAAACCAAGTACATAGAGAAGACTCGCGCTTTGTGGCTAACGTTTTGTGAGCCGCAACTCAATTCTAAGCACTGCCTTTCCCATTAATGTCGCCAGACCTTCACATTGCTACCACAATCCTGCAATCTGCAGTGCCCTGAAACTCTCCGGGAAACCAGAATAGGACGTCAATATTTAAAGCATTTACATTAGCCTCGTCTATCAAGTAGTTCTGATCTATAAGCTGTTTTTTTGAAAACAACATGTCCGCCATGCATTTCCCCAACACTGTACACGAACTATCATTCCAAAACTTTATGTCTATAGCCATTCATCACCTACACCAGCCCCAAAAAATGCCATTCCAATGACCCACCCTCATCTCCTCCAGCCCGCTCTCATCTGCTCCAGCCCACCCTCGCCCGTTCCAGCCCAACCTCACCCCCCTCTCAAACCGGTTCCTCATCCACAACCTCCTCCCCCGGAAAATCCGTGTCCAGCACCTCAAACACCCCCTTCTCACTCTTCCCCAACCCACCCCCCTTCTCCTCCGTCTCCTTCCACTCCTTCAACCTAAACAGCCCCTCTTCCTCCAGCCCTAGCCCCTTGTCCTCCCCCATCTTCTCCTCATCGAACTCGAAGATCCGGAAATCAGCATTCGCGTAACGACGTCCACTCACAGCTGTCCGCAAGAATCCGCTATGGCTGACGACGGCGATCACTTTCTCGGGGCGGCTGTAGAGGGCCTTGAGACATGCCTGTCCGCGCGCTAGGACGGCGAGGCGGGTGAAGGCGTAGGGGTTTGAGGACGGGGTGGTCTTGTTGGGGTAGAGGGGGTCGACGGTGGCGAGGGCGGTGGCATATTGCGGGAAGCGGGAAGCGACAGTTTTGAGAGCAGAGCCGGTGTCGCAGGGTTTGGCGGAGTTTTCTGAGTGAGGTGGTTAGTTGGTTGTTTGTAGAGAGTTTGAGATGGTGGGGAAGGCGTTTGAGATGTGAGATTTTGAGGTTTTTGGATGCGAGATTGATGGTGCTGATGGCGGCGAGGAAGCTATACGATAGAGTCTAGGGGAAATGTGCTGAGAGTGTAGAGACGGAATTGTAGATGTGAGTTCTTCGGCAAGAGATCTGATATCAAACGTGTAGTTTTAGAGAGAGGTTCCACCCCAATATAAGGCATAGAATGTGAGAGCATCTTGCGGTGTCTCTTTAAGGAATCAATAGAATCAACAGAAACTGAAGGGTCACGCAGGAGATATAGAAGAAACATAGGAAAAGTCGTGCAAACCCACCTTGCCACCCCGCGTCTGCAATGATCTCCACCCCCTTCTCAATCAACCACCCGAGTCCAATCTCCATTGTCTGCAGCGTCCTCACCATCGGGCTCACAATAATGAGTTCGACTTCATTCGCTACTGGCACCTTCTTGATCGCATCGCTTAGCTCCTCGCACTGCTTTAGACCGAGTTCGGTGAGCTCGGGGTCGGGAAGCGACCAATTCTTGGACGTCTGATGGCTGTTAGTTTATGATGGAATTTGATAGTGAGGGGTAGGAGCTTATGGTTACATTGTGAAGGGCTTCGGCATGGCGGATGAGGATGATGGTTGGGGGCATGTTTCTTTTTGAAGTTCCGGGATGAGGAAGTTGAAAGCGATGGTGCTGCCCAGAAGTCATAGAGCTAGTGTGTTTTATATCCCCCACGAATGGCTTCTTAATGTCAACAAAATAGGTTTGTTCGGTTTTGTATGTCCGTGAAATCAGGAGAATTGCCTAATTGTCGTTTGATCTGAAGAAATGGGAGCATGGAGAATCGTCCAATTGCAATGCTCGCAGTTCGGTATGTCTAATGCTATGCCCCAAACCTTAGTCGATATCGTACAAGACCAACTAGTCCTCCATCTTCTCATCATCATCGTCGTCATCACCCTCCAGAGCCTTCTTCGCCAGCCGCTCCGCCTCCTCTAGTAACTCCTTCGGCACCTCCTGATGTCGTCCCTTCGTTGGGCCGTCTAGAGAGCTGACCCACGTCATCTCCAGCTCGAAGTCCTTGTCCTTGCTATCCTCGTGTGCAGCGTAGATGATGCGTGCTGCCTCCTTAACACCCTCCTCCAGCGTAAGGTTGCCTGCAGCGAGATCGAGCTTCTCAAGCTCAGACTTGGCAGATTGTCGTCCTTTGCCTGTGGCCGCGCCGTAGTATCCCTACATCAATATTAGTACTGCTTCTTGCCCATGTCATGCATAGCTCCGACATACCCAGTAGAGCCCACTTGGCTCTATCATGTACAGGAACGGACCGCCATGCTTCGCGCCCTCCTTCTTGCCTCCACTACCAGTCGCAGGTCCAGATCCTACCTGGCCATCCACCGGTAATTCTATCTCGGGGTCCCAACCACCGACGATTGCTGTGATTCCGAACGGCCGTACGCTAGAGTAGAGGGTGTACATCTGCACGTAGCTGCCCATGTGGTTTGCGAGGGCGGAGGTTGGAATTGGGGCCTTGTAGGTGCGTCGCCATTGGGCTGCTTCGTCGCGGGCGCGGGAGGCGAAGTGACGGCCATCAGGGAGAAGGCCTGAGGAGACCTATATTGGCATTGTCAGACTAGATAATCTTAACGCAAATGTTCGGCGTGGACAGCGAGTGGCAGGCTAGAATCGATTGGGGGAGCTTACAACACCTATATTTCGGTCGACAGTAGATATCCGCTTGTTGGCACCGGCCTTGAGCAGCTTGCTGCTAATAATCTTCTCCAAGGCGAGAACGACGCCGTCCTTGCATCTTATGCCGATTGCTGTGCCGCCGTTTTCTACCGCCTTCACTGCGTACTCGACCTAATTTCGGTAAGCGCATGTTCTCGTAGCTTGACTTCACGACCTAGAGTATGTACCTGGAAGTTCCTGCCATCGGGAGAGAAGACGGAATTGGAGAGATCGTAGCCCGTGCCTATTGACGTCTGTGATGAAGGTTAGTCTGCAGCTCCCAGAAAGGCGGGAGGGCTCGAGACTGACCATGATGATAGATCGGAGGAGGTAGAGCTGTGGAAGGTGGTGGTATTGTAGGAGCGTCGCAGTGATGGAGGCGGCGGGGAGCTGTGGGTATCGAGAGTTTACAGCTTCGTGTTGAGGCAGGCTCCAAAGCTGTCGCGTTGATGTGCACGTGATCTGGAGCTTAGCGTGGATCTAATCACTTGGCGATCGTCCAGGTTCGGTGAACAACTCTTGCTAAAGCCTCGTGTGCTTTAGAGAAATATTCTCTCTAGGCTTGTGTTCACTTGTCTAGCACCGCTCGAGGTACTCTGGTGCATTAGCAAGCACTGCAAATAGACAGTTTTGACGAGGCTGATAGCTCTTCGAGCCACCTCAGACGGCGTCAGAATAGACTGCCACTGTGCCACGCACGAAAAAAGTGGCACACTCATCAAGTGCTCTGCCCGGATGTACACCTGTCTGCCACTGTTTAATTGTAAATTGCGCAGAAAACGATCACCGGCCATCTCCTGCCGCTAAAGGTGCTTTTCGGCCTGCTATCTTACGACTTCTGCCGAGCAGCAGCAAGCGTGAGGCTTGCGCGACTTCTTCGATGCTCGATCACAGTGATGAGCTGGCGGGACCATTTGTGTTTCAAGCTGCCTTCCCACTGGTCCAGCGAAATCCCCTCCATAACGCATGACCTCCACCTCCAAGCCAGCAGTACTTAAGGACCACGCCGCCACCTCTGCATCCATTGACTGACTGCTTCATCCTCCTCTACTTTACACTAACTTCTGTGTTCCGCATCGTCCCCAACTTCCTGGCGATTACTCCGCATTGCCAGCGAACTTGCACGCTTAAAAGCCACCTGATAGGCGCAGCTCACGCGCCGAGGACAACAAAGACCTCAATAAGAGCACAGCTCCGGACTGCGGCTGCCACACTCTGCTGGTCCGATCAACCTCTACTAGACGCTTCCTCACAACTGACGATTCGACTAACACTCAGCCTCTGCAAAGACGACTGATTCTGACTTCTCCGCTTTAAGATATACCTCATAGCACACTCTCGCGCTCATGCAACCAGTGCTTGTCCACTACTGCAGTATTTGCTCTTACAACACTCCTGTTCCTTTTCATCCTGCTGTCTTCTCTCAAAATAACACTTGCAACCACGTAAGCCCGAATTCCACTTCTATCAACACTCGCTAACGCCTACGTCATAGTGCGGTGCAATATCAGTCGGCATCAACTCTCGAGTGAAAGCAGAAGAAGCCGAAGCCATGCAGCAAGAAGAGCTGGCGCGGCTGTTCTCCAACAACCTGACCCTCTCCTCCTCCCCCGCCCCTCCCCCTCAGTATTCGCAGGTAGAACAGCCACCGCAACAGCAGCAGCAGGAACCGCAAGTGCAGCAGGAGCATCAAGAGCCCTCGCAGCAAGCTCCAACCCAGCAGCAAGCTCCAGCCCAGCAGCCCATAATCTACGCCTCGCAGCACTACACCCACACCCACCATGTGGTCCCCATCGTGCACAAGCCACGCCCCATCCCCACCCCCCTCTCTACCCCCGACTTAGTCGAGGTACTACTTCGCAACAGCATCGACCCGACCCTCCTCTTCCCCTCCCAGGTCTCCCTCTTCCAAAATGCCGACGAAGACCAACGCCTGCGCCTCCTCGAGCTCTGGCGCATCTCCCCACCCCAAGGCCGCCAGGGCATCCCCGACGGTATCGACTACAACACCTCGCGCCAGCTGTACGACTGGCCGCCCACCAGCTTGGCGCAGGAAGAGGCGATGGCAAAGCTGAGGTATGAGAGGCAGGTGGAGGAGGACCGACAGAAGGAGGATATCAGGTTGCATGAGCAGAGATTGCAGGAGAGTATGGACGCAGACTCGGCTGCTGTTGCGGAGACGACCCGCAATTTGCTGTCGAGCCCGGAGAGGCAGAATGCGGAGCCGTACATCCTCTCGGGGTATGAGGCGCTTGCGGCGCGGGAGTATGAGCGCTCGGCGCAGGAGGAGCAGGGGCTGCGAGAGAGCACCAGGTATAACCAGGCGATTGATCCGGTATACAAGGGGAACGGGAGTGGGCTGTGGGAGAAGCATGTTGGGGTTGTTGACATGGAGAATCAGTATGGGGAGTACGAACACATGAGGGAGTATGCTTCTCCTAATCCTCAGGTCATGGTCTATGGAGACGACGATATGATCATGTGAGGACGGGAAGAGAATACAGAATGTGGGCTTTAGAAGTGTGGAGCTATTGTGGACGGTCTTGGGAGCTGTATTGATTCAGCATACTCTCACCTTTGCATTTTTCGTTTGGTCGATTAGCTGGATGGGTGACTGGGGCAATAGGGTGTTGATACTAGGCGGAGTCTCTACTCATGAGTATTCCCAGTTCTTTAGATTGTAATACGCAGTTTTGTCTGCGTCGTTATTGGTGGTTAGTGAGGTTGTTGATATCCCTGAGGAGGTTCATTGGTCGAGGAACGTTATAAGACTCATAATAGCCTCTCAACTTCAGTAGAAGAGAGTTCTTTCATTGTACGCTCAATGCCAGAAAGTCTAGTGCCATAATACATGTGCCTTTCCAATAACCCCCCAGACTGGCGCCTGTATGATTATATTGGCCCACCTCGACACAATCTGCCCTCGCAGCTTTGCGTCCGTGATGTGACTGCCCCAGTCGCCGTCGCCGACCCCTCAGTCCTGCCGTCCCTTTAGTAACCGCTTCGTGACCTTGTCCTTCTCGATGATGTAGACGTGTGCGCCCCAGCCGGAGAGAGCGTCCCTGTCGACGGCGTTGAGGAGGGCTTGCGAGACGGTTTCGAAGAGGTCCTCGGGGGCCTGTTATAGCATGAATGCGTTAGCAATGTCCCCACATCTAGAAGTCCACCGAAAGGCGATGAAGTGAACAAACATACCAGATCCGGCTCCCACAGCCCCTCACACGTTCCAAACAACTGATCACTCGCCGTCCCGCTCACAATAAAGTCCTTCGCAAAGTCAATGCACCCAATACTATCGAACCCGCAGATAAACGGCTTCCCCGTCGTGTGGTTGATGCCCGCAACCACCGGGCTCACGAAGTACGGGCCGAAGCGCCGCTCGTACAGCGTGCTGCTGACCAGGTTCGCCATCGTCTGCGGCGAGATGGGCCGCTCCTCGCGCAGGCGGTACATGTTCACCTTGTAGCGGAACAGGTCGCTGACGGTGGACACGTCGGTGGCCAGGCCTGTCAGCCCGAGGTACACGTCGCCGTAGGGGAAGATCTTGGGGAAGTTGTTGGACACGGTGAGGGCTTGCATGCCGAGCCGCAGGTCGCAGGCGATCGCGACGCAGTCTTTGCCGACCATGGCTACGCAGGCGCCGCCGTCTGTGCGGGGGTTAGGATTTGGGGTATTAGAGGGGGTGAGGAGGGCGGACTTATGGAAAATGGGGAGCCCTGGAGCTTGGTTTAGCTGTGGTTTGGATGTAGAGAGGTGGGTTGGGGAGCTTACCATAGCTGCGGATGTGCGTCTAGAGTATTGGTGGGAGAGAGTACGAGGCCTAGATACTAAGGTAAGGACACACGCAAGAGAAGAGGAGTCGGAGCGTTGATGGTGGTCGTGAAAGTCGAGTTGGTGTTGTAGGTAGCAGTTCAATACGCGGCTGGACTGAGCGCCGCGATCCCGTGACCTCTATTTTTCTATCTCCAAACTCCATCAACTCCCCCCATCAGCACGCTTCGCCCGACGCCAATTGCACCCGCCCACGATGGATATCCGCCCGCAGCACGTCCAGCTCGCGACCGCGCTCCCGAAACGCCTCCTCGACTTCTTCAGAAAATATCCGCCGCCCGCCCTCACGCAGGGCCTGTCCGCCGCCGACGTACCTGCACCACTAGCCGCATCGTTCGAGACGCCTGCTGTGGCATCGAGTACCTCCTCCACAGATCCCAATGTTCCAGCGATAGAAACACCCTCCGCTGCCCTTGCAGAACGCACCTACCGCAATCCGTTCCAGCCGACTAAGAACTTCGCTACTGGCAAATGGAACTCGCCTGTCTTTGGGCTACGGCGGCAGGCTGAGATCGTTAAGCTCGCGCAGAAGCATGGCGTGGTGGATCTGCTTCCGTATACTATCAAGCTGCCTGGCGAGCGAGAGAAGAGGAGGGTAGAGCGTGGATTGAGGGTCAAGGGGACGGGAGTGGGAGAAAGGGTAAAGGGAAAGGCGTGGGAGAGGACGTTGAAGGGGAGGTTAGAAGAGAGGAGGAACGCGATGTTGGCTATGCCGCAAATGATCGAGGATTGGAAGCAGGTATGTTTCGTTCGCGTGAGAGAGTTGGGAGGAGAGAAGGCTAACTTGTTCACAGAGGGGTCACGGAAGAGGGTGGAAGAAGTGGCCGAAATAAAGGATTACTGGCGTGGCTTTTCGACGCTGAAGAGGGTGTTAAACATCCTCGCGCTAAAGTGCTGCTGTATTGTACATATAGAGATGTGGTGCACGGATTTGCATGGGACTTGGAGTTGGGACACCACATTGGAGAATTTGCGAAACTTGTATCATATGTATACACATTGGAGTATGTTCTCCATCATGCACACAAGCCTACGATTCCAAGTGGTCTTAGGCTTTGGCATGACTACTGCTTGAAATGACCGAGACTCACTTCCATCATCGTCCTCCTGTATTTTACATCTTTTTTAGAACTTTCAAGAAAGCACTGGTGTGCCCTCAGTAGTTGCAAGAGTCGATTGTAGGTGGTCAAAAGCCCAATGACTTATTCGAAACCCTACGCATTTTACATCTTGTTCGCATTGTTCAGTCATGCTGAAGAACTCCAGGCAATACCAACCGAGCGAGCAGGCGCGAAGTGAATGTGAAAACACTTTTGCCTTTGAAGGCTACGAGAGGAGCAATCCTACATCTGTGGCTATAGCAAAGGGAAGATAGGTAGGGAGAAAACTCTACAAGGTGTAAGACGAGGGGTGGTGTCACCCGAGTGTCTTGCTGGACACGAGACGCATATCTAAGGTGTTGGGTGAGTTGGACTAGCTAACTATCTAGAAGGGAGAAAGAGGTGCACAAGCCATACTAATCCTGTCTGATTGGTGGAGTATTCCAGACAGGTAGAACAGGGGTGTATGAGTTTGCCTACAAGAAAGGGAACGCCTTAAAATAGAACTATCTTACAAAGTGCAAGATGGGAGTGGGCAGGGTTGGGCAGGGAGGAACAAGAAGTAAAACAAAACGGTGAGTGACAAGACGTTTCTACGCACGTACCCACGGATGTCGTCACACGCTCAGTCTCTGCACACTCATCTACCACTGTTTGAGGTGGCCTCTAGAGTTTACTAGTTGTCCAAAATGTCGAACTTCAGCGTTCTGAAAGTGTGTCGAGGCACTTCAAGCAGTGGCAGACGAGCGTACGCAGATCTACGACGAGGGAATATATTTACCACTGCGGAGACTTGATTGTAAGTCTGTAACAGCATATTGTCGACTTCAAACCCTTGAAGACTTTGTTATTTGTCCACCTCTTTTATGTAGGCGCACTCTCCAAAGCACCGTTCCCATTCTTTACACGGAACCTCCCCGTGGTATCCAAATCGCAAGGTTACCTCCCTCTTCACTCCATTGTCTCCGGCAATTCTGCAGACCCAAATACGCCGCACTACGTCTGGTGTTGGCATGAAAGTCTCCGTATCCCCAAACAAACTCTTGAAAACGTTGGTGTACTTCTTTAGGTTGTAGTATTGATTTGAACAACCGAAACCTGTTCCCTGCGGGATGGGGTTTTCGTCGTAACATTCCGGACCCACCAGGTGAATTTCGGTCAGAGCAAGTAGATTGCTAAGGAGTACCTGGAGGCGCTTATTCAAGCGGTCCGGGTCCTTGTATTCAAAACCGCGGAGTTTGATGGCAATGGACGTAAGGAAGTCTCCGTGGCTGGCTTCGGAAGTATTGCGAATATAATATTCATTGTTCTGGGTGCGAGCAAACCCAATGAATGGAAAGGGCTGGATGTTCGTGATGTCGTCAGTGTATACCCATCTGTCTTCATGACGGAATGTAAGATCACGTGGGATCTCTGCCACGTTGGCAGTAGTCGTGAAGGCGTTGGCCTGAGGGATAAGTCAGCACGTGAGCTTTTATGTGGCTAAGAAGCCTAACGTCACATACGGTAGGTTCACTATCACAGCGAGGGACATATGACTCATGGAGCCAAAATAGACCTGTGTAGCTGATATCGCTTCCGATTGGGGCCCCGAGGACTGGCAAGCCTTCATGGCTCTCTCGTGGTGTATCACACATCATGGACTTAGCTTGGGTAGAAGCGGTGCCGTTATAGTTCGCCACGGTGATTGAGGTGGAAGTTGAAAGAGCTCCCATAGGGATAAAAGGGCAACGGCTGGATGTGAGAGGGCTTGGCTGGAGAATGTAGGAAGTTTGAAGAATAGTTCTGAGGGCGTGGGGATGGAAGGAATTCAATGCTTGAGAAATCATAGCGTAAGTGTCTGAGAATTCAGATCGTAAGTATCCTACCACAGTTTGTAGCCTTTGAAAAAATTGGGATTGTGATTCCTCTCATGTTCAAGGTTAGGGAAACATGGTCCACGGTCTACAGCTACCACATAGAGTGGAACAGACTGTTCGAGTGTTCTACATCTTCCTGTAGTGTAAAGCGGACTGTTGTCTGACCATTTTGCGGGTGGTGGCGTGCGATTGGTCAACCCTAGGTCCCTTGGCAGGCTAGTCACATTAAGTAGGCGACTGCGGCAACATCGACCTTTCCTTGAACACTTTCACTACAATATCACCACGCCCTCACGCATCACTCTGGCAGCAATGTTGAGCTTCGCACCACCACCGCCTCCCCAAGAGGAGCTTGCGCCGCCGCCTCCACCTCCCCAGGACTTTGCGCCTCCGCCGCCTCCCCCCCCGGAGGCCCTCCCACCTCCTCCGCCGCCCGCAGAACTCCCGCCGCCCCCGCCTGAGTTTGGGGCACCCAAGCAAAAGAAAGGATGGGGCGCTGCGAAACCCAAGGCCCAGCCTCTTAGTATCGAGGAGATCCTCAAGAAGAAGAAGGAGGCCGACGCGGCTGCTGCTAAGGTTAGTAATTGTCGCCCCTCTGATGATCCTATGATCACCAGATTCTAGTGCAGTTTGGGCATCACTAACATACGTATAGCCTAAGTTCCTCAATAGAGCTCAACGTGAAAGACTCGCCCTCGAGAAGCGCGCCAAAGAGGTCGAAGAGGCCAAGCGGAAGGCGGAATCTTCGAGGGACACCCCACAGCAGGATAGCTTTGTCAAAGGCCCATCCCATACCGCAAAATCTAAATACGGGGTTCCTACAGGCCCTCGTGCCTTGCGAAATGGCGAGATCCCAACAGGACCAGCGGCGATGCGCTCAAGTGGGAACGGTCGTGGCCAGGACATGGCGCCTCCTCCACCGCCACCGAAGGGAGAAAAGGGCTCTAAGAGGCAAAACCCGGAGGATACAGAGGCAGCTTTGATTCGGCAACGATATATGGGAGCAGATCAAAACCAGTCCACGTTCTCGGCCAAGAAGAAGCGCAAGAGGACTACCGAGAAGAAGTTCAATTTCGAATGGAATGCTGAGGAGGACACGAGCCAGAATTACAACGAGCTATACAAGACTCAGACCGAGGCGAACTTTTTCGGTCGGGGTCGGCTGGGCGGGTTTGCCGATGATGTCGCGGACCATGGTGCTCAGAAGTATGCGCAAGCTCTGGCACAGCGTGATCGCGAGACTGGCGATGCTCGTGTACAGGAGATGGCAGAGATGGAGCGCCGAAGGAAAGAGGAGGGAGGTCGAAATGCACTGGATAAGCACTGGAGCGAGAAGAGACTGGACCAGATGCGCGAGAGGGACTGGCGTATCTTCAAGGAAGACTTCAACATCAGTACCAAAGGCGGCTCCATTCCGAATCCTATGCGCTCATGGGCTGAATCAGGCCTTCCGAAGAGATTGCTTGACGTGGTTGATGAAGCTGGCTACTTGGAACCATCCGCGGTTCAGCGCGCAGCTATTCCGATTGCTTTACAGTCTAGAGATCTTATTGGTGTTGCCGTCACTGGGTCTGGTAAAACGGCTGCCTTCCTGCTACCTCTACTTGTCTACATATCGGATCTACCACCGCTGAACGATCTGACGAAGAACGACGGTCCGTACGCTATCATTCTGGCACCAACTCGTGAATTGGCGCAGCAAATCGAGCTCGAAGCAAAGAAATTTGCAACTCCTCTCGGATTCAATTGTGTCAGTCTCGTTGGTGGTCACTCTATCGAAGAACAAGCATACAACATGCGGGACGGTGCCGAAATCATCATCGCCACCCCTGGCCGTTTGGTAGATTGCATCGAGCGTCGCGTCTTAGTTCTGGGCCAGTGCTGCTACATCATTATGGACGAAGCGGATCGCATGATTGATCTCGGCTTCGAAGAGTCCGTCAACAAAATCCTCGACGCTCTTCCCGTCGGCAACGAGAAGCCCGACAACGACGACGCTGAGAATGCCGTCGCCATGTCGCGCCACCTCGGTGGAAAAGATCGGTACCGCCAGACCATGATGTACACGGCAACCATGCCGCCCGCTATCGAACGCATTGCACGAAAATACCTCCGTCGTCCCGCCATCGTCACCATCGGTAACGTCGGCGAAGCCGTCGAAACGGTCGAGCAGCGCGTCGAGTTCGTCTCGGGCGAAGACAAGCGCAAGAAGCGTCTCCAAGAAATCCTCAGCTCCGGCGAATTTCCCGCCCCCATCATCGTCTTCGTCAACATCAAACGCAATTGCGACGCCGTCGCGCGCGACGTCAAGCAAATGGGCTTCAGCTCCGTCACGCTGCATGGCTCCAAGACGCAGGACCAGCGTGAGGCCGCGCTTGAGAGCTTGCGGAAAGGACAGGTCGACGTTCTTGTGGCTACAGATCTCGCGGGCAGAGGTATTGATGTGCAGGACGTCAGTCTGGTGGTTAATTTCAACATGGCCACGAACATCGAGAGCTATACCCATCGTGTTGGACGTACGGGCAGAGCAGGCAAGAGCGGTGTGGCGATTACGTTCCTGGGCAATGAGGATCAAGATGTCATGTATGACCTTAAGCAGATGCTTATGAAGTCGCAGATTTCGAGGGTTCCGGAGGAACTGAGGAAGCATGAGGCAGCGCAGCAGAAGAGAGGTGGGCAGAAGAAGGTTGAAGACAGTGGTGGCTTTGGAGGTAAGGGTGGTGCTTCCTGGTAAGGGGTTGATGACTAGGCTTTTTGCTGTGTTTTGTACACTATGGGATTGGAGCGAGCGAAGTCTGCGCTTAGCAGCAATGGGCAATGGCGAGTTGCCTAGCCACGCTGGGCATGAAAAAAGTGGCACACTCATCAAGAGCGCAGCCGGTACATACGCCTCTCTGCCACTGCATGAAGTGCTTCAACAAGTTTCACTTAGACCAAAGTGAAGAGCTTTTATCTTGTTCCAATTCCTGAAAATTCTCTGAAGCACCCCAAGCAGTGGCAGGCAGGTATACACATGAGACAGCTTGTTCTGGAATTAGTGTGCCACCTTTTCCATGTCCCACGTGCTAGCCTAGAGCTTCACGGTTACTCTAAGTAGCAGCAAATTCTAAATCAATGGAAATCATGTTCTGATTAGCCTCTCAATGTATCTTCTTACCTACACCCTTGTTTCCTAATTGGCCTGAACTTTACAAACACCATCTCTCCATATCATGTAGTCTCTCCCTCAAGCCCCCTTGATAACAATCTTTCCAATATCCTGTTGCTCCCGAAGCGCCTCATACGCTTTCAGAGCCTCATCAAACTCAAACACCTTCGAAACCACAGGATGAATATCAAACTTCTCCACAATTTTCACCAGCTCCTCCACCATCTCCTTGCTCATTGCCATCGAGCCACGAACTACAAAACGGTTAGTCTAGCTACTCAAAGCTCAAAGCTCAAACTCAAAGATCTCGACAGCGGTCTCGCACTCACCAGTCTTCGCCCCCATCAGAATCAGCGGCAATATGTCCACCGGGCTACCCTCCGTCAACGCTCCAATCACTGTCACAAGGCCCCCAGCTCGCACACTCTTCAGACTCTTCACAATCGTCTGCGCACCCCCAACCTCAAGTACATGATCGACACCCCGCCCGTTCGTAATCCGCAAGACCTCAGCATCCCACTCCGGCGTCGTCTTATAATTAATCACATGCGCTGCACCCAGCCCCTTCGCAACCTCCAACTTCTCATCCGACGAGCTCGTCGCGATCACCGTAGCGCCAATCGCAGACGCAATCTGCCATCACCATCGCCATCAGCCCACCCCTTTCTCCCCTATTACACTACTAACAGCACTCCACTCACCTGAATAGCAAAACAACTCACACCCCCCGTCCCCAGCGTCAGCACCACATCCCCCTTCTTCGCCCTCGCGGGGCCGAAAAACAGCGCATTCACCACCGTCGCGCCCGCCGTGCCCAGCGTCGCCGCCTCCGCGACGCCCAGGTTCCGCGGCGCGCGCACTGCGCGCGCGTCGTCGAGCACCATGTAGCGCTGCAGCGTGCCGTCAACGGTGCCGCTGCCGAGGATGCTGGCGAAGTCGAGGTTGGCGACGCCGCCGGTGTACCAGGTGCTCGAGAACACGAGGACGGTGTCACCGGCCGCCCAGGCGGAGTTGGGGCCGGCGGCTTCGACGGTGCCGGCGCCGTCGAGGCCCGGGATGAGAGAGGGTTTGGCCGGGAGTGGGTAGGCGTGCGTGGCGACCATGAGGTCGCGGTAGTTGAGGGAGATGGCGCTGATGCGGAGGAGGATTTGGTGTGGGCCTGGGGTGGGTTTGGGGGAGAGGGTTAGGGAGAGAGAGGGGGGAGAAGAGGAGGGCGGCATGGTCCAGGCGAGGTTGGTGGTGGAAGGGGAGGTCATTTTGGGGGGTTTTGGGTTGGGGGGTGTGAGGTTGAGATGGGGAAGAGGATAGTGTTGGAGATGAGATTGAGGTTGCTTTTGAAAGAGATGTGGTGGTGTTTGAAGTTTTGAGTTGATTTTTGAAGAAGAAACGGATGTTTGTATTTGTAATCAGAAGATTGTGGCGGGTGTTGTAGAGCGATATGTGGAATTAGAGGCGTGCTTGAATTCAAAGAACGGATGATCTGACCCCTCGAACTAGTTTCTGACCTTACAAGGGGGTAACATGAGCGGGCCAGCAGCGCTCCCTGCTAGCGCTTATAAGCGCCAAAGGATGAAAACTTTCGAATTGTTGAAGAGGAGGATATTCATCTCGGACATTCTTTTACTCGAACCGCGGTCGCTCGCTTAGCTAGTTCCCGCTGCAAGGCGGTCCGTGCGGACCACCGAACGTCGTGCCGGAGCCCCGATGGCGCCGTCAGACTCCGACTACGACCCGTCGACACCACCTCCTGCGCCAGCCAAACGTACCAGGAAGCGAACAGTAAAGGCGCTTGACGCCCTGCAGCAGCTCCCAACAACGAGAGCAGTACCGGGTCGACCTATACAGATAGAGGGCAGAGCCACGGCATTGCCGCTACCGCAGAACGATGAACCAAATAGCACGCAGCAACACCCAGCGCACTATGAACTACCGCCATTTCCTACCAGACACGTGTCGATCTCCTCCGAACGAGCTCCTAAGGGAGCCAGCGCCGGGATAGGGGAGCTGGCAGAACTCATCGCGAGCCTAAAAGAGACGATAGCACAGCAGAACAACATCATCGGGAACCAGAACAAGATCATCGAGGACATTCGAAGCAACCGCGCAACGTTCCAGGCAGAGCAGCAGCATCTCAAAGACCAGATTATAGAGCTCCAAGAAACCATCGGCTCTCTTCGAGCGCAGCTTAACACCCTTTCGATCAAACCGCCGTCAACGCAGACATGGGCGTCGGTCGCAGCCAGCGGACAACCAGCAAGAGCAGGCACAACACTTTCGCGATTAATAAGCACAGGCTCGACAGATAAAAAGAATATAAGATAGTTAGTAATTAATATAAGCCGGGTAAAGGATAATACAGCAGAGAAGGTAGCTACTATAGAGGCGGCTAAATAAGCTATCTAGCAAGGTATAAATAGGGTTAAAAAACTCGCGGGAACCACAGTTAAGGGGTTCCGCGTATAGCGAGGAAATAAAGGTATAAAGGTAATTAAGTTCTTAGTAGATAAGGATAAAAAGGCAGCAGTCTAATAGATAATAGTAGACTAGCTTAAGCTAGCTTTACTAGGCGTAAGGCTAGTAGAGCCTAAGTAGTACCTAGTAAAGGCAGACTAGATTAAAATAGCACTAGTAATAAACGCAGAGAGCGGTAAAGTAAGCAGGTTAGTAATAGAATAATTTAGTACAGAGAATAGAGTAAAGGTATATATAATATAATAGCTTAGGCAACTAAAACCTAGCAGATAGCATATATTAGTAGTAATTAAGGTAGTAATAAAGGAGAAGGCGGAGAAGCTGCTAAAGTTGGACAGCGTAATATTTAGCGGAGGCGGTATTATAGTATTGCCGTTTAAGAAGCGGCGCATGCTAGTAGCCTGCTTTAAGTATAGGCGGTTCGGATACAGAGCATATAACTGTATACGGCCGGAAACGTGTAATATATGCGGGCAGGAAGGCTATCTATAATATAAAATAGTTAACCTGCACTATATTAACTATTAAGGCCTATATTAGGCGTTGCTTTAATAATGCCTAGTATATAGGAAAGAAATAGATAGGATTTTTACACGGCAGCGCTATAAATAGGGAGTTCTAAATCCTGCAGGTAAATATAAAAAAAGGCAGGGAAGCACAGCATGCGCTCTATAATAACGCGGCACTCGCCGACTTTTAATTTATTCTAGAATAGGAACCTAAATACTTTTTTATAGAGGGAGAAGTAGTACTATATAGTATAAATCCACGCTAGATAATATATATACTATATAGTAGGTAAAAAGGATAATATTTAGTCTAAATATATATCTAGGTATTTAGAAAAGTAAAGGCTATATAGCTATATATAGACTTAGCGGATATTATAGCTGTAGTAGTATATATAGGCAGAAGGAAGCTAGTTATAGTATTAGTATATATTCCGAACCTGTTTTTATTAATAAGAACTAAAAAGAAGAATATAGAAGAGCTTAGCAGCAGGCTGTATATAATTAATAAGTTAGTATAATAAAAAAAACTGCGTAACCCGTATATTAAGGTAGTAGTTACTAGGGACTTTAACTAATATAATCTGCTATAGGAAGGAAGCTATATTAATAGCATAGTAAGCTAAAAAAAGAGCGCGCTAATTATTAACTTTATAGCGGAGCTGTTACTACAGAGCCTTCTGCCGGCAGGTATAAGTATATTTATTAGCAACGCGGAACGCTTATTAATAATTAACCTAATACTTATAACGCCTGGACTAGTAGAAGACTTAGTTAAGTGCTTAATCTAGAAGTATAAGTATAGGTCGAACCACTAGGCTATATAGATGCGCTTTTGCATTAATATAGAAAAGAAAAAAGGTTAGAAAAAACTGCTATTTAAGAACGCGCTGTAGGATAAAATTAGATAAACGGTTAAGTAAGAAAAGGAAGCAGGCTTTCCTGCGGAAGATATTAATAAAATAGTAATCCGGCTTACGTAGTAGGTAACTAGGGCGGTAAAGGTATATATAACAGGTTGTTTTTTCTATACCTTTTAAGTGTCTTATACTAAGGCAGGGTATAGGCAAGTTATTATTAGGGTGCAATAGTTTTTAAAAGGTAAGGTAATAATTAATTAAGGTTTAAAACGGGGTTATTACTTTTAATAGGTAGTATTAAAGTCTTAAGTTAAATATAAGGTTCCTATCTATATAAAGGAGCGTTCTTTTATATAAAAGCTCCGTTCTAAGAAACCTTTTACTTATATAGCTTGCAGCCTCGAGCCCCTTAAGCTGCTCTCTTAGCTCGCAGCTTTAAGCCCTTTAAGCGCTTACCTAGCTTACTTTCTTAAGCCTCTTAAGCTATTATATAACCCTGTCCCCGTAATATCCTATTTTTAAATTATTCCTATCTACTAGTAGTTCGTAGGGGAATCTAGGATCTCTATACGTTCTATATATAACCCTTTTAGTCCTATAACCTAGTTCTATATAATTAGTCTTATCTGCTTACTTATTTCTATAAGTACCTCTGCGCTCAGGTTGTTTATATTACGGGTTATAATACTTACTCCCTCTTTTAAGGCTTTTAGCCCGAAAGTATCTCTATAGTAGGGTTTTAGATAAGTAGCTAGTAATACCCTATCTATTAGGCCGTTATTATACTACTTTATTTTTTTCTTTATAATATCTAACGCTTTAAAAGCTAAGAAATAAAAAAGTTATCTTATACTTACTAATTATATTAACGCGTCTAGTTTAAAAGTTATACCTTATTCCCGGTGCAAGTCTTAGGGTTTATTATATATAGTTTCTATATCTAACTCGGATTATTATACCGCCTGCGTTCGGGCGCAATAATTAAACTATAATATTACTAGTATCTTAGCAGCTACCTATAAGCTATTATAATCTACTATTACTTATAACTATATCCCGGCTAACCTTTCTAGGGCGAAAGCTAGCCTATAAAAAGGATAAACTTTATTATAAAAAGTTAGAGACTTATATAACCCTAAAAGCGGCTATAGTAAAGCTAGATTACCTGGATTCTTAAAAGAAGCTATTATATAAGTATAGTAAGGAGATAATATATTACGGTTTTAAAACTCTAGAAGAGCTTAAGAAAGATAATTAGAAAAAGGCTAAGTAGAAAGAATAAGAGCATGCTAAGCAGGAAGGCTTACCTTCTGCCTTAGGAACTATCGGGTATTCTTTTTTCTTCCTAGGTATGCTAGGCACTGCTAGCTGTCTATTCTATTACTATATATTCTAATTATATAGCAGTAGTATTTCTTCTCCGGGTTCCTTTAATCCTTCCTAGTTAGATAGTGCACTATTACTATTTTTCTAGGCTGTTCCGGATTCTAGCAGTAAAACTACTGCAGGAGTTTCTAATAGTTTACTAAACTCTTAACTAGTTCCTATATATTTTTAGAGGTGCTATATCCTTTCTACTTAATTAGGTACTTCTTTTACTAACCGTGCTATTAGGAATCTAGGATTTGCTTAACCTTATATTTATTATTATTATTAACCTCTATATTATTTTCTAGCTTAGCGTTTAGTAGTGCAGGTTCTAGTAGCAATATATAGAAAACCGGGTGTATTTTTATCCTATTAGGTAGCCTAAGCTTATAGTTTACTAGGCTAATAATATTCTATATTTTAAATAGTCTAATTTTAATATAGTCTAATTTTATACTTAGTTATTTTATTTTAATATTTTTGCGGAGTAGGTAGACTCTATCTCCCCCCTTAAAAGTTAGTGCAATACCCCGGTGTTGGTTATAATACCTTACTAACCTTAGTATTAGAAATTAGATATCTATTAAGAGCTGCCTTTATAGCTTTTTAATATTTTTAACTAATAGCAGTGCCTTCTAGGCCTTTATACTATTAAGTCGGGGTTCCTAATATACCTTTAGATTAAAACTATAGTTTATAAAAAAGGGTAATACCTTTATTAACTCCGTAGATGCACTATTATAGGCGAACTAGGCTATTAGTAGTAGTAATACCTAATTATCCTGCCTGTAATTAATATAGTATTATAGGTATTATTCTAAAGTCTAATTAAGCCTTTCTATTTGCCCGTCTATTTAAGGGTAAAACGCTATAGAAAGCTTATGCTTTATCCCTAGTTATATAGTAAGGGTCTGCCAGAATTTTAATATAAAGAGCTTATCTTAATCTAAAATTATTTCCTAGAGTAGCCTATAGTTGCTAATAATATACTTTAAAAAAGTGTAGGCTAGATCCTCTGCTATTAATACTTTTTAATAAGGGATAAAGTATATATATTTAGTTAGTCGGTCCGTAACTACTAATATTATATTATACTTTATACCTATTATAGGTTTAATAAACTATAGTAGCTTAACTATAAAGTCCTATATAATAAATTCCTATACCTTTTCCGGTGTAGAGGGACTTTTTATTAGTCCGTACAGTGTATATTATACCGACTTATTCTTTACGCACTCGTATTTATATATAATTCTCTCCGTTAATTTCCGAAGTCTAGGGAAATAGAATATTCTTGCAATTTTTTCCCGTGTCTTTTCCACCCCTTAGTGCCTGTGCACTAGTGTACTATAGAATTCCTTAATAAGCTCTTTTTATAAGGCCTTAGGTATAAATATCTTATCCTATAAGGTAATAATACTGTCCTAGATTTTTCTGCGTTTTTAGTTTATAGGTTCTGGGCGCAAGCTTTGCTAGTTATAACCCGCTAAATCCCGGCTTTCTTAATCTACTTTCTATGCTGCCTTAATTTATTTATACTACTTATTATCCTTAGACCTGTAAGTAACTACTGCTTATATATAGTTAAATTTAAAGGTTCCCGGACTAGTTTCCTTAAGTATAGGTTGCCTAGTTTTCTTAGCTTCTTCTATATAGTTCGGCTTTCTGCTAAGTGCGTCTATATAAGCATTTTTAGATCTCTTCTAATATATAATCTTAAAATTAAAGGTTTCTAGCTTTTCTAACTATTTTTTCTATCTCCTATTTAACTCCTTAGTTATAGTAAAGTATATTAGATTTTTATAGTCTATATACACCTATACTATATATACTACCTCTTTAAGGTAAACTTTCTACTATTTAAATGCTTTTATTATAGCTAATAGTTCTTTATTATAGATATTATAGTTTAGCTTAGCTATACTTAGCTTTTATAAGTAGAATACTATAGGATGCAGTTTCCCTCGTTTATCTAGTTAGTTAAGTATTGCTCCTACTACCTTATCTAATATATTGCTTTTAATAGTAACTGGTTTCTATAGGTTAAAAATTGCTAATACTAGTTTTAAAGTAAACTGTGCTTTTAACCTATTAAATACACCCTGCGCTTCTAGGGTCTATCTATATTTAATATCTTTTCTAGTAAGTTCTATAAGTAGCTCTGTAATTTTTAAGTAGCCCTTAATAAACTGCCTATAGTAATTAGCTAACCCTAGAAACAACTATAGTTTCTTTAAATTTACGGGCTCTAGCTATTCTTAGATAGAAAACACCTTACCTTTTTCTATCTTAATCTGTTTTAGACTAATAATATATCCTAGAAATCCGACTTTTTACCTATAGAACTTACACTTATCCAGGTTTACTATAAAATTATATTCCTTAAGTTTTTTAAGTACTTTCCGCACGTATATTTTGTGTTCGCTTAGCGTTTCTAAGTATATAAAGATATTATTAAGGTATACTACTACAAACCGATTTAGGTAGCCTTTTAACGCTAAGTTAACTACTACCTAGAATATTACTAGCGCGTTAGTAAGCCTAAATAGTATTACTATATACTTAAAGTGTCTGTATTAAGTTCTAAAAGCCGTTTTCTACTCTTTTCCTTCTTTTATCTAAATTAAATAGTATCCTTTATATAGGTCTAACTTTATAAAGTACTTAGCTTTATATAGTTAGTTTTTAAGTTTAGAGATTAAAGGTAATAAATAGCAGTTTTTAATTATAATTTTGTTTAGTTATCTATAGTCCACGCAAAGGCGTAGTTTACTATTTACCTTTAGGATAAATATTACAGGGTAACCTGCGGGCAATTCTAATAGTCTAATAAATTCTTACTTTAGGTTCTTTTCCAGGTATTTTTCTAGCACTTCTAGCTTATTCTAGGCTAGTAAATAGATTAGTCTAAACTATAGTTATTCGCCTAGTACTAGGGGAATATAGTAATCCTAAGGTTAGTACTTTAGTAATATATTCTAAACCTTTTCTATAAAGATTTCTTTAAATTTATTGTATTCTTCTAGTATAACTAGTGCTTTTACTACCTTAGCTAGCTGCCGGCTGCTTAGGGGTCTAGGCTACTATTAGCTTACTACCCTATTTTCTTTTTAGGCCTTTTTACCTTTTAAGGTATCTATATTAATATCTTGTTTTTACTTAGGCTTATTCTAGTACAGGGTGCTCTTTAGTCTACTTTCCGATTAAATCCTTACTTTACTAGACTTCTAATTAACTTAGGGGTTATACTGCTTTAGCTATAGTATGCCTAAGATTATATTATATCTCGCTGTATTAGTTATATCTATACTAATAGTTTTTTTATATTCTTTAATCTATATAACACCTGGTTAAGTTTCTATAGTTACCTGCCTATTACCGTATTATATAGGTGTGCTATCTACTATATATAGTCTATATAGTCTGTTTTTTTATTACTAAGGGATCCGGTTTCTTTTAATAAAGTTATAGAATATAAAATTTCCTTACACGCTACTGTCTAGCAGTGCTCTTACCGGGTTCCTACTAATTTTAACCGATAGGATTATATATTTATAGTTCTAAATAGGAATAGAGTTAGGCTGCGTTGCCGGGTTCCTTTCTTTTTCTATAATATAGGCTTTTCCTACTAGAGTAGTAATAGTTGCGGTTTATATTCCTTTATTTTTAGCTACTCCGTAGAACCTTATTCTTAGCTACTCTGGCCGTCCTGTTGCTTAAGCGCCTGCTTGTTTTTTAGCTGTTTTTATAGCTAATAGTTCGCGTGTTTTATTTTATAATATACTAGATATAAGTCCTAGTAGTATATCCGCTAGTTTTTACCTTTTCTATATTCTATTAGGTACTAAGGGTCCGCAGCTATAGTAGCTACTTCTATAAGTTTGTCTTTCTTACCTATAATATAGTGCTCTGTTTCCTTAAATAGTACTAGTTATATAATAATATAATATCTTATCTAATATAGGTACTATTCTTAATATTTTTTATATATTACGTGTTTATTATATTTATTTTTAATATAAAATACCTAAAATATCTGTCTATAAAGTAGGTGGTTTCTATCCAGCCTTTTATTTTCCTTATTATAGACGCCTGTTTTACTAATAGGGTGTAAAGCTCTATAGATTTTAATCTTAGTTTGCCTTCTATATAGCTCTAGCGGTTCTCGCTCTAGCCCTATACTAAATTTACTGTTGCTAGACTACTTTTCTAGTTCGCGATTTTTATTACTATTATAGTACTTCTTACTATTTTTAATAGGTAATTTATTATTCTATTTTATTTAGATATTGCAGCTTAAGCCTTTAAATATATCTAATTTTACGCAAGTTTCTGCGTTAAGGGTTAGCGTTGTTGTTATTATTATTCCTGCGGCTGTAGCTATTTTTTCTCCTTCTTCTTTAATAAGTTGTTCGGTAACTCTTCCTATAGCTTTTAGGAATTGGTAACTAGCTAGTTTCTTTAGCTCTGCGCCCGCTGTAGCGTTTTCGGCCTCTTGCGCTTCTCGTTCTTTATTAAGGCGTGCGAGAATTTCTCTTGCGCTTTATTTATATATAGCTATAACTCTATTAACCTGTGCTTCCGTGTTTAGTAACTCGGTTTTACTATTATCCTGTAGCTCGGGTATATTAGTTTAGGGTTCTAATTATAGTTTAATTATCTAGAACGCCTTATCCGTTTCTAATAGGTAGTTAATTTCTATACTTTTAACTTCTATATCTGCGTAGTAGTTGTCTATAGAGTTGCTTTTATATTCTTTATTCCTTATTATAGTAATAGTACGTTTCTTCGCCCTTTGCGTTAAATAGTACCCTGTTGCCTATTTATCTAACTAATAGGTAAAGCAGTTATTATTATAACACGCGGTTTATAATATAGAATTATAGCGGTCTATATTCGGTTTTATTATAACTACTGCTATTTAGGTGTTCTTAGAGCACTTATTTATAAAGTGTCCCTATTCTCCGCATAATAGGCATGCGCTGTTGCGCCTTTTTTCTTACCTTTCTTTATTAGTAATTAGTTTACCCCTTTAGTTATTATATTGTTTTATAATATTAATCTCTATACAATCTCTATAGTCGCGGTTAGTTATTCTTAGCTTTGGTCTAGCTAGTTAGGCGTAAGAATAAAGTCCTTTTTTATCTGCCTGTTTTAGTCGTCGCTTATACTATTAACTGTTAATTTATATTGCTATTTCCTTAAGTTTATAAAGTATTAGAGGCCTTTCGCCTTATATAATTTTATTCTTAATATCTTCTTTAAGACCTCTGTAGTATTATACTTGCAGAGCTTTATCTCCCTATAATAGCTTAGACGCGATTTATATAAATTCTAAAGTATAGCAGCTAGTTAAGCCCTTCTGCTTTAGAACTGCTATTTTCTATTCTGCTATCTATTCTTTATTAGTGTCTCTAAAGGTTATCTAGAGTACTAACTTAAAGTATCTATAGTTGCTAAATATAATATTAGTTTCTAGTTTCCGATTATCTGCGTTAGCGTTGCCGAGCTAGTCTATAAGTATTAGGTTAAACCAGTTAAACGCTTCTTTTTTTAAAAAGGTGGCTGCTATATAGACCTTATCTAATTTAAATTTAAGGTTGCTTTAGTTTATACGCAGGTATAGCCTTATCTGCGTTATAAACGCTTATAAAGCTCCTCTCTCCCTAGTAAACTCTTTAGGCTTATTTATTTTATAGCCTCTATAGCTAACTACTCTAGTAGTAGTAAGCTTTTCTTAAATAGTCTAGAGATTTCCCTGCAGGGCTGTAATCTTTTTATTTTTAGTATTGCTAGCTTCTTCTAGTATTTATATTTATATAAGCAACGCTTATATATATATTACTACCTTAGTTATAGTTAGGGTTAGTCTAGTAGTTATACTACCCGAAGAGGTTAGTAGAGCTATTTTAATTAATTGTCTATATATAACTCCTTTAATATAGCGGTGTTTAAAGTATAATAGGTTGTTTTTTCTATACTTTCTAAGTATCTTATACTAAGGTAGGGTATAGGTAAGTTATTATTAGGGTGCAATAGTTTTTAAAAGATAAGGTAATAATTAATTAAGGTCTAAAATAGGGTTATTACTTCTAATAGGTAGTATTAAAGTTTTAAGTTAAATATAAGGTTTCTATCTATATAAAGAAGCGTCCCTTTATATAAAAGCTCCGTCCTAAAAAACCTTTTACTTATATAGCTCGCAGCCTTAAGCCCCTTAAGCTACTCTCTTAGCTCGCAGCTTTAAGCCCCTTAAGCGCTTGCCTAGCTTGCTTTCTTAAGCCTCTCGAGCTATTATATAACCCTGTCCCCGTAATATCCTATTTTTAGATCGTTTCTATTTACTAGCAGTCTATAGGGGAATCTAGGATCCCTATACGTCCTATATATAACCTTTTTAGTCCCGTAACCTAGTTCTGCGTAATTAGTCTTATCTACTTACTTATTTCTATAAGTGCCTCTGCGCTCGGGTTGTTTATATTACGGGTTATAATAGTATACTGCCTAAAAACGCAGCCGTTGCTATATATAAAGCGGTGGTAGGATAAAAACCTTACAGCGCTAAGAAAGTTATATATATACTAGAGAAACCGAGTATACGTAATATAGTAGCAGGGAAAAAAGGACGCAGAGCTGCATAGTATAGTAATAAGAGCAAAACGGCTATTCTACTAAATAATCCGTTGCTACCGGAAATAGTACTAGGAAGCTTTCCTTAATAATAGTAATAACGTGTAGAAGGCGGCTAAATACCTAGATTTACAGGTAAGCAGCTTATTTACTAGAGTGCTACTAATTAAAAAAACTAGCTAAAAGAAAGGAATTACTATAGAAGATAATAAGATTAGATAAAAGCTGCTTTAGGTGTTTTTCCTAAGCCTAATACTATATAAGTAGGAGAAGGTGCTAGTAATATATAATTAACTATACTGTAAGCTAATTGCTAAATATAAAATAAAAGCAGCTATTTTTAGGGCAAGCCTAGATAAGGCGCTAGAAAGGAACAGCCTACCGGCAAGAGTATAGAGAAAGCTATAGCCGGTTCTAGGTAATAAAATTACGCAGCTATTTATAAAATTACTTAAAATAGGAAAAATACTAAAGAAGTAGAAGATTATAAAAATTATACTACTATAGAAGCTAAAGAGAAAGGACTATATAATAGCTAATAACTACCGGCTAATTTTACTATTGCTAATACTGGGTAAGGCGCTTAAGTTATTAGTAGCCGAAAGAATAGTATACCTAGTAGAGGAATACAACCTTTTTCTAAAAATATACTTTAGTATATAGAAGCAGAGGGCAATAATATATACACTATTATACTTCTATAAGAATATATTTAAGGCGTAGTATAGGAAAAAGATACTATTACTAGTATTATTTAATATTAAGAAAGCGTATAATAATATAGCTACTAAGCTAGAAATTAGAAAACTGCGGTAGTAATAGATTTTAGAAAAGATTATATAGTAGGTGCAGGACTTTTATATAGACTAAAAGGCGTGTATTTTTATTAATAGTATAATAATAGAGGTATAAAGGCTTCTATAGGCAGGTTTCCCCTAAAGATCTATACTTACTTTAATCCTATTTCTATTCTTTAATATAGATCTAGTGCAGAGTATATTATAATATAGTAGCTTAATAGTATTTATAAATAACTACTTAGTATAGGTTATAGGGCTATTAGTAGAGGAAAATATACAGGTTATCTAGGATAAAGTAGTTCTAATATTAGAGAAGTAGAAGTATATAAGCAGGGCTTAGTTTAAAGCTGCTAAAATAAGCTTTATCTATTTTATATAATATAAAGCAGTAGGTAGGAATAGTATAACGCCGCTATAGTTTAAAGAATAGAATATTATACCTATAAATAAGGTTAAGCTCCTAGGTATAACACTAGATAAGGAACTAAAATTTAAGGTATATTTTATAGATAAAGCAGGTAAGGTAATAAAAGTAGCGCTAGTGCTGCGCAGAATAAAGGGACTATAACCTAAGGTAGTTAAGCAGCTAGCGCAAAGTATAGTGCTACCGGTGGCGGACTACGCATTACTAGTATAGTACCCGATTATAATATATAATATAAAGCAGCTCCTACTATAGTTGCAGAAAATTACAGCGCAGGCAGTAATTAGAGGATTCTATACTATTGCTCTATTAGTAGTAAAGGTAGAGGCAGGTCTGCTCCCTATAGAATAGAGACTGCGGAAGTAGATAATTATATTCTAGGTATTAATCTATAAGCTGGGCCCGTTATATTTCTACTAGATGCTTAAATAATAATAACTATATATAAAGCATTAATTGCTACTTATAAAAGTGGCAGAAATATATATAGAAGTTTAGATAGATATAGTGCTAGAGGTTAAGCTATATATATGCCTGCTATAGGTAGCTCGGCCTAAGGTGGTAATATATAAGGATAAAAAGCGGGCGCAAGCTGTTACTAAGAACTACTAGCCAGGATAAGTAGATATATATATAGATATATTAGTATAAAATAGCAGGGCAGGTATTAGGGTATTTGCCAGGTTATTGCAAGTGTGTATTTTAAAGACGGTAGCCAGGTCTAAGCAGGCGGACGCGCACTTTACTAAACTATTAGCAATTAGTAAAGCCGCTAACTAGCTGTAGGGCCTATCTTGCGTAGCGCTTAATAGTAACGGCCAGCCTATACCAGCATCGAGCATCCGCATCTTTTCTAACGCGCAGTCGGTGCTGCTATTAGTGCGCAGTTGGCGAGCCAGCGCGTGTTAAGGTGTTATAGCAGAGATTATTAAGAAACTATAGATAACTAATATTACGCTGTATTAAATCCCAGGACATGCGGGGATTAAGGGAAATAAGCGGGCTAATAAACTGGTAAAGGCAGTAATAAAAGAAGAGAGCGAGCAGCTACTGCAGCGCAATAGTAAACTGTGGTATCTAACACGGCTAGCATTAAAAAGAGCTAACGTAATAGCAGGACCGCCCCTACTAAAGTGGGCAGAAATGGGAAAGTTCACGCGGAAGATAGATGCAGCGTTCCACCTAGGCAAGTCGGCAGAAATATACCGGCAGCTAAATAGCACCGAAGCGGCTATCCTTACGCAGCTGCGGACGGGTAAAATGTTCCTTAATAAGTATCTATACAAAATTAAGGCAACAGACACAGCGGCGTGTAATTGCGGGTGCATAGAATTAATAGCATACTTTCTCTTTTTATGCAGGCGATAGAGGCAGTAAAGAGCAAAGCTATAATAGCAGTATAGACAGCAATTTAGAGAGCTATTATACGCACTAGAAGGGTACTCGAGTAGATAAAAGGGCGGGCAGAGTATTAATAGACTAATTAAGTACTAGAAGCCAGATATAGAAGTAGTTAGGGTAATAATAGAATTTGCAAAGAGTATAAGGCGGTTGCAACCAAAAGTATAAGATAAAGAAAGTAGAGACAAAGAGGAGGCAGAGGAGAGAGGCCAGCTAAGGATGCCCTTTTCTACCTTATAAGCGTAGAACGATAAGCTGTCTATAAACGCGCCTCGGCCAGTGCGCTGCCGATTAAGAGGCGCACGACGCCGGAAATGCCCTGCGGACGCAAGGCCTCGACAAGCCAGGCAGCTTGCTCTATACGGTAGTGTATTACTTTCTTTTACTTTCCTTTGTTAAGCATGGAGTTAGGTATCGGACGAGCAGGTCTTATAGTTGGCTTCTAAATTAGAGCAGACAGATTAAGGATAAATATATATAGCTGGCGCTTTGTAACGGCCTATACCTATAGGGTGCATGGCTATAATAGAACACACACACACATATATATACACACACGCTAGCGCTTATTGCCACCTCTATTTGCCACGTAATAACCTGTGCTTATTTAGTAACTAATACTTTGTTGGACCTCCATCTGCAGCAATTACAGCAAGGCAGCGCTCCCTTATATTGCCTGTATACTTCTCGAATTCTTCGGGCTCGAGCTTCTCCTATTCCTCCTCAGCATACTGCCTTACTTCCTCCTTTGTTGTAGGGAACCGGCGTTGTATTCTCCCCTTCAATAGCCTCCAGACATTCTTAATTGGATTCAAATCAGGGGAATTCGCCGGCCATTCCATTACAAGCATGCCATTTTGCTCCCAGGCTATGCGGGTTGCTTTGGCTGAGTGAATAGAGGCATTATCCTCTACAAGAATAGGCTGGTAATGCAGTGTTTGCCATAATTCCCATGCGAATTTCTTGATATTGGGGCATATATATGTCCGGTAGACATCGCCATTTATTATCTTCCTTTTATACCCTAACTTAATCGACTAATCCTTTTCAAAAATAACAAGAGGCCCCTTATTCCCATGGGAGATGCTGCTATGGATTATCCAGCTTGAATACCCCCTAAATTTAGGGACACAGCAGTCAATATTATATTTCTCCTCTGCGCATTAAGTAACAAAGATTTGGCCTCCTCCAGTTTAAATAGACGCCTTATCTGTCTAAATTACTGCTGCCCACATCTTAGGAGTCTATTCTAGATAAGAATAGGCCCATTTAAGACGGGCCTCTCGCTGTTTAGGCGTGATAAGTGGCTTCTCTGTTGCAACACGCCGGAAATAGCCCTCCTTTTCAAAGGCCTTGTATAAGGATCGCTTGCAGGCAGAGATTCCTTCAAGAAATGCAATCTCCTTAAAGGATTTCTGTCGATGCCAACGATCTTGTTTTGCTCGTGCAATAAGGCGCTTTCGTGATGGGGTATTGATATTTGGCTTCCTTCCCCTCTGCTTTTGAGGAGTCCAAGTATCCTTTTGGAGAGAGGCAGATAGTGCAGTGCGAGAGACACCAAGAGAGCTGCTAATCTTCTCATCAGTCCAACCAGCATAGTGCTTAAGGGTATACGCAATATTACGCTCGCGAACAGAGAGCCGTGTTCCTGGCTGTCGAAGGACGGGATAACAAAGCAGAGGAGGGGGATGGTGGCCACGGTTCCGGCGTACAAGATTCGGCATTTTTAGGATACAAGATACAAGGATCTCTTGTTGTTTTATATGATGATCTAGCTATTCTGGTTGATTCTACATATTTGTAATACGAACAGCTATGCTTCATACGGCTAAAGCAGCCCCAGCGCTAGCAGGGAGCGCTGCTGGCCCGCTCATGTTACCCCCTTGTAGGAGCTGATGGGCTTATCCGACTGCTACAGCGATGCCCAAATCGAACCGGAAGAAATGGCGATTGGATGGTAGAAGGGATTTATGTAGAGGCGATGTGTAGAGTAAGAGAAGTAGGACCGAAAATGGTTGCAATACACGCGAAACAACTATACTACGGAATACTTGGAGTAATTTTCACGACGCTAGGGTCTTTGGTTTCTACCACCTAGCAGCATGCAGGGGAAATCTAATTCTTAGTAAACCAACGTAGGTTCTCGCTCAGGCACTGCCTTTGTACAGATATTCAGGTCTAGGAGAGCCGGGCCATATGCTGCTGGTCTAAAACGTCTTTCTTGAATGGGTCTCTACTGGGCCCCAAGCTTGAATAGATTACCGTTCAGCAGCTATCACCAACCTGATAGAGAGAGCGGAATGCCCAATTTTCCTTCATGCAGATCGTATCCGTAGTACATACATACAATCCATACCCTCACTAAATCATAGTGAGGTGCGACTGTAGTATACAACCCAGCACTGATTTCACATTGAGTACAGAGCTCACGAAGATTGCCCTGCTCAGCATGAAGTAACCTTGAGCTTTTTATTGAGACTTGTCATATCTTCGCGTATGTTCTCGGGAAACTCTAGACGAACAAGTAATTTGGACTATGGTGTGACGGATGCAGCTCGCCGCGCCCAGCACGCTCGTCTTCGACATAGACATGCTTATTAGCTTCAAGTGGGTAGCTGCAGCTTTAGTGCTGTGGTACGAAATAGACGATTCTCTGGCCACTTCAGCTTGGATTATTGCCATCCTAGCGTCTGTGACAACGAAGCTAGAGTTCATGGGCTATTTTTTTGTAAGTTGTGGATGCTCAGTGATGAGATGAGGTGGTGGTGGTAAAGACTCATCTCGTCGGATCTCGCACTAACCCACCCCCCTCAACACGCTAGTCACAGCCCGTGCCACTTCCCGTTCCACGGCATCATCGCGATTTGGTTTTCAACGCCGTACATCAACCCCGCCCGCCACCCTCCAATGCCTCTCCCCTCGAGCCAGAGCTGTCCCACTCTGGCGTACACGCACCGCCTTCACCCCGGTGTCCTGCTTTTGCAATTACATCGCTCCACCTGTGAGCTTGTGGGCTGAGCTCATCGCGACACGACAGACGGCTTCACGTATGCATTGCTTCCCTCCTTCGCCCTCGCACCCTTTCTCCGAGGTCAATTGGCGGTCATAATGAGCTGACGAGTTTTCCATCGGCAGACGCTTCGAGTAGTCTCCAGAATCTTCATGCCACGCACGCGGCCTTGCAGCGACGGCAAGGACCAGCGACGACGGCTCAAAATTAAGCCTGACCCGACATTCCAACGGACTAGGGATCTGCTTCCATGGCATTATGCCCTGAACACGAAACATCGGCGAGACCTGTACAATTTTTACAAACCAGAAGGCGACAGGAAAGCATATCGGTTACAACTCGAAGAGCTTGCGAAGGAGGACCCGGACAAGATCAAGAGCCTCTTCAACCAAATGCGGAGTGCTCTCGACAGAGAGTATGCTCTTACCGATGATAACATTGGGAAGCTTCACAAATATGCGAATTCTGAGGGGTTCCGTTTGAGGAAGTTTCGGAAGTGGATATTCAATCAGGACTTGGAGGTGCGCAAGGAGCGCTTTGCTGACATGTGGAGAGCGGAGGCGGCTGAGAAAGAGATGGAGAAGGCTAAGAAGCTTGAGGACTCTAGGAAGCTTGAGGAGGCTAAGAAGCTTCGGGAGGATAAGAAGCTTCAAGAGGCAAAGAGGGAACGTGAAGATAAGGCAAGAAAGGCCGATGATAGGGGAAAGAGGAAACTCGCGAAGGCCGAGAAGAAGGCCGCGAAGAAGGCAAGGAAAGAAGAGCGAGTCAAGAGGAAGTCTTTGGTAACTCAGGCCACGAAGGATGATGCTGCGAATCGAGACACAGCCGATGTGACTGAAGAGCAGTCCCCTACAGTTGACGATTTCCTTTGGCACGTGTTTGGAGCCGGTATGGAAAAGGAGTATTTCTTGAGCCGCTTGACGCATGAGGGCAAACTCGGAATGATCGACCAAGTCAAACGGAACAAACCGTCTCTGGAGGACAAGCAACCTGCGTTCCTCTTTTACATCAGCTATGATGGAATTGCAGCGATCACCGCACCAACAACATCACCGTCAAGCCTAAAGCGCGAGAATGAGGAAGTAGAGTCCTCTAGGATCCTCAAGCGCCGGCGTGTGGCATATGCAGCTCCATCGCCCCAAGTAGCGGAAGGCGGTGTGGCCAAAGTCGAGAGCCCAATCGAGGCCTTCTTTCAGCCTATCATACCTGAACCTGTACCCGCTGGGCTATCCGTCACCGAGTCGACTCGAGGACGATCACCGCAATTGGACATGAGCTTTCCAAAAGATCGAGAGCTCTCGGTAGAGTTAGGTGATGTTCGATCCCCATCAATTTCGGGCGTCGGAACTCCATCATCATACAATCTCGCCCTTGTCCCAGCCTCTGAGATGCTGGCATATACACCTGAGTCAAAAGCATTGATTGAGGAGCTACAATCCGACCAACCTTCCTTCTTCGGCGGCTTCGACTAGGAGACTGGAGATATGCTGTGTGTCCCGGCGACTCCAGAGTCAGACAGCTGGCAAATTACAACACAGACGTCTTCTGAAGACTTAGAGCCCTATCGCCAACCGGAAGACTACTATGAGGCATTTGAGGAAGAGTTGTCTGAGACAAGTGATGAAGATTACTTGGAGGTTGTCGAACCCTCTCATGCGAACCCAACTTCCCGAGCTAGCGCAATGCCTTCTCAGATCGTGTCCACCGCTGTAGGTGAAACCACCATTTCTGCAGGAAACAATCCCCCGGCTAGTCCCATTACTACAGCTATAGAAGGCATTGGAGAATATGTATCATCTTCACCGGGAGATGACTCTCCTATGTGCCCTTGCCCTTCCGCACCCATAGGCACCGAAAATGAAGACCTGAACTCCCAGAACCTCCAAAGAAAAGCCGCGCCTGATGACTGGGCCGAGCAGCGACCAAAGAGTTTAAGCCTAGATCCAAAGCGGACAAGTTGCTCCATACCGCCTCCGAATCACCAAGAAGAGACCCAATCTGGGCCTCCTACGACCATGCAGGAGCTAGTGACTGGCTTGGCACTCTGGAACACAACCTCAAACTCAAATGATTGTGTAGCTGAAAAGCATGTCATGCCACGAAACGGCAAAATAAGATCTCGTCTGTCACACTCGTCTAGATACATGGACACGAAAACGGATATGGAAATAGATGCGGCCTACAGTACTAATTCTTCATATTCTACATGGGTTCCGAAACAAAAGCCCAAATCAGCAATCAAGTCCGATCAGGACTCCTTGGCTTCAAATGCCGTAAGACCGGCCGTTCAAATCCCGGCCTTATCATTGGAAAAATTTGGCCTTATATACGAGGAATTAAGCAGTGACCCTTTCCAGGTCCTTGTTGCGGCTGTAATAGCTTGGGATCTCCCTGTGAGAGACCCAGAGTCCACGGCCTGCCACGTGGTGAACATCGTAGTGAAAAAGTTCCCACGACCTACTGATTTTGCGATTGCAAATCTGGGTCCTGCGGTGCGCTCCTCGGGCTGGACCGAACGTGGCGAACTTGTGGAGCTACTTAAATGTCTTCCTCGTGGAGCTGATCGTGCAAAAACCTTAGCAGCATTAGCCAAGGTTTGGATCAGCGATGAATTGAGGCCCGCCCTTGAGACACGTGCTTATCCAGGTGAGGAGAAGTGGGAACGATTTTTGGGTAGGGTGTACCAAGAGGACATGGACTTCAAAATCCACGACAGCGACAAGGAAACTTCCTTTTGGGGGGATTGGGTTTCGGGCTATGCTCGAGATTGCTTCCGGATATTTTTTTGCGACGATTGGCAGAAAGTTCTCCCTCGACACGCCGACCTAGACGCGTATCTAAAGTGGCGATGGCTTCGGAAAGGACTGGATTTGAATCACGTGACGGGAGAGATAAAGCCGGCCTCGACGGATCATGTGAGGTGGGCAGCTCGTGGCCAACTCTGTTATGAGATTTATTCTAACCATAGTTAAAGGTTAGCAACCAAATCAGCGCCAATGAAATCTCGCTCTAAGTCGCAACATAGGAAGCTGGCAACAGACTCCCATCGTCAGTCCCTGAGCTCGAACAACGGGCGTGATAGCCAGAGCGATGCCTCCTCTTCGCCGTACCAAGCCGCACCCAACTTGAGGTCACGCAAAGTGACTAGTGAGGACTACGTCTCTAGAAATAAAGGATTATTCATCAACCAGGAAGGGCGACAGCATATGATCTATATGGCCGAGAATGGTACACAGAAGGTCCAGTGCGACTTGTGCAAGGACACGTTCGCAAAAGGAAGCGGCTTTACGTACCATTTGAAATTCTGCCGCAAGAGGCCGCGCCAGGAGGAGGGCCTTTTGGCCGGCCCATCAACTAGCACACTGGCCGGATTGGTGAGTGGTCCTCCAACGCAGCGATGGCAAACGGTCTACCAGTCAGCATAGCCATGATATGATCGAGCCGCGTTGAATGGTCGTTGTGTGAGGGAGATGATGAGCCCGTGCCCGAGCTCTAGTCCAGTCACTAATTCTCACGGAGTTCCTTCGCACAGATAGTGGCGCTGGTATGGGTAGGAAGTGTTGGGTAGTGATGAAGATGATTACTTGCTTGGGCATTGAGATGAGTTTCGGAGCGTAACCATTGGAGGGCTCCGTAGATGTAACTATAGGAAGGATAGCTGAGATACCCCGAACCAGTGAGTTCACTATAACTATATACAAAACCTCGGTGTGCAAACTCAAAAGCTGAATGAGACAAATGCCGACGTAAACCTCCATTGCCATTGGCACGGGGCATTTAAATTTAGCACACACACCGGGAGCTTCTCTAACCGCCTTGGACTTGCTAGCTTGCAGCCGTTAATGCATCACTGCGGCGCGGTGTCAGTGTGGCTGCCCAATCATTGAAGTATGCTGAGCCCAGAGTGTTGGGAGCTGCGCCGTGTCTTTTCTGTCCGTCCCGAAGACATGTTTGAAACTACCGTACCCGAAGAATGAGCGACTTGACGAGAAGTGTACAGGTATAGGTTTGGTGTCGTGAAGCAGTGATGAAGTGATATACAGTGGGTGAGATGTCACGTCTGGGCACGGATGATTCTTAGCAAATCGGTGGGCCGACAGGGCATCCCTCAACACCAACGTCCACGTCAGAAGGCCGCAGAATAGCCAGCCGCCCGCGCTCTACACTCTCTACACTCACCTTCCGACCCAAAAACTGTGCCACCGCCATGCCTGGACGCTGGCCACGCTGATAGGCCTGTCACCGCCCAGCCCAACCGATCTACGCCGGCTAAGCGCGCTACAACGATCCAAATTCCACCACCATACCTGGTAACACCGGGCCCTCTCTCTCTCTGTGGCGAAGACATGTCCAGCATACTAGAGCCCCGGCGACGCAAGAAGGCTTCATCCAGCTCTTCCAAGGAGAAAGATCGCGACGGCGAAGAGCCCCGGCGCCGAAAGAAGACCTCCAAAGATCCCGACAATCCTACCCGCGAGCGCACCCGCAAATCGGCCTCTCGTACCTCCCACTCCTCGCGCAAGATGTCTATTGTACCTGAAATGGAGAGGCGGGAAGCCCTCTCCTCACCGTACGGATCCAAGACGAGCTTACCGTACCCTTCCTTCAGCAAGGAGCACTCCAAGGAAGCGGTCCACAGCAAAGAGAACGTTGCCGACCCCCGCAAGTCTCCATTTACGCCAAACCCTACCGACCTCAGCCAAGATGCCCAAGATAAGGACGAACGGGAAGAGACACAGCCACCAGCTCCGAACAGGGCACCACCGAGCCCTCCCCTCACCGCAACGGACGCTGGTCCAGAACTGAGGCGGCCTGGGAGTGGGAGTAGCATACGAATGGCTGCGCATACAGGACATCATGATCCGGAGAGCGGCAGAAGGAGCGCTGATAGCTCATCCCGACTGACTCCAGGATCGGGCCCGAAGTTCTCGGCGTCCAGGTCAAGCCTACGGCAGAGCACAGAGACGGATGATGCAACGGACATAACGTCCACTACGGAACGGTCGAGGACAAGCACAATCAAACAGGATAACGCAGCACAATTAGCACCACCTGCTGCAAGACCTATCAGTCCAAATACGAGACCACCAGGCCGGACCGCATCTGCTGGATCGCACAGTGTTTCTGTCGTCACTCAGTCTACAGACTCCGATGCCACGTCAATCGCGCCTACTCAGAGGGCTCCCTCTCGGCCCACCCCTCTATCGACTACAGAATCGTCCCCATCAGTAGGCGATTCGTCACCACGAACCCCAACGCCGAGAGACGCAGATTTCCCATATGGCACCACCGAGAAGACTAATCCGATGATAGAGATATTCAACGACCCTCTGTCTAGACCTCAGTCCGTAGATTCCATGTACATGGACTCCCCACTCACACCGCCCCCGCCACCACCTCCTCCAGTAATGAACGCAGATGCGCCGCGAGTCGACTACCTGCTACAGCATGGTGGTCTGCCACATCCAGTTCCCCGGAGTCTACTATCGGCCGTCGCTACCTCGTCGCCGGTATCAGCGTATCAGCAGTACACCTCGCCCAGAGTACCAGCATCACAAAACACCGATGTTCGAAGTATATTTGCCCCCTTCCAAAATTTGTTAGAAAGCTACAATCAAGTTATTTCGAAGCATGGGTCAATCGCTGTCGCCACCGGCTATCGTTCAGTAGCACGTAGGCTACTGGACCGGCTTGAGGCTGTGTTTGCTCGTAACATATCCTCAGAAAGCTGTCAATGCATAATGTGCCTGCCGTTGGCAATGCAGGCCCCAACGGACGAGGAGACTGGTGTTAGCTGGGGCGAGATTCTGGAGTATGTGTCTGGACGCCGAGAACTACCTCCCTGGCCCCCTTTTTCGATTGCAGCTTCTGGACTAGGTATCGCCGATATGGAACAGGAGGCGCCAATGCAAAAATTGGATATTGACGTACCAGAAGAGTACCGGGAGCACTATGTGCGGCAAAGCAAGAAGACGAAGACGGCAGTCCAGAAGTGGCTTTCAGCACAACCCGAGGAAGCTGCGAGCCCGCCACAAGAAGTAGATGATGAAACATTGCTTTTTGCGATGCTCACACATCTCGAGCCCCAGAAACGACCATTGTTCACGGCTCTCTACAAGGGAATGTCAACATTGCCCGCATCACGGGCGCAGACTCCGTTAGCAAAGGTCAGTACTGAAGTACTGGCGAAGACGTCGCTTGCTCTTCAGAGACTCTATCGCTTAGAGAGGCCTCCCCGGGATCCCGAATGCACCATGTACCTCCTCAAAAATCCGGAGATCCATGGTGTCTTGGCTACTTTGGCTGCTGTCAGTGCCGGTGAATGGGAGATTCTAGTGTCAGGACGATTTGACGGCTTCTTATGGTCCGGTGCAGAGAACGCGTTTCCATCCTTCGGGACTCCAATGTCACGAGGCCCTTCGAGAGGCCCGACACCCCTTTCTCGAACCACCACACCATTCAGTGTAGCCGGCATACCTTCTCGTGGCCCATCCCGCGGCCCCACTCCATTCAGCCCAAATCGCGACATGACGGGAACGCCAGCTGCATCCTCCTTCGGGGCACCCGTCCAAATGGACGAAGAAACCGAAATCGCTGTCCTTGCCGAAGTGGAGCGCGAGATCTACCTCGGCATGGAAACTCTCGAAAACGCGTTTGAGGCCCTCCATTGCAAAGCCGAGACGGTTAGGCGCAACCTCCGTGAGCGCAGCGCTGGTCTCGCCATGGCGGCGCAGGCGCGCCGTGGCTCCATGACTGACGGCATCGAGGTCAGGCTCGGCACGCCGGCGTCTGCGGCTGGATGGGGCGGCTGGGAGAGTGAGACGGATGATGGGATAGATGACTGGAGGAGTGAGATTGCGCCGGACGATTCGGCGAGCAATATCAGCTTTAGTCGGAGAAGGAGGCCGGAGCGGAGGCATGAGAGGAGGACGCCCGCGCCTGTGGAAGAGGAGGATGAGAGCGAAGTGACGCCTGAGGTCGTGCAGAGGCGGTAATTCTTCATTCTAATCCGAGGTTTCTTTGCCTTTCCTTATCTTGGATAGCATGTTTCGGTTGGTATGTTCGTGATCTCTGGCTCGACTACTCTCACCTCCCTCCCTTGTCCCAGACAGACACTAGGACGTTATCCTGTTAGCGCGGAAGGTATTCGTGTTGTATCATTCTAGCGGGGGGAAATTATTCAGGTAAGCAAGTTCGGCGGCGTATTTGAAAGGTTCAGCTCATTGGATATGGATATCGGGGAGAATGAAGCGAAAACAAGCGTGGCACTGCAGTGCAGGAGAGCGAGCGAAAATCGACGATACCCGTGCTTTTGCGTCTACGACAGCTTCCCTTCGTGCGCGAGATTGAGATGGTGTTTCCGAGCTGAAACTATCTACTTCTTCTTGTCAATATATATGATTACGACCATCCATCTAGGTCTGCGTTTATGATAGGGACTTGAGGATGCTCTTATTTGGGCAGCAATTATACACATGGAACTCAATTCGGCCAATCAGAATCCGTGAATTGCGGAGAAGGCTGGACGAATCAATGCGCGTGAAATTGGGGATTTTGAAACGGCGAGCTCTTGTGCAACGCCAACAAGGCATTACAACTGCCCAATTGATCTGAAATGCTTCCTTCCGTTCTGAGAGGTCGAGCAAGCGCGTTTCGTCGCTGCTCGACCAGTGAGGAAGGAGGCCGCCGCATCGCCAGAAGGAGGCACCCCCCGGCCGCGACCTCGAAACGGACCATGCATGCCAGCAACATCCATGACAACGAGAGTAAACAGGCTCCGCTGCGCACCGAGCCTCGTTGCCTTTGCCTTTTCATTCTTCTGTTCTCCCCATGTAACCCTCTCGACAAAACGGATTGAAGGCTGCTGCGGCCTTCACTAAGTACAGGCGGGCCCGCCATACGGAAGTTGACCGCCGCTGTTTACGCCCCCCGCGAACGACTCCGTCTCCACGACTGAGGCTACGCGCTTCTGGACCTGTCTACCGCGTCGATTGGATCTGCTGAGAGGCGAGGACAGTGAATTGGAGCTTTTGCACCCGCTGTGGGCTTGTTGGTGAGTGACGCGCCGGCGGCAATGCCTGACGTGGGTTGAGACGAGAGCTACGAATGCTGACGGGAATCGCTCTGCAGGAACCCGCCCGCTACACGGATAGCTTCGCCGACACATTCACCGCGTGTATTGGGCCTTTGGAATCCTTGGGCCGCCCTGGGCTTTGGCCTTCGCCGAGTGCCGCAGCTTCCTCCCTCCGCTACCAACCTTCGTCTTCGCCGGCTACCAAGCTATCACCACCGCACATTGGATACCCACAGTACCGACTAATTTCTTGACCACACTGCCCGCCTACATACTCGAGAGCTCGGAGCTGGATCCGGCGTTGTTCTGCGGATATGGCGACTGAGTTCATGAATGGAGCGGTGGACCCGGAGACGCTGTATACGAAGCAGGCATGTATTGGTAAGAGATGTCTAGGAGAAGCTGTTGGAGAGGACATGCGCACTGACGATTGTGAACAGGTGGTGGGAGCTTTGGAAAGGTTTATAAAGGGTAAGTTTGCTGCTGTTCCACTTCCAGATACTACCCAGAAACCCCGACTTGGGGATGATGTGGTTATTGCTGTGCAGAGGCTAAGACACACCAGAGTAGACAAACGCACCGGTGCCTCCGTCGCCATCAAAGTCATCGACGTCGAAAACGCTGAAGACGAAGTCGACGACATCATCCAGGAAATCGCTATCCTCTCCGAGCTGCATTCACCCTACGTCACGAAGTACTTCGGCTCGTTTCTGAAAGGGTCGGACCTATGGATCATCATGGAGTTCTGTTCTGGTGGGAGCTGTGGGGATCTGCTGAAGCCGGGGGTTATACCGGAGGAGTATATTACTATCATACTAAGGGAGTTGTTGATGGGGCTGGAGTATCTGCATGCAGATAATAAGCTGCATCGGGATATCAAGGGTATGTTCACAAACCGTAAAGTTTACAAGGGAATACGAGAAGCTAACTTGAGCAGCGGCAAACATCCTTCTGGGCTCCAATGGCCAGGTCAAACTCGCGGATTTCGGCGTCTCGGGCCAGCTCTCTGCTACGATGACCAAGAAAAATACCTTTGTGGGAACCCCTTTTTGGATGGCGCCAGAAGTTATCAAGCAGTCTGGCTATGATCACAAGGCAGACATATGGTCACTCGGTATCACAGCGCTTGAGCTCGCAATGGGCGAACCGCCATACTCGGACATCCATCCTATGAAAGTGCTTTTTCTCATCCCGAAGAATCCTCCACCAACGCTAGAGGGCAACTTCAGCAAACCTTTTAAAGACTTCGTCGAGGCGTGTTTGAAGAAAGAACCACGGGAGCGGCCGTCCGCGAAAGAGCTCTTGAAGCATCCATTCATTCGGAAAGCAAAGAAAAACACCTATCTCACGGAGCTGATTGAGCGGAACGAGAGGTGGTATGCACGGCATGGCAAAGACTCAGCCGAAGAAGAGGAGGATGAGCTGGAGCAGAACGCCCCTCAGAAGCGAGCTCCTGCTCAGGATGACCTCTGGGACTTCGGCACCGTCCGGCCAGCAGGAGGCACTCGGGGAGGACAACTTCAAGCCATGAACGAGGCAGCTCAGAATGCGAGGAAGACTTACTCGTCCGACCCTTTACCCCAGTCACCAACTCGAAAACCGGTTGAATCGGACAGGGGGTCTGAGAACGCGTTTACACCTACAGGCACCATACGGGCATCGAGTCCACCACAATTGCCACCATCCCCGACCAAGAGACTAGCAAGCACACCCACGACACCACTGTCGCCTGGCGGGGCAGCGAGGGTACCGCTTCCACTGTCACCAGAGAAGAAGCGCAATCCTCCTCCACCGCCACAGCACTCGCCTCCTCGTGCATCGCAGTCTTTCAATCCGCAGACGCCGCAGAAACCGCTGCCACCTACACATTCTAGCAACCCCTTAAATTTAGAGTTTGACGACTATATTCAGCAAGCCATAGCGGCGGACATGGCATCGCTGGATATAAACTCACCTGTCGCGCCACAGACCGCAGAGAGACAAAAGCCAAAGCCAAGTTTGCTCTCTAGCCCATTCAGTCTGCCGCCAATACCGCCCTTCAAGGGCCAAAGCCGCAACTCTCGGACAGACGCAGCTAACTCTGGCTCCAGTGCGCAGACTGCGGTCAAGGCATCAGAGAAACCCCTACCAGTCCTAGGACAGCAACCTCTCCCTACTTTCTCGCCGCCTCCACCCCCTGGACTGCACTTGCGTGGTGGTATGGGGCTAGACGTGGATGGCAGCTCTGTACTACAGCAGCCGCCAGTCCCACCGCATCACCAACTCCCTATCCAGCCTCAGCTCCCAGCACACCTCCAATCTCCCTCACGACTGTCGTCGCCGAGAAGCAGTCTGAATCCACCCGGCATCGAGCTGAGTCTAGAAACCCCCAACCGCACCCCTCGCATGCGCCTTTCCGGCGGCTCCAACCGCATCAAGAGCATGGGCACCCCCCAACAACGCGCCGACGCCTCGGCTCGCAACTCCATCCTCACCGCCACCAACCCCAACAGCCGCGAAAGCACCAGCACAACCTCGAGCACGAGCCCCGAGATCACGGCCCTCAACGGCGTCGTCATCCCCGCCCTCGAAGCCGCGCTCGCACGCCGCACGTGGAACTTGAGCCAGCAGGTCAAGAAGGAGGCGGAGCGCGAGCAGCGGGGGGCGCTGAGCGAGCGGGAGGAGAAGCTGGCGCGGAAGCGGGCCGAGGCGCATGAGAGCGTGAAGAGGCTGGTTGCGAAGGCGGCGAGGGTCATGCGCGAGATTGATGCGTGGGATGAGGCGGCGCCGGTGGGGATGGGGGGCGAGGTGGTGGGGTTTTTGGAGGGGTTTTTGGAGGAGGTGCTTGTGAGGGTTGAGGCGGAGGATGAGTGAGGGGTTAGGGGGTTAGGGGAAGGGGTGGTGTTTGTAGGAGTATTGGGTAGGGAGGGTTATGGTTGGATGCGTGCATGGCTTTTATGAATGGATGAGTCGATGGTGGGATGAGGGAGATTGTGCATTGGTAGAGGCGGAGGCGAGTTGGTATTCTTCTAGACTAATGGGGAATGGCTATGCTGTTATGAAGTCAGGGATGCATCCATGAACTCTTTCCTATGCTCAGATCCGCTACCACCCAGCCCCGTCTTGCTCTCAGGGCATCAACATAGACATTAACAGGCGGTGGTAACAGGTACACAGCCTTTCCCATACTCGTATCTGGAGTAGGAAAAAGTTGGGAGAAGGGAATGAGATGGGAAGGGAGTGAATGAAAGCCCGTAAAGGCGATTGATGAAGCTTGAAAAAGACTTCCTATATGGGTCGAATTGACATCCCAGCAACCCTTCCGTAAATCCTAACCCATTCCCTGAACTCCCTGTTTACAGCCCGCACGTCCGTGTAGGGTTGAAGTACTACGAATAGGGAGCGGATGAACATTATCGCGCTAACCCCCTCGTGAGAGTTGTAGAGGTTCAGCTTCCCAAAAGGCAGTTGCCCCATCGTCTTCGAATGATGCTACCACGATGGCGCCGTTACTTTTGGCCTTTTAAACTGATCTCTACATGATCGAATGGACAATATCTTAAAGGCTCGACTTTCTGAACCCTGCCAGGCGCGAAGAAGCAAATACTATGCTGAAATGTACGCGCCTATGCTGAAATGTGTCGGATGAGGGGACCTCCGTGGATGAGCAATCAGGGTCTTGATAGCATGTAACTAGTAGTGCATTTCTCCGCATTTAGAGACTCGTTGACCCCTTCTACAACATAAATCCATATACGCATATTCTTACACACATCAGGCATCTAAATACCAAGATATAGCTTATTTCTAGAGCATCCAATAGATCTTACCCTTGGTGGGGAGACATCTCGAGCACGTAAGACAACCATGTCATCACGCCCGGAAGCACAAGCACATACCACCTCGGACCTCGACCGACGAGCACCCAATTCAACGTCCTCTCAGAAGTATGCGGTGCTTCAAAACCTCTACAATGAATACCAGTACTCCCAACGCCGTCCTCAGCATGCTTTCTCGCCGTCGTCGAAGCTCCCGCTTCCGTCCCAAGACCGCCTGGACAGCTCCTTGACGGAGCAGCCCTATAACCTCGACGACTTCACATCCCAGAATATACTAGAAAAGAATGAAAAAAGAACAACAGTCCTATACCTAGCCTACGGCTCTAACCTCTGCGACGAAACCTTCCTCGGACGACGCGGCATAAAACCCCTCTCCCAAATCAACGTCCTAGTCGTACGCTCTCCCCCTCCCCCATTCCACCAACCCCCCCCCCTTTCCTAACCTCCCCCCCCTTTAGCCCTCCCTCCGCCTAACCTTCGACCTCCCCGGCATCCCCTACAACGAGCCCTGCTTCGCCAACACGGCGCGCCGCGACCCCACAAGCCCCCCGACCACCACCACCACCACCACCGCGGACTACCACAAAGACCGCTGGCACAAGGGCCTCGTCGGCACCGTCTACGAGGTCTCGCGCGCCGACTACGCCCACATCATCGCCACCGAGGGCGGCGGCGCCGGCTACCACGACATCGTCGTGGCCTGCCACGCGCTCCCCGCCGCCTGCCGCACCGTCCCCGCGGCGCCCGCCTCGCCGCCCTTCCGCGCCCACACGCTCTTCGCGCCCGCGCCCGACGATCCCTCCTCCTCCTCCTCCACAGATAACAGCCGCCTCTTCCGCCCGGACCCGGCGTACGCGCAGCCCTCGGCGCGCTACCTGAAGCTCGTCACCGACGGCGCGAGCGAGCGCGGCCTGCCGGCCGAGTATCTGGACTACTTGCGCGGGATTCGAGCGTACAGAGTGACGAGCCGGCGGCAGGAGGTGGGCAGGTTGGTGTTTCTGGGCACGTGGATGCCGGTGCTGGCGGTGCTGTTTCAGCTGCAGGAGCGGTTTAAGGACGAGCGCGGCAGGAGTCCGGCGTGGGTGGTGGCGCTGCTTGCGGTGGTGTTTGGCGGGGTTTGGGGGAGCTATGATGGCGTGTTTCGGCCGCTTTTTGGGGATGGGGAGAGGACGGAGGGGGAGGGGAAGAGGAGGGATGAGGAGGTTTGAGTGTTGCAGTGTGTTGGTGAAGGGTTTTCGGTGGGGTTATGCGTATACGCGGGCGTTGGAGATGATTTAACGAATCTTCTTAAGCATATGATATATTTAAGGGGGGTATCGAACTCATTAATCTTCGCTAAAGAACATCGAATTCCGTCAATCAGACCTCTCCTGTGCCTCCTGTCTCAACAATCTCCCCCACCATCCTCAGGAACCTCTCCCGGTACTCGCCCGCACTCGTCGTGATACTCATCGGCCCATCCCCCTTCCCCGGCTGAAAGAAATTCCAGCTATTCATCAGCCCCGTCAAGACCATCGGCTGCAGCGCATCCTTCGACCCTTTGACTAATCAGCTTCGCTCCCTCCTAGAACACAATAGCGGGACATGAACTCACAGAAAAAATCCAGCAACACAGCCCTATACACCCACTTCCCATCCCGACTCACCACCCCATTACGCCACGCCGACACCCGTCCCGGCGGAGGCGGCACCTCCTCGCCCTGCAGAAACGGATACCGCACCAGAAACAAACTGTAATCCACCGCATTCGCCTCGTGCAAGACCTTCGTGTCCTGCGTGAGCGCGTACACCAGCGCCTCCTTCTCGTCCACCCCAACCCGCACCTTATCCGGAAACGTGTCAATCAGCCGCTCCTTCACGCGCTCCGGCGCGAGGTGCCCGCCCGCGACGTCCCGCTCGGGGAAGAAGTAGTCGGCGGGCTTGAGGTCGTACGTCTCCCAGTCGCGCTGGCGCTGCGCCGAGCACGCGCACTGGCCGTACAGGATGTTCTCCATGACGATGTGGTGCGAGGGGACGGCGCCGAGGAGGCTGCCGAGCGCGGGCAGGGGCGCGTACAGCAGGTCGGTGATGCGCACGAGGAGCGAGGAGGGCAGCGTCGCCATGTGCGCCGCGTAGGCGGCGAGCAGGCGGTCGCGGAAGAAGGTTTGCTCGAAGGCGCGCGGGAGGGATTTCAGCAGGTATTTGCTGTTGGCGGTGGCGAAGAAGGTCTGGAATGAGGGCGTTTAGCGCGGGCCAGTGGTTTGAGGCACAGGGAGCGTACGGAGCCGCTGTACCCCAGATCTCCTACGGAGACTAGCCCTCCACTCTTCTTCTCTGAGCGGAAGGATTCGGTGTATTCATCTTCGTCGATTTCCCAGACTTCGTTTCGGAGCTTCTTGAAGAGCTCTGGTTTGAAGCGAGCGAGCGCGAGCTGGAAGAGAGAGAAGAAGGCGAAGATCCTTGCGAGGAGGGTTGGGGGTTTGTTCGATGGATGCTCTGGGGCACGGAATATCGCGTTCAGAATCGATTTACTGATGGACTGCTGGCGGCGCCCCATGATGCTGCTGGCCTACTCAGGGGATTGAGGGCGTGGTTTGGGCAGCTTTAGCAGAGAACTGAGGAAACTTGGGATAGTTGTTTAGTTGTTTCCCGAAACGTGACCAAACAGTACGTCATCGTCGAGTAGTCCGAGGTTCTGCCGGGCAGCCTCCATTGGCCATAGTACATTCACTTTCCAGGTAACGTGAGAACGCGATGACAGTTCAATCTCGCTAAAGCGGGATACATTCAAAATTACACCAGATGCAATGCACAATTTGATTTAATGTTCATCGCGTTCTATTCAATGAAGGACTCTTGTCTCTTCAACTCCGCCATGCAGCCAAATGCTCTACACCTTTCATAAACCAGGCGGACCCGTACCAGCCTATGGGATATCATAATTCTCCCCCGCCCCCAAATCGCTAGTAATTACAAACCAAACCTCAAAGAAAATGTAGATACAATGAAAGGTGGGTATAAACCAGTAACGTGACCAAAAATCGCTAATGAACGTATGCACAGTAAATGACAAGATCTAACTGGAAATGTGATGCAGATAGTTCGTGGTAGATGGCAGATGCTGAACTTCACGCTTATACGGCGTAGTTCTCGGCGTGCAAGAAGAGCTCGTCTCTATCCGGGTCGCTCCAGATCTCTTTCTGGAGTTCGGCGACGGTGTTTGAGACGTCGATGCGCATGGTTGGGGGTCCGCAGACGAAGACGCAGGTTCGACGCCCGAAGTCTTTGCTGAGTTGCTTGAGGGTGTATGGGATGTCGGGGCGGCCGTACTCGGTGCTCCATCCGTCCTTCTTCTTGACGGCGGCAGGGAGGAAGGCAAACCGCATCAAGTTCTTTTGGAACTCGGTCGGCGTGCTTGGGAAGCCAAAGTCGAAGCCTGCTGGATTGACAGGCGAGACTTGGTTTCCGGTATTGAGTGCGACGGTGTCAAGACCGCCTGGGATAGCGGCTTCGAGGGCAGAGGGTACATCGACGCTAAGATTACGATTGCGGCGACGAGCGTGAAGGGGGAGGGTCGGGACAGGTGCGGCGAGGGCGATGGCATTGGAGTTGGTCAAGGGTTGATTGGTGGAGGGAAGGTTGGTCTTGGGGCCGGCGACACGCACGTGAGCTTGTGGGAGGGCGGTGATGGCATCCTCGTTCTCGGCGCGAAGTTCCTTTTCGCGGGCCTCGTCGCCAGCGGCCTCGTCTCTTATGAGGGCCGAGTGGCGTTTCGTGGAGAAGCGGGAGTCGCGTTTGTTCGCGATGTCTTGGAAGGCGTCGTTGACCTTGTCGTGGAAGTAGAGACTGACTGGACGAGTGGGTGTGCGAGCTGAGACGAGCTGCCCCGTTTGTGTCATACGTTTCGCGGCAGTGATGTAGAACTCGCAGCGGACCGTGTCAGGTGGTGCGTATTCGCGGCAGATGCGGAGTTCTTCCTTGAACCATTCCATGGTCTCGGGGCGTTTGAGTGCCCAGATGACGTGAATGTGCTTGGTGACTGCCTTTCCGTCGCGCATGCGCTTGATGAGGTCGAGCAGTTGAGAGACAATGGCCGTGATGCCGCTACCGCCGGCAATAAGAACGACGTGGTCGAATGCCTCGATACGTCGTTGCATGCCTCCATAGGGGCCGTCGAGGAAGGCTCGGTAGGTGTGCCAGGGGCCATGTTCGATGGCTTTGCGGAGGACCTTCCTGGTGAAGCCTCCGAAGGGGCGGAAGACGAGGACCATGTCTCGGTAGCCTTCACCATACTCAGAGGGGAAATCTTCGCTACATAGAGAAGCGATAGTGAAGGGGTGGTTCTCAAAGACCGAGATTCCGGGCATTCTCAAATACACATATTGGCCTGGCCTCCACCGCATCTGGGTAGGAACTGTAATCTTGATGGCGTTCTCGGGCATTATCGTAACGGCAGCCTCGTCACCGACTAACCATGCCAACTTGAACGGGTTGGTCCAATTGAGGAAGAACAGGCGGATCAGGTAGGAGGTCAACCAGATTGTAAGCGTAGCCCAGAGATAACTCCAGGATGTAAGGTAATTGCTGCAATGCCAGAAGAGCATTCCCAAGAAGACAATCGCGACTGGAACGTGGAGAGTGACGAAAAGCTCGTACATCCAATTCCGGAGCTGCGGGAGGGAGTGGACGCAGAGGAAGATCAGAGGGACCAGCGAGGCGACACCTAGAGAATATTAGACTTTTCCATGCAATATTCGGGAGAGAAACCTACCAGTTCCATAGACGTAGAAATTCCCATTGCCTTTGAAGAGCGATTGGTAGAATTGCAGGGCACCTTGATCCCATACAGGGGTGATGTAGAATGGAATCGTATGGATGAGACTAAGGAAGAGGCACAAATAGCCTCCCCATCGATGCAGCACATTCAGACGCTCGTGTCCAATGCCAGTGATCAAGGAGATGATGTTGGCCTTCATGGAGAGTCCCACGATCCAGGGCATCATAGCAACCGCAAGCATCCCCGCGCGAATCGCCAATGGAGGGCTCCCATAGGCAATGCTTTGCCAGTACAGAGGTTGCGGCACAAAACAGTACAGAGTGACGAACACCAACATGGCAGAAACAATGATAGTGACTGCTAACGATGGGAATACGATAGGTGACCACCCCTTTCGTAACCTGAGCTGGGGAACTGGCCGATAGAAGATATATCTGAAAAACGCAATGGTGTAATTTACGGGTCGTAACGAGGACACAGATGACTGCTCCTTTCTCGGCTTTGGCTGCTGCGGTAGGATCCCCGAACTCGGGAAGAATGACTTGGTGGATTTTGCGGTGTATAGGTTCGCCAGCTCGTAGTCGGTGGGCGAGTTGTTTTCCGAAACTTGTTTCAACTCCTCTTGATGTAGCACCGTCCTGATCTTGTCGGTAAAAAGATGGTAGTAGCGAAGGAGCGCCGACGCCACCAGTAATATCAAGCAGAAATACACCATCCCCAAGGCATATTTCCCCGATTTGTTCCATGGATCCCGCGTGTTTGCTTCTATCAAACCCGCCGGACTCGAGCTGTTGTAGGGGATGTTTATGCGTTTCGCCAGTGTTGAAACAATCAAGGAAGCCTCCCGCTCGGCAATCGACACCGCATTCTCGAAGCTGTGGAGAGCCTCGCCCGCCCGCCGCGCTACAATCTCTTCAATGGCTGGCATGGTGTCGAAGTGTGGTGGTTTTCGATTCCTGGGGAGCTCTTATCCAGCTCTTTCGGTGCGTCGTAAGCTTCTGCCGGCAGAAGCTGGAAGTCTCGTCTCTTTTCAATCCAACGCGAGCTCGACCGCTTAAAGAGTCCTTCGGGTCCTCTACATGCGAGCAGAGCCTGTGCAAAAAGGCTGCGTCAGACGTTGCGGTGTGGGAATGCGCTCGGACGATGATTGGGGCGCCGGTATGTATGAAGCACCAAAAGCTCGCAACACGTCGGACAGCAGCGTGGACTCCAGTGCAATCGGGGCTTCCAGTAGATCGGGATAGTCGTCAATTAGCGAGCGCAGAAGATGGCACAAAAGTACGAGAAGAAAAGCAGAGCGGAGAAGTAACGGAAGCACGAAATAGCGATAACAGTAGGTACGGGACCCTTGGGCCCTTATGTTCCTGCGCGGGGACGCTCGCATGCAGACATGGATGCTGCCGGCTCGCAGCCAGTGGACGGCCATGGGCAGCCGCTGGGCCTCGACGGCACTATTGGGTCAAGATAATGTGATGGGACCCTCATCACAGCCCGCCCAGCCTATCCGCCGGGACTGCTCCTCGCCCAGCGACGTCGCTTGCCCCCCCAGGCAGAAAGCAGCAATCCTTTCGACGCGGGCGACGAGCTCTCTGTCGCGCTCCTCCAACGGGATCGAGACGGCTCGCAGGGCTCGCCCATGGCGCTATCGAGGAACGGACCGACGACAGGGAGCCCAGGGGCCGCGGCGTGCCCTGGCCAAGCTCCCCCCATCGCCGCCAGCTCGCGGGAGGCGTTCGCCGTCTTGCATGCGGCACAGCAGCGGACCGGCAACATCATCGAGGTTGTGGTCACCGTCATCGCGTCGCGAGGTTGCACGGCGTCGAGGTTCGCATGCCCTCCGTTCTGCGGCAGGCTGCCCCTTGCCGGGCACTCATCGTGACCCTCCCGCATACGAAGCTCCCTCGAATCGCGTCGTGAGCCGGTACGACACGCGCTCGCAGCCGGCTCCATCAAAACCGCCCGCGCTCGCATGGTGCGCAGTGCCGGTCGAATGAGGGCGCGCTGCTCGAGGGGGAGCTGCGCGGCGGACAGCATTTTCACCGCATGAGCAGAAGCACTTGCTGGGGGGGTGAAGTGGGAGCCCGCCAATCACGGCCCCGACGCGATTCCTGGAGAAAGCTGCGCTTGCCCGCATCGGGATGGCCGGCGCTTAGGACATGTCAAGCTTTTTGGGCGCAGCCCAGATTCTCCACTGTCCGTTTCTGTGCGAGATACCACCCGACCACCACCCACCGACGGCCTGGGATTGAGTCCGAGAACCTGCGCATGAATTCACACTTGTCTTCCCCGCTGTGATATCGCGACTTCAAACTGGAGAGGTGCTCCTATCACCATCATCAGCCGCCGTGGCCGGTTTTGAGACCATCGTGGCCCCCCTTCATCACACCCTCTTGCTTCTCATCTATCCATCCAACATTGATGACCCGCATCTCCAAGCGCCGTGGCCCTCCTCCCGACCTCCACGCCCTTGCCCGCCCGGCCCATGATGAAAGCTCCAACCATCCCGCATACCCGCCAGCCCCACAACCCCAAGCCACGCGCGTCAAACCCCCCTCATCTTTTCCCAGGTCGCACGCGCCCGACCACGCAGCGGTCCACGCGGCGGGGCCTCGATCACCGCGATCAAGATGTTGGTTCTTAACCGTTTTAGGTTGGGATCGAGGTCAGGGTAGCCATATGCTTTCTCGAATCTCTCGGCGCTTAGGCGGGTTGGTGTTGTACCTGGTAGGGCTCACCGAAACCCGGGGATCGCGCGGGCTCCCTTGCTTGACGGAGCCGCTGGGAGACCCGATCCGGCGCCCGCCGCGTTGGGGATCTGTTGGATAGCTCCGCTGGGTTGGGTTGGGAGGGTTGTAGGCGCTGGATGGCTGAACGCGGTGGGTCTGGCTTGGAGGTTAATGGGTAGTGGGAATGAGTAGTGCGAGTCGTGAGTGTGAATGGTGAATGCTAGCTTCGGCTTTTGAGTACTATATCGTTTTGAGGGAGGGAGCGTTAGTTCTGCTTGAGTCGTGATCCATCGCTACGTAGAGCTGAAGAGTCTAGATGAGTTGCACTGCGACAAGGCGGTTAGAGTCGAACCCCGCAGCATGCACTGCTTTTTGCATGTGTATGCAGTATACATAGGGACGAGCTTGGGGAAATTTGGGGTCCGGGGGTGTTCTTGAGAGTTTCAAGGAAAGGTAGGTGCGTGGGGAGTGAACTAGGTAGAATAAGGGTTTAATGCACGAGACTCAGTGCAAACGCATTACCATGAAGGTGGGTTGATATGTATATTCTGTGTAGGCAAATGCTATTCGCATTGCGGAAGTCTATATGAGGTATACCGAAAAGTGTCCTCCAAGTAGCCGCACTGATTGCGATATCCAGACGACGCATTGACGTACCCAAGCACTTTGGGACAGCCGAGATTCAATAAGTATCGTGACTGCCGGGAAAGGGTGCAGTAGATGCAGATAGGAAATGTAGGGGAGTGGTGCAAAATAGGAAGCTGGCTATCTCCGCTGCGACGAACGCGAGCAGGCGCTGTCAACGCTTGCTAGATATCCGTGTTGCAGTGAAGGCTAATAGGAAAATGGAAAGGAGAAGTGCCGTGCGAGCAGAGTCATGTCTTCGTGGTGCGAAGCCTTCGCAGACATCGCAAGTGCCTGCTGGATGTCCTCTGGGTGAATACCGACATAAAGATGTAGCCAAAAGTTGCTAGGCAAAGAAAGTAGAAGTAGAAGAAAGAAAAGGCAAGGACCATTGCCAATGGCGTCAGGCGGCTGATGGCGACCAAACAGGCATCAAACTGCAATAGATGGCATACACCAACTTGAACGTGTTGTGTGATTTGCGAGTACGGTTTGCAAGCATGTGGACAGTCGCCTTCAGTCTTCGGTTAAGTCTACGACTTCGAGAACCTTAAATTGGGAGGAAGATGCGCGGCGGCGCGACCGAGACTTCGAAGAAGTCGAAGGCTCTTCTATCAGTTCGATACGTGCCCTACCCATGGAATTGCCGATGGACGACGAAATAGTGTAGCTGTTTGTGTTTGATGGTACAGGCAAGCCCGATCGATACGTGGAAACAGTAGCTCGCGGCGAGAAAGCGGCGCGATTAGGCAGTCTGGTTGCAGTGCGCGCAGTCAGCGAGCTTTTAAAGCTACGACGTTCAGACAGCGGAGACGAGCTTGTAGAACTGCTCGACTGCGACTTTGGAGGCGTTGGTGCCTCGTCGTCGGTTAGATTAATATGTCTGAGGCCTTTGAGTGGGCTAATGGAAAGGCTACTTTCGTATCCGCTGGACAGAGAACTTGAAGGAGTGGGCGGATCGCCTGTTAGATCCATAGGCTCAAAATATTGGCCTGAGGCTACTGAGGAGAAACTGAGTCGTCTGCTTGACCGAAAATTCCGCGGTGTCGTGGAATCGCTACTCGGATGTAGAGAAGAGCCAATTCGACTTAGGGGGCGAGCAGTAGACAAACTGCCAAGGCTCCGTCGATGCTTGCGATCCCTAATGCTCGGTGATGGCGGGGACGAATAGGCTTTTACTCCATCGTCGGAATCATCAACTAGGTTGGGGTCTCCTCGGGCGGTGGGTGGTGAATGATAGTAAGAAGGCATTTCCTGCACCTGAGCATCTTCTCCGTCTGAAACCACTATTGAATATCCTGCCCGGATCTTGCCCTTGTCAAATGCTGTCAGGGTATTGACAATCATTTCGCAAACCAACTTCATATACAGGGAAGGTAGGGCGTTCCCGACCTGTCGCTTGGCTTCTGTTTCACTTCCAGCAAAACTGTGATAAAGAGGGAGAGTCTGAAGCAGTGCAAGCTCCCGGACAGTGAAGCGTCTCTTGCCGAGATAGTGATACGGGCATTTGCCTCCGCTTGTGGTGATGGTGGCTTTCAAAAAGATGTTGGGACTGTAAGGAGGTTCGTTGTGTGGTTTCTTGCTACCCGGTTGGTGGTATTTATCATTCACAGGCGGATCCAAGCTAAGCGGCGACAATGCATCGCTAATCGTTGTGAAAGGCTTGAACCCTGTACCCTCCTCGCCATGCGTACGCCTCGGCAATGGTGGAAGCGGAAGATCTCGACTGGAAGAAATAGATTAGAGTCAAACATAGAAACAAAAATCCCAAGAAAAGCTTACCGAGCTGCGATGAGAATTAACCTCGTTCGCCTCTGTGGGACCCCAAAATTCTGCAAGAACTCGCGACGCCATCGCAGGTTATATCCTGCATTCACGAACTGGTTGAACAGGAGTTGCAAATAGCCTTCATGGTGAGTAATGAGGCCTGCAGTCTGTTCCAACGTCGCAATGCGTGGATTGCACCTCTTCAGGAGGGGGCCGATAGTAAATAGGGCATCTATATTGGCCTCGTCATTTGGTCCCATATGCGTGTGAGCCGGTGAAAAGGCCTGGCAAGGCGGAGAGAAATGCATGTGGTCAATCTCAGGCTTCAGAACGTTGAACCCGGTGGGTGGGAAATCCGCAGCATTCATTTGGAATGACAAGCAGCCTGGGAAGTTTTCACCGTAGGCTTCGCAAGCAAGTTTGTTGTTGTCAAATCCACAGTAGATCTCCATGTTCGCCATCTGAGCTCCTCTTGAAGCGCCGCCAGCGCCATGAAAGCAATCCGCGAATCTATATCTCAATTTCTTTCGTGCGAAGGCGACACGCAATCTCTTTACAGTGCCAGGGGGTTCATTGATTTTCAACGACAAGACTCTCTTTCTAGCGCGTTCAGATGGGGTTAGAGTTGCGTTAGCTTTCTTTTCGGGATCTTCGACGTCCAAGCAAAATGGATTCTCTTCGCTGCCTTCTCCTCCAGTTGGTGCGCTTCGATCTTCGAAAGCATAGTCCGCCTCGTGAGGATACACGCGTCGCTCCTCCCCGGCATATGACTTCCGGGATTTCCTGAGAGCTTCATTACCCCAAGAGACAACCTGAACATGCCGACACACTAGGCGTTCATTATCATGTATATGCCGCATTATGTCGCGCCTGATGGTAGACTTGCAGACCACCTGAGTCTGACGAAAACTGCCATGGGGATAATCGGCATTGGTGATCACTAAATCCCTCTTTCGAACAAGATCTTCAAGTTTGATGTCTTCCATGGCCTGTTCAAAGGCTGGTCTACCATCATTTTCGTCGATGCGAAGAATCAGAACTAGCTCGTTGAGCTTTTTTTCGTACGTTCGGCCCATGTACTTTGCGCGACGGAATCTTAGACCACGGAGGACGACTTCGTCCGTCTCAAGGTTGCGAATAATGTGTCGAACCCTCAGGAAGTCACCGCTCTGTAGGCCTTGCATTTCATCCTCCCCCCGCTCGAGCTCAACTGAATCTCCGTGTCGGACAATGAGCCCATCCTGAGTTTTTGCGTAGGCATCTTCTTGGAATGGCAGTCGAATCGGCGCGTTTCGGGTAGGGGTAGTGCGGGTCTGCTTCTTTGCATCAAGAAGGCTCTGCTTGATTGCTGCCTGCAGGTCTTCATCTTCGGTGTCCCATCCAGTATCATCGTCCTCACGTCCAGAACGCCCATATCCAGAATAATCATCTAAGATCTTGGGCATATCCTCATCCTCGTCGTCGGAGATGTCGATCATCTCGCGGTAGCGCACCATTTTTGATTTCCGAGCGGTCTTAGAAGTGTGTTTACTGTTTTTGCGGCACAACGTCCTTTCGCGTGTGGGCGATGTCGAAGAGAACTGCCTCCGCCTTTCTAAAGTTAGTCAAGGTAGCTAGGAGAGGTGGTGCTGGCCAAAAGGTAGATGTAGATAGGTTACGGCTTCACTTACGTAGAATTCGGACGGCAGAGCTGAGCAGGCAGTCGTAGGCTTAGCCGGCAGGCCGCGTCCCTCAGGTATTTGAGAGGCGCCTTCGGGACGGTTAGACCTAGTGGGGTTGACGAGATCTTGCGTTGTTGTTCACGATGAGAGGTTGATGTTGAGGATGAGGCTGAAAAGTGGAGTGAAGAGAGTGAAGCGAGTGAGGTAGAGAGGTCGCGATGGAGACGGAAGAAGAGAGCGAAGCGAGGCGTAGCGGGATAGGCATAGATGCCTCAAACACCAGTACGCGCTGCAGAAGTCTTAGGGGAGCGAAGAAGTAGCCGAGAGAGTACAGAGGTGACAGCTCAGATGAAGGAGTAGTCACCGAAGAGGTAGGTTGCCGCCAGGACAAACCTACGGGTGAGAGATGCAGAAGACTAGGCAACATGCAGGTCGCCGGGGCAAGACGCGCATCATATGCAACATGGACCTTTCCATCTTGCCGATTGCCCTAATGAGCGAGGAAAGATGTTCTTTGGGGAACATCAGCCGCCCAGTACCTGCGAGATAGAAGCGTGTCCTCTGGACGATACGTTCTATTGGGGTCTAACGTGCTATGATATGGTATACGATGTCTCAAAAAGAAAGAGGCACGAGTGAGGATCGTCCTTCATAATGTTTATTCCACTCGCCGGCAAGGCTGCTGGATGCGGGTGTATGTGCAACGATTGATGAGATTTATAGCAAGGGCCAAGCGAACCCGGCACTTTGCTGCAAAGACCAGTCATGGCAGATAAATTGAAGATGAAAGAGACGTGAAGACACAAGGGAGATTGGGAGGAGTGACAATATGGCGGATGATGATGTTGCAGACGTTGGAAGAAGTTGGTGCGCCTCGGGAACTGGCTGGGGTTACACAAACGTCTGATTGGCTGCAGGGAAGACTTCACCTGGGCAGGAAGACATCCATGGAAGGATGTAAGTAGAATGTGTATCGATGTCGACATAGCTGGTGTGCCGGTAGAATCGTATATGCAATTGATGGCATCGCTCCTCTGCGAACAACTAGAGTTCTAGTGTGGTTGGAAGAGGAATGGAGTGCAGTCCCATCCGAGAGCCGTAATAGGATGGACAGAATACCCGACAGAAACCGGGAGCCTGTAAACTGACATCGCTTGGTGTGTATAATGTTCCCAGCTTTAATTATCCAACCCCGCTAAAGTGCTCTCGAAGTCCATCAGAGGTTGTCTCAGTAGCCATTTACCTTTACATAATGCTAGCATCTACAAAGCACGCTACTTCATCTGCGATGTTGGGACAGTGATGCATGGGCGATGCCAAGAGCGGCCGATTTACAGCTACCCGCTGACCGATAGCGGCGAACCGTGGAAAAAATTGGACCTCCACCTGGATCAAATATCCCGTCGCCCCCCACTACTCGATTTTTTAACACCATGCTCTACTTCCATGAAAAATTGGGCCTCAAGCCCCAGAGCACGCGACATCGCCTTCCAATCCTCGACATATTCTGCAATTCGTCGTGGACATGCGCTCTTAGACGGCTGCGCCGCTTCCCTCACCCCAACCTCCCTTGATCCGCCATCCGCTCAGGACCTCGATGTGAGTGCATTGGCGCTGCTATTCTCTTTCCTCTCCCTTCATGATGATGAACTTGTGTATTTTTAAGATGTTAGACTGAGTTATCCTTCGGGAAATGGCATGGAAAGCACTTTTCTGAAATCGACCTTTGGCTCCTCTTGGTACCTCCTCAATTACGAGATCACAGCGCTGATATCTATGTAACTAGATCGTCTGGAGACTCCTTCCACATATTTCACCTTCCATCACAGCCACTGGAACTTGTGGACCCGCGTATCTTACCGGGCTTGAGCGTGGATTTTCCGACTTTGGTCTCTCACTTACAAACTTCCATCCAAAAACCTTCGACCTACAACAGTCATGTGTGGGATAATTGGGGTTATTCTGGGTGATACCACATCGACGTCCGCTGCCGTCGAGATCCACGATGTAGGACCAATGAGCATGGAAAGCTGCGAGAGGGTGCTAATTTTCTTGGATTACAGGCCCTTTACCTTCTTCAACACAGAGGCCAGGATGCCTGCGGTATAGCTACGTGCGCCACGGGTGGTCGCTTCTTCCAGTGCAAGGGAAATGGTACGTCGGCTTTTGACTGGGGTTTTGCTTATAATCTAATTCCTCGTAGGAATGGCCTCAAAGGTTTTCCACGATGGCTCCCGCGTGGCAGATTTACCCGGCTTCATGGGCCTTGGCCATTTGCGTTACCCTACTGCCGGCTCCAGCGCAAACTCCGAAGCACAGCCTTTCTACGTGAACAGTCCGTATGGAATCTGTCTCACTCACAACGGCAATCTCATAAACGCACCCGAGCTGCGCGAGTTCCTCGACCAGGACGCACATCGTCACATAAACACGGAAAGCGACTCTGAGTTGATGCTCAACATATTTGCCAACGAGTTGAACGAGACCGGCAAGGCTCGTGTGAACGCCAATGACTGCTTTGCGGCATTGGAAAGGATGTACAAACGTTGCGTAGGAGGATGGGCATGCACTGCTATGCTTGCAGGTACGCGAGACTTGGGATGATATGTTGTCCTAGCTGATTTTTGGAAGGTTACGGACTCATTGGGTTTCGGGATCCCCACGGGATCCGTCCCATTGTGCTCGGCTCGAAGCCCTCGGAAGGCGGATCAGGAATGGACTACATGATGGCCAGCGAATCTGTTGCCCTCGTACAGTGCGGCTACAAGGATTTCCAGGACATCAAGCCTGGTGAGGCCGTCATCATTGAGAAGGGCAAGCCACCCGTTTTTCGCCAGGTCCACCCGCAGCTAGGATATACTCCGGATATCTTCGAATATGTCTACTTCGCCCGCCCGGACACCATCATTGACGGTATCGACGTGGACGAGTCCCGCCGGAACATGGGATTCAAACTCGCCGAGACTATCAAGAAGCAACTGGGCCCTGAGATCCTCTCTAGCATCGACGTTGTGATGCCCATTCCCGAAACGAGCATCACCTCCGCGCTTTGCGTCGCTGAAAGACTCGGCATCGAGTACTGCCAAGGTTTCGTGAAGAACCGCTACATATTCCGTACCTTCATAATGCCCTCGCAGAAGCTTCGCCAGAAGGGCGTCCGCGCTAAGCTCAACGCCATGCGCAAGAAATTCGAAGGCAAAAACGTCCTCCTCGTCGACGACAGCATCGTCCGCGGCACCACCTCCCGCGAAATCGTCCTCATGGCCCGCGAGGCCGGCGCAAAGAAAGTCTACTTCTCCTCCTGCGCACCTCCGATCACCAACGCCCACATCTACGGCATCGACCTCGCCTCAAGCTCAGAACTTATCGCTCACCACCGCGACTCCCAGGCGATCGCCCAAATCATCGGCGCCGACGACGTCGTGTACCAAACCCTGCCCGATCTCGAAGCCGCCTGCGCCGCCCTCTCGCCCCGCGACCCGAAGACCCAGAAATTCGAGGTCGGCGTCTTCTGCGGCAAGTACGTCACGCCCGTCGACGCGTCCTACTTCGAACACCTCGAGCGCATCCGCGGCGAGAGCCGCAAACTCAAGGTCATGGAGAGCGCGCGCGAGGCCGTCGTGCAGGGCGTCGCGGGCGAGACGGAGGTCCGCATGGCGGCGAAAGGCGTGGAGGTGGACCGCCACGGGAACGTCATCCCAGCTGATGGGGGCGATCCCGAGGACTGGCCCACGAATGTTGGACAGTCGAATGGCAACGGGAGTGCGGTTGGCAGCGCGAATGGGGCGGCGAGTCGGCCGGGGGATTATGAGACTAGGAGTCGGGTGAATAGTGAGGATCAGGTGCGGGTGAAGACGAGTCAGGATATTAGTCTTCATAACTTCAATGACTTTGATGGGCATTGAGATGGGGGGGCGGCTTCGCGAGAAGGTAGCGGAGAGGGTGGGATGGAGTGTATTTTTGCAATTGGTGGGTACTTTGTGGGCATTTGGGAGTTCTTCGGACTAGAGTGGCCTGCTGTTTCCTCGTGACGACTGCTGCGCTAGAAGTACATATCTCGTCGATTAACATCAAAAGCGGTGGGTGGCTGTTGTGCGCGCGATCCTTACATAGCGAGATAATGAAAGTTTTGCATGCGTTTCAATTCGCGATGTCCTAATGTTATTGAACTTGTCTACGTTGGATGTGGTGGTCTGATTCACAGTGTCTGGAATTTCGCGTTTGCATTGCCAGATTGGCTACTGCCGGAGAGTCCTCCAGTGCCCTATGTAGGTCTCCAAAATGCTCGCCTGAACATTGCGATTTTGGAAGTGCTGGCACAAGGGTTCATGCATCGTGAGTAGTCGCAAGGAGTGGTGCTAGTTACAAATTCTACCAAGAGCAACTACGATTAGTGCCACGTTAAGTGGGTACAGCCAGCCCTCCGTGCTTGCGAATGACTCAATACGGCACCTCGTCGGTTGGTGGGCCACTTAGAGGTCCATGGAAGGTGAGGAAGTGGAAGGAGTTGCGTAAGGCGAAGTGGGGGGAGGAGGAAGAGAGAGAGGAGGCGGTGAGGGTAGTATGCGGTTGGTTTTGAGGGCGGAGAGGGAGGGAAGAGTGTGGAGAGGCGCAAGCGCTTATATTTGTAGGGGCGAGGGATCTGTGATGGAGTTGGGGTGAGCGTTTGGGAGGGAGGGTTCGTTTGGGTTTGTGTTGAGATGAGCGGGTGGGGTGTTCGAAGGAAGGGTGGAGGATGAGGGTCGGTTCTGTTCTCCTGCTTGAGGTGCTTTATTGCATGAGTTTGTGCCGGATTGAGAAATAACAAAATGAGATGTAACTCGTGATGAGCACACCGCGCTTCATCATTGAGTACAAGTGGCCACATTCTGCCTAGAAGAAGTGGATAAGGAGTACAGCATCAAGAGTTTTTGGAGCACATAAGGTTAGGTCGGCTAGCTGCGCCCGAGGGCCTCATGAGAGAAGGTGATTCTAGGGGATGAGAAGATGGAGAGTCACTGGGGAAGATGTTCAAATCGCACCACCAAAAGACCCATCGAAAAAAGACCTTGGAAGTTGCATTGAAGCATGGATTCTCATCAAAGTGCCCCCGGGTGAGCTCGGGGGGCAGCTTCAAATTTGAAAATCCCTCAGATACGTATGAAATACAAACCTGGCTATACTTACAGTCCCCGCGCTTCTCACGCATTTACCATTGAACACAGATATCTGAAATACATTGAAGCATGGTTCTCTCATTACTATGATTGGGCGGAGTCGGTTTGGAGGTTGAGGTTTGAAGAGCCCTCGCATGCGTTGTGATATATGCAAATGGCCAGACCTGAATGATCTCGGCCCATCTGACAAGGCGCAGTGTGACGAGCGGGATTTAACCCTTAATCTAGCCATTGGGCCCGAGTTCCGCGTAGCCATAAGCCCTCGTGTCTCGATGCTCCAGACGGGTGTTGCCTCGGAAGTTGTACAGCGGGACGATTGTAACTACCGAACGACATAATGCGGTACCTGCATGGATTCTAGATGCCTTGGACACTTCAGCCACTATCCTATGTATAAAATATGGAAGTTGCCTCGGCTTGTCGTGGAAGTGATGAAGAGGTTGAAGTTGGTTTTGAGGCCGCCGAGACGAAGACGATTACGTAGATGAGCTAGGCTGACGAGGTCACGGCCACGGTGAGCGCGGCTCAGCGCGATCCATGCTTGCCAGCGCCAGGATACGATTGAGTGCTGACAGGGCGCTAAGCGTTAGCAAACACTTTGTGTGCACTCCTACTCCTGGTATGGTGATGCTCTGAAACTCGATTCCCGACACTTGGGAGCGTGAACCATGGCTGCTGACGAAGACGAACGATCCTTGGGCCATGGCCGGTGCCCACGACGGACAGCGGCATGTGGGGAGGGCAATCCAATCGGCTCTTGATGCTACTCTCGATGCCGGCCAGACCCCGCTGCGATACCCAGTCCTGCCCCTCTGCACGAGTAGGACATGTCTACCACCGGCTAGGATCTAATTGCTAAAGAGAATTAGGAAGCATCGGGCTTCGGGAGAAGGGATGTCGTCCTGCAGGAATGAGATCCAGACACGAGGAGGCGCAGGCGAGAAAACCTCCAGGGCCACACCTCACAGTCTCAGACCATGGTCGTGAGATGGAAAGTCCTGGGCAGTCGAAAGATTCGGAGAACTACCGAGGCAGGTTGAGATTTGCACCAACTATCGCTGGTGATGTGCAGTAAGTTGTGCACTAGGGGCGGAAAGGCCGTACGCTACCCCGGATTGTCCATGCTCCGCTAGTTGATGCGCCTCAACGTCCCCCACAGTCTGCTTCTGCGGGGAAGTCTTCTGGAGAGGGTGGCGGAGGGGAAAAAGCCTCGGTATCTTTCCACTTTTCTGTCTTGCTCTCCTCGTGGTGTTGGAGACAAAGAAACGCCACGGAGCGTCTAGGGACATGCACCTATCAGAGGTGCATGGGGACAGGTCGCGCACTCCGAAGAGCACGGGAAGCGTTGTTGGGGTGCAGGTGCCCGCTGTGGTGGCTCCTTGGCCCGCCTGGATGGGAGAGATGTTGGACCTTTGCCCGTGCCCAGTAGCCAGTAACACGGAGATCCTGCACCGGTCGCTGGGTTTTTGGAATAATTGTAGTCGCGTGGCCGAGCCTTGGTGAGTGTTGATACGACAAGGGCAAACCTATAACAGCAGCCGTCACCGTGCGTTTTCTGTTGTTTTCACGCTCTCCGCCTTCACTCCTTCATTCACTCCTGCCAACCTCCCGTGTCGCCCTCGAAAAGCTATTGACCGACTATGTCGCCTCCGAACGTTGCCTCGCACAGCTCAGATGCTTCTCTCGATACTCACGTCGACATTGAGAAGCGCGGCACAAACAACCTGGAGGTAGTCGACACCAATCTCAATCCAGTCCCCACGCATGACCGCGTTCCTGGGCACAACAACTACTACGAAAAGAACGGCTTGCGAACTTACGGTATGTACAAACTTACACTCCTGACTGACTATATTCCTGGTAGATGAGAAACTGACTGCTGACACAGGCGATGGACTGGACCATGATCATGAAGGTCCAATGACAACAAAACGTCTCATGGCGCTGGTGGCCATGGTATGCAAACTCTTACTTCTCTAACGGGTCACAGACTGATCAATGATGTAGGCCTTTCTCTGGACTGCTTCACAGATTCCAGTGTATCTGTTTGGTGGTGTCCCACCCTACATCTACCGGGGTATGTTACGATCGCTGTATTCGAGTCATACATGTTCTTTTCTAACCCGAGGCTACAGACATTGGAGGCGCAGACCGCTGGATTTGGTTTGTCCTGGCCAACCTTCTCTCACTCGCCGCTGTGTGCCCATTCGTAGGGTCACTCTCTGATCTCCTCGGCCGCCGATATGTTGCCTTGCTTGGAGCTTCCTTTATTATGTTGGGAATGATTATAACTTCCACTGCACACTCTATGAACATTTTCATTTGTGAGCTTTGAATGTTTTCCCCAGACCTATCCTCTTACTTACACCACCCAGGCGGCAGTACGTAAGGTCCTATTACATACCAGGGTCCTCTGGTGTCATTGTTCCTGGAACTGTGTTGAGACACGGCTCAAGTCGCGTTTTAACGCCCACTTAGGTCACGTTTAAGCACTCATTTTTGTCGCTTTAAAGTTGGTAATGGTGTCTCAAACATGGTTTAAGTGGCACTCAAGGACAACCAACACCAGAGGACCTAGTATCTGTCTTCAACCTCCCTTCTTTACGAAAACCCGCTAACATGTGTATTTCCACCTTAAGTGACCTTTGCTGGAATCGGCGCCGGTATTAACGAATTGACTGCTCTCGCTGCTACATCGGAGCTTGCGCCGACAGCAAAACGTGGAAAATATGTCGGTAAGCGTCTGCATCGTCTATCATCTCTCTGATTCTACTGATCTCTTGAAAGCAATTCTTGTCTTCACCATCATCCCGTTCTGTCCCTCGGTGCTCTGGGCCCAGCTCATTTCTCACTACTCCACATGGCGCTATCTTGGCCTTCTTGCAGGTCTCTGGGCCTTCATTGGTTTCGTTCTTACCGCAATTTTTTATTTCCCACCACCTCGAGTGAACAGCCAGGGTCTTTCGCGTCGTGAGATTCTCCATCAAATCGATTACGTCGGAGGCTTCCTAAGCATTAGCGGAATGCTTCTGTTTATGATGGGCATGCAATGGGGAGGCTACCAGTATAAGTGGCACACAGCCCACGTCCTCGCTCCTCTCATCCTTGGTTTCCTCCTGATCGTCGCTTTCCTCGTCTGGGAAATGTTCTTCGCCAAGTTCCCCATGTTTCCCCGTCGTCTGAATCAAGCTCCAAGAATCTTGATCATGACCCTGATCATTACCTTCATCTCAGGCGGTATGTATTCTCGCTTCCAATATCTCCGATATCTTGCTAACGCAGCACAGCCAACTTCTTTAGTATCCTCATGTTCTGGCCCACACAAGCCTTCAACGTCTACGGACATGACCCCGTTGGAGTGGGCATCCGCGGTCTTCCAGTCGGCTTTGGTATCCTAACAGGCGCTTTCGTCGTCCTCTGGCTCCTTTCGACCTTCCGCGGCCACAATAAGACCCTCATGATCATCTCAAGTGTCTTGATGACTGCCGGCTGCGGCGCCATCGCCGTAGGCACCGCTGACAACCTCTACCGCCTATGGGGTATCCTCATTGTAGCTTCCTTGGGAATCGGCGGCATCGTAGTGCCTGCCTCTATCATGACGACCATCATCTGCCCCGACGACCTCATCGCCACCGTCGCAGCTTTGACCCTCTCTATTCGCGTCATCGGCGGCTCGTAAGCACCCTCTATCCGCTCTCAAAACCTTAAAGCGATCAGCTAACAGCGCCTCAGAATCGGCTACTGCGCCTACTACAATGTCTTCATCAACAAGTTCGTCCCAGCCGCCACCTACTACATCGGGGGCGTCATGGTCACCAAACTCAACATCACAGACCCGCAACTCATTGGGGCAGCCATTAAACTCACCGGCGCCAGCTTGATCGAAGACCTCCGAACTATCCCAGGCTTGGAGAGCGACCTCGCGTACGAAGCGGTGGTTAAGGCGGGCCAGATGGCGTTTGCGGAGGCATACAAATGGGTGTATTATTCGAGCATTGCGTTTGGGGGCGTGAGCATCATTGCGGCGTGCTTCCTGGGCGATATCAGTAAGTACATGGATGACCACATTGCTGTGATTATGTGAAGGTATGCGAGTTGGGCCTGTACAAACTTCTTGAGTTTGAGCAAGAAGAGGGAGATACTGCACGCGGGATACGGAGGGGAGGTAAAGGTGTCCAGTCATCTCGACGGATGGAAGGATGATACCAATGCGGATGCGGTACGTGTACGATGAGAGTTGATGACTTCGGTTTATGCATATACATATGAAGTACGAATTTGACGAAGAACAAGACCGAAGCTTGAGCCATAATTTACTTTGCGTGTGCTTGAAGGTTCTGCAGGATCTGAGTTGAACTGCTAATTAGCATCGACTAAACACAACAGTGATCACACCCATAACTCTCCGGCACCCCTTCACCCTCTCTCGCTGATGCTGCTCATCACCTCAATACAGGTACCAATCTCCAACTCCATGTGTGCATCCTACCGTCGTAGTTGTTGATACCCCACTCCGCCCGCTCCATTGGGCAGGCTCTCGCTCTGATTTGCTCCCATAGCGCTCCGTTCTGCACCATGTTGCAGCGCTCCCCGCCTCCAACCTCCATGTATCCACGCTGCTGATGATGTTAGTAATGCCCCGCCCCGCAGCTCCATCGAAAGGCCGCTTCTTCGATTTGCTCCCATAGGCCTCCGTGTTTGACCATGTTGCAGCGCCCACTGCCCGCCTCGTACTTCAAATACGCACTGGAGGTTCTGGGGAGGGGCGGCGGCGGTTTTATACTTGATGGAAAGAGGAGCAGGGCTAGGAGGGGCAGGCGGAGGTGTGAGGGTCATGTGATGTGGGCGGGCATGCTCGAGGGGCGAGGGAGATATGTTGGGAGGATGGGTTGCGAGGGATAGGAGAGGGGAAGTCCCGTGATTCAAGTGTGATACTCGGGTTCTTGGGGTATATAAAACCTTCCGCCTTCTCGTACTCCTTGCTTTCAAGTGGAGACGTGGGAAGCAAACGTGGCGCGCTATGGCCTCATGTCTGTTGCCCGTGTGTCAATTAAACCCCGGAAGAGAGAGTCATGGTGCTGTCGGAGTTCCTAGGTGTTGCAAAAGCACGTATTTCCAGACCGAATGGTGGTGCGGAAAAGGCTCTCTTAAAGGGAAATAGTAGGACGAACTTAATTACCACCCCTACTTTCTCTCCGCATTACCCCCCTTTTCTCTTCCTACTACGCCCCCTATATTTAGCCTAGCTCTAGCTGGTAATAACTTTATTCTACTAATTAGATTTACTTACTTATATAAATTAGAAAGGCTATATAAATAATAGTCTATTTACTCTATTTATGTGAGGACTCGATAGGCAAACAGCAATTAGAAAGGGTTGCATTGCTATGCTATAGAAGTTGTGATATAAAGAGAGAAGAAAGGTTAAGGGCGCAGCCGCCAGAAGTAGGTTCCTGGCGCGTTTGGCGCTAGCTGCTAGTGCGCACTCCTGACAGTCACGTGACCTCGTGACGTCTCGTGACTACAGGTGAATGTCGCTTGCAAAACAAAGGAAAAGGCCGTCCAAGGCCTGAAAAAAGTAGGAAGAAGTTGTTAGTATAGAAAAAGAGGTTGCAAAAAGGAAAAGTAAAGGTTCTTATACCTGTCTACTAATACTACTGCCTATAAGATATACATACTAGATATATAGACTAGAACCTATAAGCTGCTTATAGCCGCCTAAGTAAGTAGTAGTATAGAAGAAGTAAGGAGGATAGTAAGTATTATATATTAAGCGGTAAGGAAAGGGTTAGTTATATAGTAATATGTCGCACTTAGGTGTGCACGGGATGAAGCAGGATTGGAAATGATATCAAGCAGCAGAGTATGATTGATTGTGTGTGTGTGGTGTCTCTT